CCGGATTTCGTAATGGCCAGAGCCAAGAGTCGCCTTTCACTGCCAGACAAAAGGCAGCAGCAGCCGACTCATTTCGGCCGTAATTTATTTGTATATGCCATAGAAATTAGTTCACCCAAAAAAAAAGGCAAAGTAATTCACGCCCACCGCCAAAATGTGAGTGCCAGCACTTGACTCTCGGGTCTCCGGACAGGCATCCCGTCTCGCAGCCCCCTCTCCCCCGGGGTCCCATCCACATAAATTGTGCAACAATTAGTGCAGCAGCCCAGACACTGCAGGTGAAAGGCTGGCAAGCCAAATCAGCTCACATTCCATTCGGACCCAAACAAATCCTGGCTGAAAAGCACGCGCTCTGGGCTTTGGTCTTTAGTCTCTAAGCACCACCCCCCACCGCCGATTGCGGCTTAAATCTATTGAATATCACTTAACAAGGCGCAGCTGTCAGCGGTTACCATAATGAATTGTTCACGGCATATTGTCTCAAATTACATGATATCATTCCCCAAACGCAGTTTCAAAAAAAAAGATAAATATATAATAAAATATTATAAGTACCACAACGACAGACTGTTGCACGTGACACAGCATTCAATCAGATAGGAATGTTCATATATAGAGAGTGATCTATGTATCCACCTACCGCTTATAGGGTCAACAGTTTCTGTTTCTATTTTCGGTAGCCGCGAAGCAGGAACTGAACTCGTTAGATAATCTAACACACACTCTCGGCTACCCAGTAGCCGGAGATCTCGAGATACCTGGCTGTGACTAATGACAAATGTACATTAAAATAAATATGACAAGACAATGAAAATATATCTCTTGTATTCTTCCAATTCCGTTGAAGTCTTAGATAGCATCTTAAAATTTTGCTTGGAATTAGTTTTGCCATTTTTTTAGGAATTGAAATTAAGAGCACTTAGTAGTTGATAGTTGGTTAGTACTCTGCTCGGCTACCGGTTTCTAATTTTCTACGCAAAATATTCTCTAAAACGAAAAGCACTTAGGGAGTAGGTTAATTGTTAATGCCACAAGTGGCAGCAACTTGTCAAAGGTCGCGGCAAGCGAAAGTGTCTTTGTCTGTACCTTCTTTTCAGGTTTTCTTTTCTTTTTTTATTGCGTATTTTTCTCATTTTTGAGTTTTTTTTTGCAGGCTATCAAACTCGTTTCCTGCGGTTGCGGCATGCCACAAAAGTCGTTCGTTCGTTATGGGAGAAAGAAAAAAAAAAGAGAGAAGAAGATGCCGACAAGGCTTGGTCGCATCCATCGCACTGACCTACATCCCATCCCAGATGGCAACTCCCAGTTCCCGGGGAGCATTGCGCAATACCCTCGAGAAATTACCAATAACAGAGAAAAATTCACTCGCAGGGTAACCTTCGCATTGAAGGGAGAGCCAATGACATCGACAATGGTGGCTACAAAATAGCGCACAATCATTTCGTTAAATGATTTAATTAAGCTAAACAGTTGAACAACATTTGTCCCCCCCATTCCTCGCAGTACAATCCCAATCTTAATTCCAATTCCATTCGCTTTGATTCGAGTCGAGTGCTTTTCAAGTGTGTGACACATTGGCGTCAAGTTCATAATTCACAATTTATAATACTCCGATTTCGGACAAAAGGCGACCAAGTGGCGCTGATCGGGCGACATTGATTGCGATGATCTGGAGCCGAGCGACTTATGGCCGTAAAAGAACTTTAACTTTCAAGCTCCGCACTCCACATGGCTATATAGGATGTAAGCTGAATCGACTTTGCAGAACTGGTCTATGGCTTCCATGGGTGCCATAGTGTTTCCGTTTTGTTGCTCAAGTTTTTTGTTTGTTTTGGTCAAAAGAATAAAACGAACTTTTTTTTAGTTTTTGGCAATTGAATGATTATGGCACGCTGGACTTCAATGAGTCTTGAATGATCCAACAGTTGCTGAAAGAAGCAGTTTCTAGCGACTAGGGGAATACCCCGTTCTTAGAGATTACATTTTTTAACAAAACATCTTTTGTACTCCTCATTTGGAGCGTAGCATCAGATACAAAAGACCAAACATTTGTATTTATTTATCCGGGTGTGTAACGAATTAATCGTAAAAAGAAGATATATTTGCTCTAAACAATTGAAGTTAATAAAACATTGGCTTTTATTCGACTATCGATTTGTTTGATTACTCCAATCTGTTGCGTTTATATCTTACTTCTTGGCTGTTTTATTCCATCTTCTCCTTATGATCAGATTTTGCTCCAAGCGTCTTCACTTGCCACTAGTTGGACTTGAACTTTGAGTGTGTGTTTTGGTTTTCTCATCGTTTTGTTTTCGACTCTGTTTATTTCAAGTTTCATGTTGTTTGTCAAGGCTCCGGCATAGCCTAGTAACTAATCAAGACTACAGTGAAACCCGGGTATGTTGGGTATGTCGCAGCACCCCCATATGGTGCCAAAAATTGAAAAAATGTTGACCCCAAGGCGTTTTATATCGGGCTGGCGAATTGGCAACGCTCGATCGGAGGCCCAAACACTTTATAATTACCCGCTGAGGTGCGGCCATTTGAACTTGACTTTAATTGGATCTCAACATATAAAAATAATAACGATAACAGAAACTATGTGTTCTCCATCTGTTTTTTCCTATTAGGGCCACCAATTACTTTTGGGTGTCTTTCACTTTGGTCTTTCACTTTTCATTAACGCGACCAATTGATTGGCATCGTGTGCGGAATGTTATGCAACATTGCGCGCCACAATTTTGGATGCCGACATTGTGCCAGGCTAATTGAATATGGATTACCAAAGTGTAACAAGTGCACAGTGAAGCCAGTAACCTGTCGGGCTGCATATTAAGATGTACGCTACGCTGCTCTACAATAACCAGGGGAAACTACTTTGCGGGAATTCACAACATCACGCCCACACTTTGCAGTTTCATCAGCTTTTATGATGCCATTCGGGTGACTCCTCTTCGGACCCACTGGAAATGCTCATAATTTGATAATGGCATCAATTAAACTTGATTGCTGGTTGAATCTCTATGGTGCTTGCCATTGTTTTTTGCCGTAATTAGCACCCAAGCAAAATGTTTATGCGGCAGTAGTCAAAACTTCTTATTGCCGGTGTACAAGCGGTGTCATTAGCTGGAATTTTTGGTGTTTTATTACGGAATGAAGTCACAAAGTTATGTTAGAAGTTTGACAAATTAAATGGGGAAGTCTTGTTTGGCGTCTTATCGATAGAGCAGCGCAAGAACCAGCCAGAAGATGTATGAAAACAAAAGACTTTGGACGACGAACTTGCGTTTGAGTTGACTCGAATTCATAATTTTACGCCCCGCGGATTTCTAGACAGCATTCCCAGCATTGTTGCTGGACCCGTCCGTCATCATCAGCAGACTATTTTTTTTTTGTGTGAGCTGATTACAGGGTATTATTGGAATGCATTTTAATATGTAGTTAACTTTTAATTTAAATTAAAACACATTTACAATTCAAAGTCCATAAATGTTTTTTTGGGGCTAAGCCCAATTTTAAAAATCATTCTAAAAATTAGGGAGTATCTTATAGTCCAGTTTTAAATTCCCATTTAAGACTTCTCACTTAATCATTCCCACAAGTATGGTTTCATTTCAATATGAGGGAACTGGTGCATTTGCCTCGTGTCACTTTTGGTTGCGCTTGGCGATTTTGCAATTTAATTTCTGCCCGCGAAACGGGTTAAAAGCAAAAGACCCGACCAAGTCAGGCGAGTTCTTGGCTTGCATGCACTTGTTGCTGCAGCGCCTGTTATTTATTTAATGCAGATTTTTAATTGCCTGTCTCATAAATTCTACAGGTCTGCGGGCGTTTCTTCAGGCGGTTTGACATTTCGATCGACCTTCAAAATGCCATTAGAACAAAAATCGTGGATCAGCGTATAGTAAACACAAATACCGATAAAACCGAGAACCGTTATGCGTTCACACACAACTCATCGTTGCCAAAAAAAGGTTGTTGTCGGCAAAAAAAAGCTTTCAAGTATCCAAATGATAAATAAAACGAAATTAATTTGTGGAATTTAAGCCAAAAAACGATGAGATATATGCTGATGATGTAATTAAAGTGTAGAAAGCAGAAAGAGGGAAAGATTGTGAGAGATTGATGATAGCTTAATGTAAATATTCAGCTGGCCAGGAGAATTATGGGCTGTCAAATGGAAAAGGTTTCTTGACCAGAGGAAATGCAGTCAAGGAGAGGATTTTAAGAGAGAAAAGCGGAAAACTCGAAAGAGTTAAAAGGTAGTTGTAAATATTTGGTATAAAATTGAAATAAATAATTGTAAATCAAAAGACTTAGGAAACAAACTTTTTGAGGCGAATTCATTTTTAAAAACAAAAGACTTAGGAAACGTACTTTTTAAGGGGAATTTATTTTTAAAATCAAAAGACTTAGGAAACAAACTTTTTATGGAAAATTTATTTTTTAAATCAAAAGACTTAGGAAACAAACCTTTCTCGAAAGAAGGAATGAAGCTGTAGGAATGTTTTTTTTTAGTCACAATCTTTACATTAAAAGACTCAAGCAACAAACTTACAAACAAAAAATTATTTTAAAACAAATGACTTAGGAAACAAACTTTTTGACAAAAGACTTGGACAACAAACTTCTCTAAAAAAATTCAAATTCAAAAGACTTAGCGGCAAACTTAGTTCCAAGAGATCTCTCAAAATCAAAAGACTTGGGCAACAAACTCCTTTTGGGAGTTTTATTTAAGAGAACCTTAAGAGAGAAAACAACTATCTTAAGTGAGCAGAGCTTTTCACCAAGCTTCGGACACGCCAAATGCTATTAAGCCAACTTAGCCATGAAGCGACAAGGCGACGGAAAAAAAGAAGCAACAACAAAGCGCCCAAGAAATACCGAACGTAACCGAACTTACGGTATGGGTTGGTAAGGTAAGGTAAGGCCGTCAGGTAAGCTTGCCTCTGTCGCTGTCGCTGCTGGCGTTTACGCTGGCGTCGCTGCTCAAGTCAAGCTCCGCTTTTCAGTCTTCAGTCGAGTCGCGAAAGTCGTCGAGTGCGTTTGGTTGCCGTTCGTCCGCTCGATCGTCGGCAGTCCAGCTCTAAAGAAAAACCAAACCACTAGAAAAAAATTGGAAATAAAAAACAGAAATCTCTCTCCCTCAGTGAATAAGAAAGAAGAAAAGCTGCTGAAGAAGGTGAACAAACAAAACTAAAATACAAACAAAAATAAAAGCAAATCATCATTATCATCATCGTCATTGGTATCGTCATTCCACAATTCACGAAATTTTGTGCGCGCAGTCGTCGTTGTCGTTATGCAATTGAAGTGCGTTCATAAAATGCCCAGATAGCAACAATTTCAGTTTAATTAATTTCCGAGGAATTAGAAATTTTTATAAGATTTCGTACCAGCCACTGAGCAACTATAACAACAAAAATTTAAAAAACCAGAGATCTGCGAGTTTAATAGACGCATAAATACTGTTGGACAAATCGCTTTCGTTTCGTTTCGTTTCTCGATGTCAAAAATAAATGCCAAATTAAATATTAAAATTATTGCAAACTCGTTTACCACCAGTCGCAGACAACAAATACAACAACAACAATAATAATAACAACAACAAAAAAAGTGAAATTAATAAAGTGAAAAGCAACACACACGTTTGGCATTATAAAATCGAGCGAAAAGGAATTGTATTAGAGTCTCAATTACAAAATCAATATAAATAATAATAGAAAATCATTGTTACAGCATTTTTTTTATTTAAACTAGCATAGCAGCATAAAGAAAATAAATACAAATAAAAGCAACGCGAGTTCGAGGCAAACACTTTTCCTCTGCGAATACGTAATCATTGGGAAAATATCAGCAATTTTGCAACAGTTTCGACACAACAACAACAACGTCTGTTGCAGCGGCAAAAACAGCAAAAACAAAAGTAATTGAGCAGAAAGGTGAGTGGAGGAGGCCAAGAGACACGCATGCAAAGCAGAAAAGCACAAAAAAAAAGTCGGCCCTAAGAGAAGAAACCCAAGCCCCATGTAGCACCTGTTGCTTTTCCAGGAAAAAAGAGCACACCAGCCTTCCATTCATAATCGCACTTTTTTTACTCGTAGCTCTCTTTTTTATTTGAATCTAACTGTTTTGCTTTGAACACTGGACACTTCCTGCTTACGCGTGTTATTTGTTTGTTTGTTTATTTGGTGTTTCTTTCTTGCTGGTTTTTTGTTTCTTCGCTACAGCTACAGCTACACTTCAGTTTCATTTTCATTTAAATGCGAACAGAAATCCAAGCTCCAACTACACAAGCCGCTCTCAAGGTTGACAACATCGCTTTTTGGCCGTTGTTTCTGGCCACTTTGTTTCAGTTTACTGATTGCGTATTTCACATTTGAATATCATACAAAATTGTGGCTTAAATAGTTCCTTTTTGGCAAATAGTTTCAACAATTTATATGGAATTAGTTATTTTTATGGACTATCTTATCTCTTTGTATAAATTCTCAGTAAATATACATGGCCCTGACTGAGACAGATCGGTAACTCATCCGTCTGCCAGCACGCCTCCAAAAAGTATATGCATTTAATAATGAATCAGGCAGCCAGAAAAAAAATCTTGGCTTAAAAAGTGCAGTAGGTGTTGCCATTGGGTTTTCATTACAATTGCCCCGACACTTGCACATACACCTATATAAATAATAAAAAAACATATATATACCTGAGAGTACCTGTATATATAAGCCAAAATAAAAAAAGAGCTGATGAAGAGCTTGGAGAGGTAAAAGGAAGGAAGTCGATGTCGGAATGAGTTTGCAGTTTCATTGGGCTTCGGTTACAGCCACGAAAATTCAGCTTCCCAGCTTCTTGGCTGCAGCTTCTCTCTGCGATCATCTTGCCAGTTGCCAGTTGGTTGTGGGAGTCAATTAGTGGGCAAAAAATTTAAATACAACAACAAGAGGGAGCGGGAAACGCCATGGCACCCAATTATGCATCCATAAATGTAAACAATCGCTGAAAAGACCTCTAAAATGTGGCGGTTCTTCTTCTGCCAGCAATCCTATACAATAACCAAAAAAAAAAAACCAAAAACACTGCAGAAAAATAAAAGAAGTGCTGAAATCTGTCTATAGGCAAAAGTTCAGCATTCTGCAGACACAATAACGTGGCCAAACTAATGGGAAATGTCAGTCAGCCAGTTGGCAGACAACTTTGACTTCATTTACATTTTCCCAACACAACTAGAAATAAGTCTAAGACTTGGACTCTAAGCTAACTGCAATAAATTCGGTTTTGTAACCTTAACTCCCAACACTGTATAGCTTTTACCTGAAAGTATTTTCCATTTGGCCAAATTCCAAAAGAATTTGCATTTGACCGATTAACCACCACCGTTCTTTCGCCCATTTCTCTTGGCCATTCATACACCACGCATATTTCATGAGCTGCCAATGATTGGTTCTTGGCCATTTTGATTGCCATTCCCCCACTCGAAATGGGAACTGTTCATTAGCGGGAATATGGGTTAATCTTATGCGGAATAGGGGTATTCTTTATAAAGAGACTCCCTACACAAACACACACCTTTACGGTTAAAGTGGCTACAAAAAAATATATGAGTGCGTGCAAGCGTAGATTTGAGGGCTAATTAAACCGCTGAGGTTGTGGCGCCATCAAAGTGTGAAAGAGACATTAAGTCCAATGCGGAGGCACGTGTTGTTGTGCTTGTCGACGATTAGCCAGATAGATATATAGATATAGCCGAGGAGATAGAAACAACGGCCTTAAACGCCACACCGTCCCAACAAAGGCATCTTTATTAAAACATTATTTCGCTTCTGCTATTGTTGGCGGCTAGGCGGCTTGGCGGCTCGGTAGGTCGTCGGTGTATAAATTGCATTTTAAATACAATCTGTGTGGTGGGCAGCATCCAATAGATCCGCCGCTGACTCAATCAGCCAGACAAAGCGCTTCAACAAAAATATTATGATCTTTCTGATTGTTACACAGTGTGTAACTCACAAATTTCCGCTCCTCCGCCTCATGATCATTATCATTATGATCTGAAGCTAAAAAAAAAGTACGGCATTTAAACAAACTTTGAAAGTGAAAACCAAGACGATTTTTTGATTGCAAACATTTGATAAGCAGCCAGCAATGGGAAGTGGAAGTGGTCCGAAGAAAAGTTCAGAGAAATTTTGTCATTTATTGAGCGAACTAACGATGTCCAACGTAACGCGTAAGTGCACAGCGAGAAAGTGAATTAAAATAATGGCTCTTACTACCAGGAAACAATTTATAAAAAAATTAATTTCATTAAAGGAAACTATTTAAAATATTCCTATAAAAACTAGAGCTGGTTTTTGCAAGCTTAGCTGGCTAGAAATATTCAAATTATTTTAGTTTAAAGACAATCTATACCCTTTTTCTTGGTGTATAATGACTTCTTTCTTTTTAATGACTTTTTCTTCTCAGTTTGCCGCTAACATAAAATACAAAAAAAGAAACAAAATAAAAAAACAGTTTCAGTTTCGTTTAAAGTTTCGGTTTCGGTTTCAAACTCACTCAGTTGTGGAAAATTTAGTGCAACGGCGCTGTCATAGCTTCGCTTCAAATTGCTTCGTTTACACACAAGTCCCCCCTCCTACGTTGGTGGAGAAAAGTGTATCCAGGCTGTGGCCATCTCTTTCGTCTTGCCAAAAGCCCTCTCTTTCGCACACTGGGAGCATTTTGGGGCATTGCTTCAACTGAAGCGTGCAGGCGAAAACGAAAGCAGAAGCAGCCGAGACGGTTGCAGTTACCTTGTTTTTCATTTTAACTTGTTTTTTGCTGCCTCTTGTTCGGCTTTTCACTCTAGTTGAAGTTGCAGCGGCATGTTGCCCGTTTTGGTTGCACTTTTTGGCCAGCAAACTGTTGCACGGACCTCGCTTTTGGTCAGGGCAACTCGAAACGTAACATAAAAATGCGGAAAAATTTACTTAGACTTAATGAAAGTGTCAACCCGTTTTCCATGGCGGTTTTTTTCGGTTTTTCTTATAAGATTGGCAACAAAAAATAATGAAACGGGAAATGCCAAGCATTTCAAGGAGTATTATTTATGGATTTTTATTAATATTTCTTGGAACCTTTATTGCATTGCCATTTATTTCAGTTATGGTTTTCATTGTTGACTCGAAATCGATTTGGGATGTAAAAAGGTGTCAAGTCATTTGTTGAGATTTACATTTTGAAAGTGCTGTAACAGCAGCTGCAGAGCCTGCATTAGCAAACGAAAATCAACTAAATATCCACAACCAAGTGGAGAGACAAGATTTTCAAGTCGAAGATCTTCAAAAATTGAAATGTTAATTTTTGGGGCTTTTCGTCTCCAACCATCCATCGAACCAACCATCCATCCATCCATTCATCCATTCCGTTGGTTTTGTTTTTTGTTGGATTGCGCAAAGCGCTGACAGTTACATGACTTTGAAAAGTTTCTTATAGCTGATGCACACACAACACCAAAATATTCATAAACACATATATAAATATATGATTTAACATATTTTTTGGGCTTAATAAGTGTTGGAATGATGGGCGCCAGATGTGCGTGCCATGGATGGGAAATACGATTTTTTGCGAAATCGAAATGCACAACCTGTCGGCCTGTCGGTTGTCGGTTGCTGTTGGCTGTTTACTTTTGGCTCTCACTGTTACCGTTTGCTGATGGGTCGATGATGATGATGATGATGCTGATGCGCTCAGGTGTTAAATACTTGGCTAGCTGGCTGGCTGTGTGCCTGGCTGGCTGGCTGGCTAGTTCCGCAATACGATTCGATGTTAAATGCTTTGGATTTCGCATTATTAGCTTCCCGATGTGAGCAATTTTGCATAATTTGCACCGAACACCGCGCACTGCCGCGCATAATGAAAACCTTAACCCCAAACGAGGAACTGAACCATAACACGAACACCACTTTCACGCTATGCAAATTGAAGCATTTGCAGACAATGTGGTCTGCAGACAAGTGTTAAGAAAATATGATCAAAAATAAGGCACCCTCACCTACACAAAAGTGGTGGCAAGTGGGTGGAAAGTGAAAAGCAACAGGAACTTGAAAGGAAGAAGACCACGTATACGTAATATATCAAGTATACGTATGGTGACATTTGAAGAGCCTCCTCTGAAAACTTTAAAGTGTATTATCTCACCTCCACTCTACATTTTCTAATGAGATTCCATCAACAATTAGTAATGCAACCCCATGGTGCTGATGTATTTCGAAGGAAATCGATATATTTCTATTGGAAATTAAGCGGATTACCAAAGCATGTTGAAATCTTCCCAGCACGCCCATTAGATGCCGGCACAGACCTCTTTCTTTCTTTTCTTCCTTGCCAGGCAGGCATAAGTCAATGACTGCTTAATTTAATTTGGACACAAATCAATGGCCAGCACATGTATCTTTTTCCTCCTCATTTCATTATTTTGTTCTTCGCTCGAGAACGTTTCGCTTGACCCCTGCGTGAAAGCAATTTCGTTATGGGCTATTCGGCCATTTGGACTTTCGGCCAATCAATCATGTGGCCTAGCTCTTCCAGCATTCTTTTGGATCGCATATCTTCTTCACGGCTGCGAAAGTATCAAATGATTCTCTCTGCCATCCCATTTTTCGACGCTTCATTAGGCCCCAGCCACTTTCATGTAGTCTCCGGTTACATAATGAATCCATTAAGGGTGCCAAAAATACTTTCTAGACACAAAACAAATTTATCATGTCTGACCTTAACTTTTTGGTGATCTGCCAAGTACAAATAGAAAACTATTAAATATTATTGTACATCATTAAGATCTCATTTGCGATAATTCCTCTAAAAGATTAAAAAGATTAAAATGCGCCGTAAGAAGCTTATTAATTTCTGATTATTATCATTTCAAAAACCACATAATCTTTATTAGTTTTTTTCCCAGCCCGTTGACAACTGATGAGGCTACTGATGCTGTTTGTTTTCAGCTGGTTTTCAGCTAACTAGACGTGGCTAATGTTTACAATCTCGTGACGCACTCGTGATTTGAACTCTGCTCGAACAATGCAATCATCCGGGGGTAAACGAACTGCAAACTATTTGCACTCCCGAGACGATGCAGTCTCGTGCACTGAACGAAAAAAAAAAAAATAATAATAAAGAGAAACAGCTGTTAACGACCTCTTGACAAGCCACAAACACAGCACAAATGCAATTGCATTAGAATCATTTACAATTGCCGATTCAATTAATATGCAAGTAGCGTTTTCATGGCGATTGTCATCATCAAAATTCTTTATTGATTGCCCAGCGTCGTGTCTAGGCACTCTCTCGCCTCGTAAAGCCCAATAATAATTCATGACGTTGACTTTCATTCATAAAAGCAATGGCTTTAGCCGCTTACTGTCGGTCTGGTAGTCTGGCTGGTAGTTAAATATGCAGTGAATGTTGCCGTAAAATTATGCATATTTTCCTTTCGAGCCTCTGGCTGTGGAAAGTTCTTTAGAAAGTTTCTGTTGAGAAACGAGTTTTCCGCTCGTCAATCACTAACTTAGGGTACACTTAATCAGAAATGTTAGGGCAGTTTGGAAATTCTTTAAAGTCTTATCACTTAAATACAAACCTATTTTTAAGTATATTGAGAATTCTATGACAAGCATCTACTGTTAAGATTGCGTCACCTTTCTTGAGAATAATACCGAGTGGGTTGTCTCAATGTCATCTCTGCCAGATGGTTTGTGGGATTATTATTAGATCTTAAATTAATAAACTTTTATATTAGGCTTTCCCATGTCTAATAACAATCGTAAAGAGTTATTGAACTCGTCAGTTATGCGCGGAAAATGTCTGCTTATAATTAAATATCAATTCGTTGTGAAAGTTCAACGAATTTGAAATTTAAATCCGAGTTCGATCTGTTCGATTTGAACTTGGATGATGATTGGATGATGATGATGCATCAATTGGCATTATTTAAATTGTATTTCAAATAGCAGTGTTGTTTTTTTTTTGGCTTTGCTGCTTTTTTAATATATATATTTTTGGTTTTTTTTTTGTGAAAGTTGCTGCACATTTTTGCGTGCGCGAGGTAAAAATTTTATTATTTTCGCTCGAAAAGTGAATGCTGATGACTGAAAAATTGCCAGTCTAATGGACACACACATTTTCCCAATTCCTGAGGCACAACCATCGCGCTTCGGTGTTTGTTTTTGCGAAATTTGTAACTGTAAAAGATCAGGGAAATTATCATCCAGCCAAATCAGTTAAGTCAACACGCATACACCTAAAGATCAGTTAAAAAAAAATAATAATAAAACACAGCCACAGCGGACCTGCTCGATCTTGGTGATGACTTTATTTTATGGCCCATGGAGAGGCGGCCAGTCGCACCAACTGCCGTTCTGTTTACAAAAGTCCAGTAAGGAAAACAGAGCCTCGGTCCAAAGGGCTATCCGGGCTATGAGTGTGCAGGATATTTGAGCACCTCTTGGCCAACACTTGACTTGCAGTTCTCCTCCTCCTGATGGCCGCTCTGTGGGCCGTTAATTGTCCGTCATACAAAAGAAACTTTCTGGATATGTCAGCGTTATTTGGCCAGAATTGTTCCGAGAACACAGAGAGACTGAGAGAGATTCCGTTTAAGTGTTTTAATTTGACGTGGCCCATAAAGAATGCCCTGAAATTAAGGCTGCGATTTTTTGGCGAATAATTGGATAAAAGCCAGGCCGTATTTGGGTTGAGAGCATCAACAAGAATGTTTATTCAAAGGAAGTTCTTCATTCTCCACACCTACGTGTATTACTCCTAAAACAAAACAAAGTAAACAGTAGACAAGCCCCATATCCGTGTGGATAATCTAGTAAGTCTCTGGATCCCATAAATGCCATTCAGAATGCAATTCACGTAACTTTTTGACTCAAACTAGAACACGTATATTTTTGTCAAGTTTTCTGTGCTGTATACGTGCTGAGCCTGTAGAACTTTTGTCCGAACATCTGACTATATGTATGTTCTATATTCACAGATTTGTGGTATCAGGGTTGGTTCGGTATTGTGTCGCCAGACAGTGGCCCTTTGTTGGCTATAAATAACAATACTTTTGGCCAGAGAGACAGACACACAGGCATGTGTGTGCACAAAAGAAAATGCAGCTCAATAAACTGGCAACAAATGGCGACAATCGGACAGGAGAAGTGCCACAGCACTGAGCCGCTGAGACACTGAGACTTGTACAATTTAACGGCTTTTGTTGCATAAATCGAGCTGCAACAAACGGAGGCAGCAAAGAAACAGCAACAACATTTGTTATGCGATTGCAATCTATAGTTGGCAAAAAGAAAAAAAATCACAAAAATGGCGTCGATCGTTGACAGTGCCAACAAAGATTGTGCAAAAGGCGATGAATATTTATGGCCAGCCCTTGCAGCATCCAAAAAGTCACTCACTCACTCATTCAGTCAGTCACTCACTCAGTCAGTCAATATAGCTACCGATCAGTCATTCGCACAATATCTGCAAAAAGAAAGCCAACAATAAAAAGAAACACCTTTGGCCATTATAGACACTAATAACAAAGACGGATAAATATAAGACAACAGGTTAGCGAACCTCGAACCTCCAACATTTGCATGCCCAGCGAGAAAGAGAGGGCCTGAGGCGATTAGAAAGGGAGAGGATACAGCTGGGTAGAGGGAGAGAGCACTTTCTTGTCGCTACGCGTCGTCTGCTAATACCCCGAAGCCCCAATCCCCAAGCCCCCATAGATGTTTATTATGCAATGAACGTATTTTTTTCAACGACTTGACAAACAGAGCTTTGACAAAAAAACAAAAGACTTCAATGGGGATACTCTTTTTATAAAAAAAAAACTTAAATAAATATTACAAAAACTAATAAGCTTTGAAATTACTTTAGTATGAGCATACCAATTTATAAATAGTTATTCCTTATTTGATGACAACTTTTGAGAAAGAATATTTCCCACTTCAACATAAATTTCAACTTCAACTTACAGGTGATTTCTTCTTTATTTACCTTTATTGTACTCGTTGTCAACGTGCTTTGGATGGTATCTCACCTGCTTTGTCTGATTCACAGCCCGAATCGCAGTTGGGATCTCAATTTCGAATCTGCGATGCGTAGCTCGCACCACCTGATCGTCATAACAAGCAATTTTAATAAAAATCGCATGTTTTACACATAAATTCTTGGACTTGAAAGAAACATTAATTTACAAACATAGAATGCCCCAAGATCAGAGCATATATAGGAAGGCAAATTGCAGTGGCATTATATACATAAATGGTTTGGTGGAGCCTCTCTGCATGCGGGATGACTTGGTAAAAAAAAAGGGTTTCCAGGTCATAAACAATAATGAGTGAGAGGTGCGTTGAACTCAACACGAGGAGGGATGCCAAAATTCTGTTTGTTCTTTGAAATTCGAAGAGTTTAAACCCTTTTTTGTTTTGTTTGTGGGGGACCTGTCAGCACAGAATGGGAATATTTTGTGATGTGTTTGCTGTTTTTATTACCGTTATGTGGTCGGCCTTCCTTCAGATCTCCCTGGACATATATGTACATATTATGTATTTGGTTTATAACGCGAATATTCACACAAAACCTTTTTACGATTCCATCTCATTCCAGAGGACAGAGACCCCGTCAAAAATTACACAAGATGGTGTCGCGTCGAAAAATTCTATCACGTTCCCGCGATGATCTTAATCTCGACCAGACATTCACCCAGCAGGAGGAGGAGGAGGATGTCTGGTATCAAAAGGATAAACTATACAAGGTGAGTCTCTACTGAATTAAATTAGTTCTCTGCGGGTTCTTTAAGACCCTACAAGTTGCAACCAAAAAATACAACCAAAGAAGAATCACCATGACGTGCTGGCCCTGGCCCATCGGCCGTCGTTGACTGACTTCCGCTTGGCCCGAAGAGTAGTTGGCTTCTATGATTTGTGGCTATTTTCCTGTCGCTCATTCTCAACACGTGCGCTAAACGCCAAGTCGAGTCGAGTCGAGTCCACCGCATTGGGGTCAGCATGAAACGCACTAATGCCGAGGTTTTGGTTTTTGTTTTTCCGTTTTATTTTTGTTTTGCTGGATTTTAGGTTTTTGGCTTGGGTTTCTGGTGTTTGTTGTATTGACCAATTGCATTAATTACCGTTAGGCCATCGCATTGCGTTGTGCATTTTTAATTTGCCTACGACGAGGATGGCGGGCCCAGGCAGTAAAAATGGCGCAAAAGCTTTGGTGGCAACTACTTTGGTGGTAAAAACGGCATTATGGCTAACCCTAATGTTTGGACAAGCCCAGCACGAGCTTGGATCGAATCGTCTTTTTTCGATTACAATATGGTTTTTGTTGAATAGATATGCATGTATATCTGTACTGAATGTTTGTGTGTGGGAATTCCATTGATGATGCTGCTAACCCTTTGACTTGCCAGCCAAGGAGTGGAGACCCACTGTTTTGGGTCTAGGTGTGTGCGAGTGGGCCTAACAAATATAATGCAAGTCAGCTGCGTTTCTTTCGAGCTCTTTTGGCTGAAGTTTTAGGGTAATTTTAACCTTTCAACTCTATGTGACTTGGGCGGATTTCAGTCATTAGTTCGGGCCAGCAAGACATTCCAATGAAAATTGGTAGATCCATATAGAGAATCCCCTACAAAGCGGCCAAAGCTTAGCTTTATTTTTAGCCTGCCAGCCGAGTATCTCTATTCAGCTTTTTAACTCATTTTTTGGCAAGCGCTACTGCCCACGCACCCAACTGGGTTAACTGCAATTCATTCGGTTAACAATAACAAACACACAGAGAGAGAGAGCCATCAAAATGCTGGCCATTAAATTGATGTTTTATTTCTAATGGCGATTTGCATAAATTTTTGTTTACATCAGCGCGATTCAAAGGCCTCGCCCAAAAGTGGAAAGTGTGCAGCCGTCGATCTCTTTCTATTGGTCTGTGCTTGTCTCTTTCCGTCTTTGGGTATGTTGCAATTAGCGTGAGCGTGGCATCTATATAATTCCGTTTAGTCTGGCTTAACACAAAGGCGTCCACAAAAACTCTATTTCCCATGATGGAAACGGCAACAAATTATGTCTGAATTTTCCTTTTGTCGTTTTGGCCAAGAGCGAGGGACGGTTCCCTCCTGTTTGGCCCTTTGATTTGACTTGATTTTTTGCTGCTGTGCTTGGAGCGCTTATTGAGCAATTCTGTTGCTCTTGCTCTGGCTGGCTGTGCTATTTTCAATATTGTTTACAAATTTATTATCTGGGAACAGTCTGTGAGCCACAGACGGAAATCGGCACACAAAACAAAAGACTTAGGCAACGAACTTGCATGCATCTGGTCATAGAAACAGAAAATAGAATTCTATTACTTCAGCAACCCACGGTTTGCACTCGTTTTGTTGTGAAAATGAAAATGAAAGTTTTCTTTTTCTGGCTTTTTCCTTTGTTTTTCCTTTCCTGCTATTTTTTTTTTTGCCACCCGTTCACCTGGTTTTGGTTTCGCTTTTTCGGCCCGGCCTGAGCAACAGGATTTGGCGTTGGCGCAAAATGCTTGTGGTGAGCAGGAAAAACCACTAAAACGAGACAGACACGTCCCACACACATATGTGTGTACTTCATGTGAGCTGGCTTTTAAGCCCAAAAATTATACGACAAATTCAATGGAAAAGAGTTTTTTTTTTGTGTTCGCTACCACTTCATCAACGTCCAGGATCAATTGAATTTCCTGCTCATTTCTTGATTGATTTACCTTTGGCGGAAGACTTGCTCTGGGCTATTATTATCATACGTCAGCCCATAGAAAACTCAAGTCTATGAGCATGAAATTTGCATAAATTATATAAGTATTATTTGATTTTTTTGGCCAACCTGAGCCCACTTGACATTAGCTTTGATTATTTGCTTGGAAGGAGAAACTATTGGGAGGCAAATAGTGGGTTAGACAAACAAATTGAAAATGAACATATCAATGAACTTTGGACACCATTTGTTACGGCTGCAACCTGTCACAAGATGAATTTATCAAGACCGTAATAATTTGAGGCGATTGTATCTATTAGCCCGATAGAGACTCCAAAGCCGCCGCCGCCGCCGCCGGATCCCAAATAAAAATCATTTTATTAAATGTCAACTCTGAGCGTTGGGAGCATCTGTTTCCATTCGCCAGCTTCCCCAGATCGGTGGTGGAAGTTGGACGCGAATCGTGACTGCAAAAGTTCAACAACATTTTACACTAAAAAGTGCAACCAGCACCGGCTGAGATTCTGTGCCTCATCTTCTTCGGTTGGATGGTTGTGGGGCTGCACGTGTTGCAAGCCAATGAGACCCAATGGGCCACCATTAGAGATCTTGCAACGGAATAATAGACTTTAATTGCGCCCACAGAAATGCGGTTTGTCGTCTCCTGACGTCACACCGACTGTCTCGCATATTTTCGTATCGTAGCACCACCAAAATCCGTATAATTCATGTTACGGATTTTCTGATTTAATATTGTTCATATGCTAATGACAATCGTGCATACATACCTACATATATAAGGAGACCAAACCCGTTCGCCAAAACTCGTTCGAACTGAGCTAATTTCCATGCACAAATCAGATTACGTATACGCCGGGTAGAACACGCGCTTCTGTAGTGGCACCTTCGGGGGCTTCTGTTGCAACTAGGGTTGCTAATTAAAAGCTGCTGTTGGGTTTTCCACTAAAATTTACAATAAAACCACTCTGTGAACTTCGGCATTTTGAGGTTGTTTCTCTGCACGGCCTAGAAATATGAGCAACAACAAGTTGTAACCAGTTTGTCGACACTTGAGCCTACAAGATTCTTCTTCTTCGTAGAAGTGAAACCTGAAGTGAATCTGCCTAAAGAATCCAACGGAATGAAATCAAAAGTGCTAACATCTTTGCGTCCCAGCCCCAGACCCATCCCCAGTGCCAGACTCTCCATCTGCTGGCAATCTCAATCTCGAAAACCGAGTACGCAAACGCAAAGGCAAACGCAAAGCATCTGAAAAGGTTAACAAGTTTTACTACATGATTTATTTGCATTTTTAATGTGTGTGCCTGCCAGTGATCATGAGGCTGCTGGTGCTGCCTTAGATGCTGCCTTAGATGCTGATGTTGAATGAGTTGGCCCAAAACTTGAGCTCACTCGAGCTGCCTAGACGAGTTTTGCCCAAATCGTCTGTCCGTCTGTAGAATTGTGGCCAAAAGCCAAGCCAGCAGTTGATGCCAGCTACAGCTATAGTGCTTGCTTACACTCAAAAAAAAATTAACCCTAAGATTTAGAAATTCGCCCTATTTTTGTCTTCAACGGCACCGCACCATAAAATTTAGGGTAAATTTTTCTAAAATTAATGGCATTTCCTTTCTAAAATATAAGGAAAATTGCCCTAAAAACAAGAAAAAAATTTCTAAAAAATAGAAAAAAATTCTTAAATTTAGGGTAAATTTTTCTAAAATAATGGCGTTTCCTTTCTAAAATCTAAGGCCAATTTCCCTAAAAATAAGAAAAAAATTTCTAAAAAATAGAAAAAAATTTCTTAAATTAAGGGTTTGTTTTTCTAGGTTTTAGAAAGTACTTTTCTAAAACTAAGGAAAAAATTTCTTGATTTCATGGCGATTTTTTCTAAACCCCAGGGCAAGGCGCCCTAAAATTAAAATAACCCTTTCTACAATATATACAAATATTTCTTAAATTAAAGGTGACCTTTTCTAAATTCTAGAAATTTTATTTATACATTTTACATTACATATTACATCATACATTTACATATTTTTACATTATTTTTACATTTACATTTGTTTTCTTTGATAGCTCTCTTCAGTTCTTACTTTCACATAACACTTTATTTATGGTATATAATAAATTTGACCCTCGAATCTTGAATTGTATACTTGACTTATAAATTTCCAGTAGCACCATGTTTTCCCCTTTTGGTGAGGACTAGAATAGCGTGAATCATTTGCGTCCTTTTTATCTGTGGAAAATAACGTCAATTAATATTGCGATATAAATATATTAATATACTATTTAATCGTGAATGTTTAAAAACATCTTTTAAGGTAGTGTAATTATTACCTTCGCTTTGTTGAGGGAATGTTTTAGTAAGATAAAACTCTGGACTTTCTTTTAACGAAATGAGAGAAAAAATTGCCACAATCTAAGAATTAATTCAATAAATGCATTAAATAAAACAAAATTAATGTATAAAAAATATTACCAATTTGTCTTCACAATTCTGCTTAAGAATGGGCAATTCCTCCTAAGCTAAGTGTAGCTACACTTGTATCGTCCTAGAAAAGAAACTTTTGCGCCACTCAAAAGTAAGATCAAATTTTGCGTTTGCAAGGCTAAGCTTCACCTCTTCACTATTGAACATCAGCCATATTACCTGAAAATGTATTTGGGAAATTATTTTTAACCTTTGAAGTGGGGCGTAATTTACCAGTTGATAACTTTTTCTCCTTAGCCTTCAAATGATAAATTTTGCCATATGCAGCAGACCTTCTGGCTTTTTCCGATGTTAAGATCTATCATGTCTTTCCACAATTAGCTCTAGATTAATTTAATTAGTAATTAAATTAAATTACTTATGAAATTAGTAACGTTTTTAGTAACTTACCAGCGAAAAAAAAGAAAAGGCTTCTCAGTTTATCTTTTTCAGCAAGGAATCAATTAGCACTTTTTAAATAAACTTTTTAATAAACTTGTAATGTCAACATCTTAGAGATAGTTTAAATATCGTTACATTATTTCTTAACATGATTTTTTGTATTTAACATGTTAAAACTTTATACATAAAATATAATATAGATCAGTATGCATTTATCTGCCCGTGCTCTGCCACACACACAGTATAAGTGTGTGAAACGTCATGACGCGTCATGCTCAGAGCCTACTTTCTGCTTTCTGCTATACTAATACTAATGCGTTAAAATCATATCAATGTATTGGGTGCCGACCACGGACAGAGATAAAATATAAAAAAAAATTATATATTAAAAAAAAATATTTATATTTTCTAGGGTTACCTAAATTAAAGGGTAACACTGTGCATTTTTAGAAAGGAATTTCTATATTATAGAAACAGTTTTCTATTTTGTAGGGTTAGTATCTTTTTTAGAAAGGAATTTCTATATTGTAGAAACAGTTTTCTATTTTTTAGGGTTAGTATCTTTTTAAGAAAGGGATTTCTATATTGTAGAAACAGTTTTCTATTTTTTAGGGTTAGTAAATTTTATGGTGAGCCTTTCTATTATTAAGAAAATATTTCCTGAAAATAAGTCATAATTTGCCTTAATTATAGAAAAGTTTTCTTGATTTTAGGGCGATTTCAGTTTATGGCGACTATTTCTATATTTGAGAAAAACTTCTTTGATTTAAGAAATTTTTCTTGTTTTCAGAAAATTTTTTCTAGAAACTAGAAATTGTTTCTTGTATTTAGAAACAATTAAGTTTTATGGCGAATTTCTAAATTTAAGGGTAAATTTTATTTTGAGTGTACTTTTTGTTGTTCATATTTTTCATATATATTTTTTTTTATATTTATTATAACCCAAAAAAGTGACTGAAATTGTGGGCATGTTGGTTACTGGGCTAATGGCTTTGTTTATGACGTTCTTTGTTCGGGTTAATTGAGCCAGCCCGGTACAGAGGGAAATTGGCCAGCTGTTGAGGTTTTTGAGGGGTTTTTCGTGTATGCATATTACATATGGACCTACAGTAAGTTTCGGTAATGTAAATAGTTTAAGGGTTATTAAATGGAATGTTAGAGCATGTTGTTTGAGAAATATTCGTCCACTAATCGACTGATAGCCAGAGGAATTCAGTTGCAAAAATCGCTAGCCGGTTTATATAAAGTAGAAATGTTAAATATTTTCAAAGTGCACTTAAGCATGACGCAAGCAAAGTAGAGCTGCAATCAAAAGCCTTGCAGCACTTCAAATATCTATGCATATAAGTATATTGTTGGATATAAAAAAGACTTCAAGCAGAGCAACAGAGCAAATGCTTAGGCAGGCAACAGAAACACCAACAGCAAAAGCAACAGCACCAACGATATCGTTGTCTATAATTTTATATGTCTTACTGCACCACGGAATCAAGTTGGAGCTGCAGCTTTATAGCCATGTTGCCATGGAACTGCAAAACCCAAGCCCCAGTCTGCCCGGCTGGGTCTGGCTTAGTGTGTTCGTGTCAGCATTTGCTCCGATTTGATTTTAACTTTTATTTAACAAACTGCAAAACAACACAAACGCAAACACAGACTCTGATGCTTGTAATGGCAGCCAGCCAAACAAAAAGCCAACAAAAAATAAGTAAAAGTAAAATGAGTGAAAAAATACAACAACAAAAATACAAACTTAAAACGCAAGCGCCCAACAAGGCCGTTCACTTTGGCTCACACATACCAACACTCGATCGACCAACTGATCACGATGGAAAGTGAAAATTGCTAGTATTAGCCATAGTCTCTATGTTTTTTCTTAGGATTTTTTTTGCGCCATATACCCCAAGACAAGTTGCGAATGTTTCGGGATCAAATCAATGGATTTTTGGGAAACTTGTGATATTTTTTGGTTAACCAAAGCCATAAGATTTAATAGGTTTAGAGAGGGTCGTTAAAGTGGTTAGTAAAAGTGAAAAATGTTACTCTATCTAATTAATTAAATCTCTGCCATTAAAGGATACTCTATACGTTACTTATTAAAACTATTTATCATATACAGGAACACATTCAGGAAGTGCTGGACAAGTGGACCCAAATCGACGACGAAATCTGGGCCAAAGTGATCGTTTTCGAGCGGAATCGGCGCGTGGCCAAGGCGTACGCACGGGCTCCGGTGCTGACCATCAATGGGTCCGACGATGGCTTCGACGGCATGCGGTGAGTAACGCCCCCTTCAGTCATCCCTTGACCATCCCTTTTGCTTTAAAAACTACAATAATTAACGGTCATTGCAAAGCAAAAGGCAAATAAACAAACAAAGGCAGCCAACTTTGGAAGCAGTTAAAAAAAAAAAAAACAAAAATATCCCAACAAAACACATTAAACATGAGCAAACAATGCCTTTGAACTTTGGCTAAAACAAAACAAAATGAGACACAAAAAACATAAATATAATAAATATATAAATATATATATATACATAAATATATATAATATATTAATGTCCGTTCGGGCATGGGCACTGGCAAATTTGTATGCCCTTGACCCACTGGCAAAGAAAATTCACAGCAGGAGCTCTTCAGGTCTTCAGGGTATCTATAATTTTAAAAAGAGTTTGTAGAAAAAATATATTTAATAATATAAAAGTGACATGAGTCAAGTGTTAAGGATAATTGTTTAATATTAGAACTGGTTTTAATTGTGAATGAGAAAAGAGGAATAAATGTATGTACTTTTTCTCAAGTTATTTCCCTATAATGGTGACTGATGGTTAATTTTGAAAACGTGTAATTCCGCTGACAAGTGTATCAGCTACTTCGATGCGAATGGCGGCTGTAACCTTCGTCTTCATCTGCCTCTTGGATGTTTTTCTGATTTTGTGTAAAAATAAATGGCTGCTGATGTGCTCTCGAATGGGCAATGAATGAAACGCCCATCAAATTGATGGGCATCCCATTAAAATTTAATTCCCCCAATGAACTTCACGTCTTTTCCAGCCAGTATACTATGTATAGTAAGATCTGTGTAAAAGGCGGAGAACCTTCGGAGGGCAGGGGCATTGCAAAATGCTGACCTTAGTGGAAACAATTTGTAGCATGTGAAAAGCTACATATATGTATACCTCCCCTCGAAGCCAAAAAAAGCTAGTGAAAATGCTTTAATAATTACGCGGTACTTCTTACTCGCTTATTTCTATGAAATGAGCGATTTCCGTTTTGCCAAAGCAATTTAAGTCAAGAATTCGGTGTGTTTTTTTGTATTTTTGGAGGTCTTTCGAACGGTTCTTGGAATTTTGTGTTGCTGGCTGCAATTGCTGCAAGCGAGGGCCTAATTAACATATTCCGTTTCAAAAAAAATATTACTGTTGCGTGCCAGAAATTGCCAAATGCCAAATACCTTTACGCTCAATTGCTGTGGCAATTTTGGACTGCTTGAGCCACAGCCCACACAGTCAAATGTCAAGAAGTATCTGGCTAGAGAAACAAAATAAAAGAATAATGGGGGGATCCATTGATCCACAGATCCATGCATAATGCATTAGGCTAAGTAGTAAGGCGACTATATGTGGCGATTATTCAGTTCAAATATTGAAAGAGCCGCCCCTTAAAAGGGCATCAAGTGCAGGAGGCAGGCGGCAGGCGGCGGCGGCGTCGGCTCCTTTTGTAAATGGCCACAAATAGAGTTGCTGCCAGATGCCAAATGTCAACAGCGCCAAACGGCAACACAAATAAATTGGAAATACTAAAAAAAAACACATCACAGACAACAAAAAACAAAACAAGAAGACAATGAAGATGGAGAAGAAAACAAATGAAATTGAAAATAATAACGAAAGTCATTCATTCAATTCGTTTTCGTTCGTGACGAGGTCATCACAGATTGCCGATGCAAATTGCTCTTGTCATGGCAAGAGTCTTTCTCTGCCATTTCCCTGGGCCCCCTCTAACTATCTACTTAAAAGACAAAAGACACAGGGATCCACCAATGTTAGTTACTACTACTTGTTTATGTCAACTGGGGGTTAAGTACAACATCGACATCGGCATCGGCGTCGGCATCAGCATAGGAATTGGGATTCGGATTTGGATTGGGTTTTGCTTTATGTTTGTGTTTCTGTTTGGAAAAACTACTTTTGCATGGCGGGAGTGTCGGGAGTGTCAGGTTAATCAATTGCCAATTGCCGCCAACTTCAAACATGGCCTCCGCAGGAGAGATAATTTATGGCCATGTAGCTGCCTTGTTTATGAGTTTCCCTGAGTGTGGTCCAAAGACCCTTGTAGTTGTCATGGACATTGTCTTTGTTGCTTGGTTGCCTAGTGTCTGCTGCTTTTCCTTTATCTCCGTCTAGGGCCAGCAGCTTGTTTGTTTAATTAGCCGCTGTCAGCGCTTGTTAGCCAGTGCTATCTTTCGGGTTAACCGAATTGCATTTGAATGTGGCGGGCGGGCAGACATGCATACAGAATTGCACTTCACACGCAATGCTTTTCATCCGAAATCTGGCAAGTATGCAAATAATAGAGCCGAGGCTGCGATCTGAGCTATGATAGGTGTTATACATGCTGTCTAGTATGAGCACCTCTAACAATAACCATAAATCTGGCTCAGCTTGACTACACAATGAGCTTCTCTAAAGGATGTTATTTTATTTTCTCACTATTTTCAATTTATTTTCCAATTTATTTTGCTTGCCATTTGCATTCAGATTTATTCCAAGTGAAGGCAAGTCAGGGCATTTAACTATCGACCTGGCCAACTGGGCTAAAAGCCATTTTTGTGTGTTGCATGCATAGACAAATTTCCATTTGTGGAGCCAGCTGCGGCATGTAAATTAATTAATTAGACTGACGCTGATGTTGCTGGCGTGAATGCTGGCTAGTAGTTGGTGTTGCTGGTGTTACTGATGTGACTGGTGTGGGCGCTAAAACTGGCTAAAAGGAGGACCACACGCACACCTGAGAGACAAACACATTGAACTACCGCCAGTTGCGATCAGTGATCTTGAAGACATATGGGTTTTCAACAAGCGCGTTTAATTAATGGCCAATCCTTAAGCCATCATTGCCGGATAATATACATTGCCCCCTTCGGTGTTACTTCAAATGGCGCCAATATAAATTCTGCAATTTATGACAGTTTCGAGTTTCGCTGAGGGTTGAACTTTTTAGCGGGGTTTTTGAATGATTTTTGCGAAACAGTTCATTGCGTGGGCGTTGCCAATCGTATTTGCATGTTGCTGGGAACAAATGAAATGGAAATCAAATCATAATATCAAGCTGTGCTCCGATTGCAACACACAATATACTATATTGTGTTGCTGCATGTTTCGTGCGGAAAGAAAAAAAAAAACTATAACAGGGGCGCGCCAAGGTTGAGATTTACTTTGCGAGAGTTTTTTGAACGCAATTTGCTGGCCAGACAAAAGACATTTTCAACTTTGTGTATCAGAGGCCCTGCTGGTGCTGAGTAACCACAGTAGTTGCAAAAGCAACATTGTCATTGTACTTGTTATTGTTGCCGCTGTCGCTGCTACTGCTGCCGTTGCCGTTGCTGTTGCTGTTGCTGTTGCTGTTGCACACGTGCCACATTTGTCAGGGCAAGAACAATAGTCAAATTGTGGCAGTTGCGGCCTTCGCGTCGCATTTTAAGGTGCGACCCAAAACTGGAGCGGGAAACGCTGCCTATAATTAGCCATAATCTAATTAATGCCAAATCAAGCCAAACAAGTTATCCGATCGCTGGGTTTGTTTCCTAAGTCTTTCGTTTGGCGACTTTTACTAAAGCACATTAAATAAATACATACGAACTACATAGCATACATGTCTTTGACTATGGTATGGTATTTTTAACTGAACCGGTTGGACATTGTTTTTGCCCACTGGCCGCAGGTCAAAAGTTGTTCCCAACCACCGTTCGAAACCAGTTGCCGTTAACTGCAACTTTTTTGCGGCTGCAACAGTTGTTGCTGTTGCTGCAGTGGCTTGTGATGGCTTCCTCCTCGAAGAAGCCCCCATGGATCGTCCTCGCAAGTGCAGCCTGACCCACTGCACACGTTTAACTTGAACTCCAAAATCGCAACGGTTTCCAGTTTTGCGGAGCGAGTTCGTTCGGAACAACTCTCGCTTTCGGTTGGTCTTTCGATGCCTTTCGCATTTCCAGCTCATTTAGGCGTGTCAAGTCGAGTCCAGTCCTCAGACCAGACGACCTTGCAACCGATATATGTATGTATGTACTTCAACAAGTATATAGATATCAGCATACATAACTGCGATAATGTGCTGGCCACATCGAAGTGAATGTCTCCAAGACATGCTCTGAATAAGTGTCTATTAAACTGTCAGTGGGTTGGGTGGCTGGTTCTTCCTTTGCCTTATTTTGTGGGCAAACCCAACAACACATCTGCCACCCATCTGTTCTTAGCTGTTGGCATTCAGGTTTAATAACATTTCGCTTATGATGGCTTGAATTTAACGAAGCATTTACCGAACAAAGAACTGCAAATCCGCTTTAGGCTCCAACCTTGAGAGGCGCACACATCAACAGCTAGCGGCAGTGGCGGCGGCACTAGTAGCACCATCGCCCGTCCATGTCGATTTCGTTTCATGGAAAACTTTGACACACATTTCAACGGTTTTTACAAGCGTTTAGCCAATAAATCAGTGGAGCCGAGCGGCAGACGTTACGCGCAGAACTGAAGCACACGGCCAAATGCCAAAGCGATGCTAACGGCGATTGTTGGTTGGTAGTGGCTGGTGTTGCTACTGCCATTGTTGTTCTGGCTGGCTTCTTTGGCTCAGTTCTTGTTCTGGCTGCTTCATTATACAAATTAACATAAAATATATTAGTGACAGGTGAGCTGGGCAGCAGAAGTACTAGCAGCAACAGCAGCAGCAGCAGCAAAAGCAAAAGCTGAGAAGCAACAGCAATGCCAGGCAGCACCATCTAGCAACATCATCATCATCATCTTGCCGTGGCCTTTTATGCAAACGACAATTACAATTAGCCTGGCTTCATTGTCTTGACTCTGCGGCTTCCTCTTGCCGCTTCTTGTTAGCATTTCTGCCGACATTTTCGGCGACCTTAGCGGCGAAGGAAAAACTAAAATCAAAACAGCACACCGAAGGAGAAAAAATAAAACGAACATTCATCATTCGGTAGAAGCGGATCTGCTGCAGTTTTAATGGATAGTTCAAATCCAATTAGGGCTAGTCAGACTTTTTATTTAATTCCTATTTTGTGATAACACTGAGCCACATATTTTAAAAACTAAAAGTTCAATTGCTAGTGACTCAGCTTACGAGGCTAAACAATTAAAAGCCTAAATTTGGGCCAAAATATGACATGTTTATTTAATAAATTTGGGCTGCAGCTGCCGCACTCTGCCCCATGTGGCATAAATCACTGTCAGTGCACATTTGAGCCAAACGATTGAACGGTTCTTTCGGTTCTCTCCCAAAGCTCGAAAACCAGACTCAAGGCAAATGTTTTGTCAAACGTTTAGTGTAACAAAATGCGGCACACGGGCCAAGACGACGGCCCAACCAAACATTGTGACTCACCCGTTGTGGCAGCAACCTCGATTCCAGAAAGTGAACGGCCGCCACCAATAAGTGGCAAAGCTTTTTGGCAACACTTTTGATGTCTGCTGATTTGGAGCTCTTAATGCGGCAGCTGATTGATTTTCAATTAATAAAATACTCATTATGCCTGTCTAATGATTGCCAAACGCTTGCCTTCTTCCATTTGCAGAATTGGACTTTGCGGCTTCGACAATCCGATGAGGGATCAGAAGACCGACGAACTGAAGCGCGTCATCGGGCAGGTAAGCATCGAATTTATGGGACAATCAAAGAGACATCGGTTTAATTAGCTTTGGCAATAAAGCCGAAAATTTGACGAGAAATCCCCATTAGGGGGAAAGATGGTGTGAAGATTACAGACCTCACACACTCTACAGCCCAAAACCATGTCACAAATAGCTTCGATACGGGTAGCTAATATCAGAAATACTCTATCCCCAAAAACAGGGTGTTAAAATAAAAATGGATGATGCTGGCAACATACTAATCCGACGTTATGCCAAAAGTAATGTCTATGTAAAGAGCACCGCCAGCAGTCCCAACGAGGAGACCTCCATCGGTGCCGAAATCTTGAAGCTGCCCAACCAGGCGCTCGAATCAGAAAAAATAGTCAAGGTAAGTGAGTGACACCTTTGGATGCCATCCGAAATCCTAATACGATTGTTCTCCGCCAGCTGTTCGACATGAAGAAGTTCCAGTCGAATGTCAATCGTGAATTACGTCGCGCTTATCCAGATCGCCGGCGTCTGGAGACACAGTGTCTCTCCTCGGTGGCCTTTGTCAAGTCGGAGAACGATGTCCTGGAGTGCCCCATTTGGGTGCTCATTGTCAATGTGGTGGCCATGGATATGCTTAAGAGCAAACTGCCACCAGGTAGGCTCTACACACAACATTACTTTATTGGTATTAACTTATTATTCCCAACAGTACAACGTCCTATTGTGGACATCAAGAACCGCCCGCGCATTCCGATTCCTGATGAGGATCCCTATAGCGTGGCTGGTAACGGAAGTGGTGGCAGTTCCGGCAGCTCGGGCTTTGGCAGTGGTCACCAGTCCCAGTTGCATCCACAGCAGCAACAGCAGCTGGGTAAGCTTCTGAACAACGGAAGCAGCGGAGGACATGTGGCCGCCACCCGGGAACAGTTGCTCCTACAAACGCAGCAACTAGCCCACAAACGAAGCGAGAAGCCGCCCAAACTGCCACCCCGGGATAATGTTTACTCACACGATCTGATTCCCAAGGTAGGTTAGACTGTGTACCCTTAGAACACCCAATATTCCTCTTGATTTTGGCGTATCGGTAACCAAAAAAAAAAGCAAGTGTTGCTGGTTGCCCAAGTGCCTTCATTTGCGGGCAAAGTGTCGGAACAAATTTGGCAGCGTTAAAACATGAGTAAGACAAGCCATGAATATAGTTAGTGTGGCAACCTGTCCGCTTGGCTTGAGTTACTAGAGCTAGTTAGTTAGTCTGACTGCCCAAGCTTGGTCACATGCGCAATGGGGCCACTTGCAAAATGGATCTCCCACTTGGAACTCCACAGACACAGTAACAGACACCGATACAGAGTCTCTGTGTTTTGGCCACTTGTTGCAAAGATTTCGCCCGTTGAGCCTCACTGAGCAATTGGCATTGCATTCAATAATATTCGAATTTCAGCAGCATAAGGCCTCAAATAACTGCGAACGAATCGCGTGTAATTAATATGCGCGGTATGCCGTTGCCATAGCTGGATTGTTGGATTTTTTGTTGCTTTAACATTTGCAGCTCGATTGCCAATTGGGCCCAACGACCGATCGAATCCAACCAAGCTTTTGGATTGCTCGGAGTGCTGTTATGCCAACGGAGAGCAGCCAGTTTGTTGGACACACCTTGCGCAACTTCCAATGGAAAATTGCTGGAATTGGATCCATAAATTCCGTCTCCGAATGCTTTCTTCTAACTCCATTTTATTCTTTCTCTTTTAGCCGGATTACGATGACATTGATTTGGAAACTCGCATTAAACTGTCACGCGGCAAATCGGACAAGGGCAAAGATAACAAGAAATATGGTAAGATCCGAATCGCAAATTGGCCAAAACAGAATATCAGGTGTCGAAGAAACCAAATTGACCCAGATTCTACTGGGAAGAATTTCGGGTTGGCGAACTCTTTTGAGATTTCCACCTTTGATAAGGCCACTCGGCAACTTTGATCCTAAATAGCATTTTGTATCGCTAAACGACAGTAGATTAAAATTTTTTATTTTTTTCTTATCCCATTAGATGATCCCTACTACTGCGGACTGAGGGCCCGCGTTCCGAACTTTGTGAAATCCGGAAAATCAAACAACAACAAGGACCAACGAGACGGCAATGGAAACAACATCTCCAATGGTGGCATGAGCACACTTAGCCAGAAGAAGACCTCGATGATCCACAACCACCTGGCGGGCATGCATCCCCATTCGCACCACATCCAGCAGCAGCAACAACAGTTGATGGCAGCCGCGGCTGCGGCGCATGCGGCGCACCACCATTCGGGTCACCAGCAGCAGCACCACCAGATTTGGCAGACTCGCAGCTATGAGAGCGGCATAGGTATTTATAAACAGGGTGGGCTCAAAACGCATGCACTGCAAATGCAAATGCAACTGCAACATCATCAGCAACAACCACAGTCACTGCCAACGGACTTAACAGCAACAGCAACAACTGAAAATGCAACTGCAACAGCAACTGCATCAAACCAGACACAAAGCACTGCTAACAAATCACGTAGCCACATGCAACAGCAACAGACGCAGCAGCAACATTTGCACCCACATCCGCATCCGCACTCGTATTCGCACGCACATCCGCACCACAGACACCATCAGCACCAGCACCACCATCACCAACACCAGCGTAGCCATCAGTGCGAGCGCCACTCCCGACTCCAGCAGCAACAGCTGCAACATCAACAGCAGCAACAGCAACATCAGCAGTCGCAACCCTTCTACGACAATCTTGAGGATTCAGTTTGCCGCCAGGTGACCAGGCGGTTGTCCACACGCCGTGCACTGGCCTCGGAGGGAACCTCCACTTCCTCTTGCAACTGTGTAAGCTGCTACGCCCTGGCCCCTCTGTGTGGAGCGGTTCCACCGCCACGTCCTCAGAGAAGCCTCAGCCAGCAGCAGTTGAGACGCCATCAGCGGCTCAGTGGAGTGGCCCAGCCGGAATTACCCATCGGCGGTGGCTTGGTGAAGTGGTGCAGTGAGAGCGATGTCTCGGTGCTGGAGATGGAACCATCCCATAACGAACGCTACGACGATTGCTACGCGTACGATGACTTTGACCTGGACTTTGACCTGGACTCTGACCTGGCATTGACTCGCCAACCAATTCCACGCCGGCGCAGAGCCACAGAGACGGTGGACCTTTATGCGGATCGATCCCATCTGCGACAGCAGCAGGCGCCGGCGGTGCTGCGCCACAAGTCGCAGTCTACCGAGAGCTTTTTCGAGCAGCCGAACGAGGAGGGCTCCCTCTATATGTACGGCGGTCGAAAACGCATTGCGGTGAAGGCGCCATCGGCGGCCAACATCTATGACCGGGTGCGCGGATCCACGGACTCGGACAGAGATAGGGAGAGGGAGCGGGAGCGGGAAAGGGTCAGGGAAAGAGGAGGACACTATGGCATATTGAGCCCAAATAGAAGCCGCAAGACGCCACCACAGCTGCCAGCACCGAGCTGGCGAGGCGGCAAGCGACAGGAGCAGGCTCAAAACGCTGACAAAAGACGTTATGACAATGCCACCGGCAATAGCAATATTACCAATAGCAATAGCAACAACAACAACAATAATATCCAGCACAAAAGACAACTAACGAACGCCAAGCAAGACAATGACGACATGTTGAAAAACAAAAATTATTTCAATAGTAAAAACAAAAGTATAGCAACAACAGCAGCATCTAAAGCCTCAACAGCAGCGAAAGCGACAGCAACAGCATCAGAAACCGCAGCCCCAGCATCTGGCGGAGGTGGAGGAAAAGCAACCGGCGCAGGAGGAGGAGGAGGAGGAGGAGCAGCAGCAGCAGCAGGAGGAGGAGTCGGCCCAACAATGAGCAATAGTCCCGGGCAGACGAACAATGCCCCGCCACCTCCTCCTCCGTCGGGAGCAAGAACCGGGCGCAGTACCAGCCGCCTTGACATCAGCGACATGGAGTCCATTTATGGCTACCTTAAACCGCGCAAGCCGCGCAGCCTCAGCCTGAAGAAAATCCAAATACTCGACTACTGAATGGACTGAATTTATTTGGGGTTGCTCGAATTCGAAACGAGGTTATATGGCGCACAGACTCCGATATTAGTTATTGTTTTTGGTTGCCCCCTGTTTTGGGTCGGATCGGGTCGGGTTGGATCGGTCAGATCGATTGCTGTACATACCACAAACGCACAATGGTTTACCTTAATGCCCGGTGAACTGAACCACTAAACTGTACGATATTTATACTAACTTGCACCTTGGACTCCTTATAGCCTGGACAGCCACGACACCACTTTGTACATACACACTTTTGAGATTGGTTCGTTTTCCAAAACAAGAAATCAAAATTTTTGATTTTAAATATAATTTTATTTAAAAACGAACCAATCTCCTACGCATATTCGCATTCATAATCCCAAACCAAAAAGTCCCTAAATACCAGTTGCTAACCTGATATCTTTGTGCTTCTTATAGATTCGGAGCTTGTCGAATCACCTTACAATCACATCTACGGACGCCATTTACCGCTGCCAACACGCGGCTACGTGCCCACACCTCGCATGTTCATCGGGGAATGGGACTGAGCCAGAGATTGCACCGCACCTGGGCTTTCAACGCCCGATTTTGAGCGACCAAGGCACAAAGCACCATCTGCACGGTGGAACGCTGTCCGTGCGGAGCTAATTTAAGTCAACCAGCTAAAAAAAAAAAAGCTTGAAATATTATTTACATTACATTAATTTAGCAAAATATTATGGTAAAATAATATTAGGCTAGACATAAGCAAATGAAAGAAAACAAAAACAAACGCAAAACCCATTCTAATAATTAGTGGTACGACATCGGATATTTAGCGCTTTTCCCTAGCAGTTTTGAGATTACGCACTTCTATGAGCCAACTTTGTTTACCCTGTTGTATGAATTGAATGAATAGCCATTGCATTAGTTCAGTTTTAGGTTTTAAGATTTTTGTAAATTTTTCTCGTCCATCCGTCGAATTGCTAACCGGCCTATTCGGGGTTTTACTTCCATTCCATTTTCAGATCGTTTACATATATAAATTTCCATATATTTTCAAAGATATGAAGTGTAGCCCCGGATATGCCGATCAAAACGATTGGGCTGCTTGAATTTTATTTTATATCGAAATATTTTGTATTGTGTATGAAAAGTAATAAAATTATCGTTCAAAAAATTAATTGTTGTATTTAATTATTATAAATCAATTATATATTCATTTTTTCTCAGATCAATTAAAACAGTATATCCGGAATTTGAAGTTAGTAACTTAAGATTTTATCTGTGCTCCAGAGCATTCATGGTACTCCTAGTATTCACATGTAATAATCGGGATCCCAATTCGGCGGTCTCATATGATCTGGATTGGGTCCACGACCTGGCACATTAGGATCGGCGGGACCGAACGGATCAAATCGCGGTAGCGGTCCCACTCCAGGGCCCATATTTGGGCGCGAGGGAAACGCAAAAAGATTACCAGGACCACCGCGACCCAGTGGATCCAAGTCGCCACGACCGATGTCCGGAAAGCCAAAAGGGCGAGGCTCGAAACCTCCTGGCATGTAGGACCTACATATGATTAGATAAATAATTTATCCATTCATACTTCGTTACCGTAGCTTACCCGGGCCGTCTGGGCTCGCCAATACGAAGAGGATCCGATCCGCTGGCTCGTGGAGCGGTAGTCTGTGTGGTAACCTCACGCGAATTGCCCGTAAAGACCGGATCAAGGAGCTCCTTTCGGTACCGGTCAACAATCTCTGAAGCGCTTGGCATAAGAGTGGCAATGCTACCCTTGACTTCAGCTACCAGAGTCTCGGGCTCAAGGCAAATGTTTGAAACCTTCTTGGTATTTATGTCCATCAGATTCACAAGCAGCGCATCCTCGGTAATGTGGCCCAGCAAAAGATAGAGAACCTTGTCGTGAACGTAGCGCAGGGAATATTTTGTGTCATCGTCGTTCCAGCTATCCGGCAGCAGTTCGCTGCCCTCTTCTTCAGGCAATGTTTTCTACCAAATTTCACAATAAAATGATGGAACGGTCCGATAAGATTCTTACTCACATCATCGCCAATACCAACGCACCGGAAGCTGTAGTGCTTAGTGAGGAGAAAGTGGATGAGGGCAACCAGGAGGTCAGCTTTCTTGTTGACATCTGCCTGAACCGTCTTATAGAGCAGATCCCATCCGTAAAAAAACTCGCCACTCTTGGCGGCCGCCTCCATGTCGATAATTGAAAGGATTCACAATTACGGAACCAGATTCAACATGTCCCACGAAGCACACGAAGAGAACTTTTTAATTTTTTGTCTGATGAGGTTGAAATCTATATGCTTCTCGTTGTTCCGTACGTGACAGTTAGTTAACAGATATATATATGACAAATAAAGGATTTCAATTGTTTTGTTTTTCCTTTCACTAGAGAATCTATAGTAGTCAGTAGTAGAGATGGTCGGTAAACGTGTGCCGATAACGCATACGATATACTGCGATTCCGTGATTAAATATGGATCGATGGATCAAAACCAATATGTTCTATATGTCCTCTATGCTCTCTAACAGGTTTTCAGCCTATGAACTTTGTGCAAAGTTTAACCCCACCGCCTACAAAAAGTTTCCATCTTTACAACCAAAAAAATGTTCAGAATATTTTGAAATGAATGTATTCGGTTTTCTATATATCCACAAATAAATATTATTTGTAAATCATTATTTATGATTTAAATTTATAGAATGTATTTTTTTAGAAATAATTTATATCATAGGATAATGTGATCAGTAGACTATCCTTTAACCAATATGTTTTTTTTATTAAAAACCTTTTTGGGGCTCAAATCTTAAAATCTATTAACATTTTTGCACCAACCAAATAATGTTTGATATGATCCAATAAATTAATTACCCTTGATATATGAATGTCACCTCTTTGAAACTAACTGTAATATATATTTTATTCCCTATATAGAAACTTAGAACTTGTGAAGTCATGTCTTCCTACTAGAGGTGCAAAAAACATCGATGAAAACATCGATGCATCGATGTTTTTTGAATTTTCCACAACATCGATGTTTTTTTTTGACCATCGATGTTTTTGTGCCGTCACTATCAAGAGAACAAGCAAAGAAGAGGTACGTAAATTTTAAATTTTAAATTTAAAAATTTTTAAAATTTAAAAATTTTAATTTTAAATTTTAAAATTTTATTACAACCGTATGTCTATTTATCTATTTAACTTATTTAAAAAATATTTTTTTAATTTTTAAAAACATCGATGTTTTATCGATGTTTTGGGAAAAACATACATCGATGTTTTTGCACCTCTACTTCCTACTAAACAATACTACTAAGCAATATCGGTATATCAATGCGGTCACACTAATATCACTTTAGAGAACTAGTTCCGTAGACATTTGCAAAATTAATTTGCAATTATTTGCAAACTGTATTTATTTTATTATTTTCTCCTTGGTTTTTAATGGTTTGATAAATTATTTTTTAGGTAAGGGTTTTTTAGGCTAAAGTAACATATTTCAAAAGACACATCTATCTCTATCGCACAGTTCGTGTTCTTACCGACATTCCGTGAGTGGAAAAGGGACAACATGATAGTTATAGGGTTACCAACGCAACAAAAAATTCAATATTTTATATATTTTTTAACTTAAAAACAACTGAAATTATATTTTGAATACTAAATAGTGTTTTAACTTGAAAAAAATTTTTATCATCCTTATCAGCAAACTTTTTTGTGAAGAGATCACATATATTAATTTTGACTAATGGCTGTACTTAGATAATACCGATTTGAGATCCTAAGATAATTCGTTTGATCTTTTTATCCTGGCAAATATATAGAAAAAAGTATATCTCTCAAAAGTCGTACCCTCGGAATTTTAGTGCCGAATCCGTACTCATGTACACTTCGTGTACCACTCGTTTTTGTTCGTCTGGGTACCGAAGAAGACGCCATTTTGTGTGAAAAAATTTTTTTCTGCTGGGGCGGCGTTTATGTGAATATCTTACAAAATTAGTCGAATTACTATTTCCCGGAGATTTAGTGATACTATTACTTACCGGCTATCGTATCAGTTCACAAATAAACAAAAAATCACGCGGCATTCTAGTGGTGTTGTTGTTGAACTGAAAGTAAAGAGCCAAACGTGCCGCCTTTATTGTTGTGTCTCCAGGCGAGCTGCAGTGATTGTAAAAGTGAATTAGCACGTGTGGCCAGAAAGGGAATAGCTCCTCAAGATGAGTAGCAGCACCCCCGGTAGCGATGCGGCGGCGACGCCATCGTCGTCTCCACTGGTCAAAGTGGAGGCAGACTTCTCAGGTGAGTGATTTGTTGATCCCATAGATACACAAAGGGCCATGTCTCAATAGCATCCTTCCAACCCATTAGGATCGAAGTTTGAAATAGATGCATCACTGTCTGACGAGGAACGTAAGTTCTACCTAAAGATGTTTTCCTCCGTGGATTTGGTGAATCTGCGTAAAGTACACTGCACAGTGTGTCGCCTCCATTTGGGATGTGCTCCAGTCTCCGAGAACAACATCAAGATGCATCCCATTCTGCGAGTGACGCACTGCGTCAAGTGCCACGATTTTTATAACAGCGGCGAGTTCTCCAAGGGTGAGGACGGCTCTGAGCTGTACTGCCGCTGGTGCGGCCAAGGCGGCGAGGTGTACTGCTGCTCGACATGTCCCTATGTCTTCTGCAAGTGTTGCATTGTGAAGAACCTCTCCAAGGGCGTGGTAGTGGACATTGAGCAGAATGAGAACTGGAACTGCTTCAGCTGCACCTCCAAGATTCTTTGGCCCCTGCGTGCCCAGCACTGGGCCCTGGTAAACTACATCCAGACTCAAAAAAGGTATGCCCTTGGAAATACATTAAAACAGAATATCTTCTAAAATCTCTCTTTGTTTTTATAGAGCGATTCAAGCGTTACCGCTGCCCGAAATCGAAATTCGTCGTCTTATGCTCAAGGATAACAGCACTTGCTGCCGGAAGATTAACTATTTGTCAGACTCGATGGAAAGCGTGGAATCGAACGCCTCCAAACGCAGCCAGAGCAGCCCAGCGGTTCCGAAGAGAACCAAACCAGCTCAGCCCCCACCGGCAAAGCGTCCCAAACCCGCTTCCAACGATGAGGTAGTCTGCACCCCGGATCTTCTCAGCATGCTAGAACCGGATTGCCAGCTATCAACACCTAACCAACCTAAATTAGGCACTCGCCTTCCGGTGCTACCCGCCAATGTCACTACCACCCCCAAGATCGTCACTGTCGAGCAGAACTACACAGGACCGACTCCCAGCAATAGTAGCGGAAGTAATGGAAGTGGAAGTGGGTCATTGCCAATGCAAAGAAACAGTCTGCCACCGCCTCTAGTCCTGAGTGGTTCGGGAATACGATACCGCCAAAATGGCCCAAGTGGTAATGTAGTGCGCCGTACAGTAGTGCCCAACCCGGTGCGAAACTCTGGTCCTGTATTCCACACTATTAACGGTTTCCGGGTGGACTTAAATAGTGCGGCACAGCAGGACTCGTATCGACTGCCAAACGGCCGTTTGATCCAAGTAAAGCGACAGGTACCCCCGACACAGCAGCCGCCGGCGGCGTCCCCAATGGGTCTTCCGCCGGGCATTGTTATCCGACCAGCGCGACCTACGCATCCAGCTGTTGGTAGACAGAGCCAGGCCCAGGGCCTTGGCAGTAACATTGGCATCTACAATCCGCAAAATAATCAGCCACAAAGATCCCCTCAGATTGTACGGATCGGAAGCATGAATCCGGCAGCTGCATCCCAACAACAAGCCCCGCCATCAAACGTAAACGGAGGTCAGCCAGCAACGGCTGGACATCCAGGCCCGCCAGGGCCCAAGACTTCAACTCTGGTGCGCCGAGTATACCCCGATAATCCGATTGGACACGCGCGGAACCAATTGCAGGAACAAATTTTCAGTGCCATGGAGATCTGCACACATCTCACGGGTAAGGTGGTGTCCCTAACCCACTCGAATGCCTACAACCAGGTGCGCGGCTATATGGATCTCAAGGAGCTCTACATTCACATGTCGTATCTAATGACATATGCCATTGGACGTTTCAAGAACCTGCAGGAGAAGTGTTTGGTGGACATGCGCGAAATGGGATTCAAGAATGATGCAAATAGCTTGGAGAATGGTCAGCTGGCAGCTGGTGAGTTCCGATATACAATCAATCTCCATTATAGGGAATATTATTGCTTAGGATTAGGGATTATGCAGAGATTTATGTGATAATAGAACCTGAAGATGGTTCAGGTGCTTTATTACTGTCTTTGGTGCGTATTTTCGACACATGGATGGGGCTTACTTTCCGAATTCCTTTTCCCGCGCGTGTGTTTATTATTTTTGTCGTGTGGAGTTGTGACTTTTCGTTTAGAGAGCATGTAAGTATGCTGTGTTTTTAGAGAAAAACTCTGCGAGTTCCATTGCATTGGCTTCGGTGATCAAATTTGGTTTTAGCTTTGTCCATGTGTAAGCAAAATACAATCCAGAAAGGCAATGGAATAGAACCTGGCAGTAGTTTTTCACTTTTAGGATTAACCATTTAAATCTCTCATCTCTTGCAGCCGTGGACTATGTTTGCTATGGCCAGCTGGAGGACGTGGATCTGTTCAACAGGGGCTCCAACAGCTTTCACAATCAGGTCTACGAATACCGAAAGAGCTTGCACGCCAATCTAAAGGAGGGCGAGGACTGTGAGCCACTCCCACCTCTACTGCCACTGGGAGTTAGAGCCGAAGGCGATCCCATCGATGAGGATGAAACGGAATTGCCTGCGGAGACGACCATTGAGGATGGCAATGATGTTGAGGAGGTGGAAGACCTGGATTGCGATGATCAGGACGATTTGGATGACGATTTAGATGACGATGACTTGGACAACGAGGATTGTGGCGAACTGGGCACGGAGGAGAGCATGAATCGAAACGAACAGGCTCACGCCTATGACCGAAAGCTGACTCGACTACTCCGCGAATACCCATCAATCTGGTGCACTAGACACCCGGATTATGGAAAGAAGGAGGTCACTCTGAAGCAGTGGCGCGTAATAGCCACTCACTTTCCGCGCGGAGACGACATAAAACTCCGATGGAAGAATATTCGTAAGCGCTACGTTAGAATCGAAAGGCGTCTGAAGCAGGGAAAACGCTTCAAGGGCTACTTCGACAAAGCCACCAACTATTTGACCAACAGGGATCGACCTCGGAGCGAGTGGCTGGCCGTGGATTGCGGCGAGGACGACGGCGATGGTTTCGAGCGCAAGCAACTGGATGTGATCGAGAATACCATCGAAAACAAAGATCAGAAGAAGAGTAATTTGGGGAAAATCAAACCCAAGGGGGTCATTCCAATAGATGTGCGTGCCATTGACCTCCGTATCATAAACTTTGCCAAGAGCCATCCTGTCCTCTGGCGCAAATCCACCGATCCCGAGTTCAACAGCATTGATGAGCAAACCAGAACATCTCTCTGGCAGAATTTTTGGAGATCGGCTCCCAGTAAGCTTCTTTTCTATTATATCTTTAAATAAAGTTATATCGAATCGTTTTTTTTACAGACTATCCCTGCGAATATCTCGTGGAACGTTGGCAGCAGATGTATGAGATGTACAAGACATTCCGACTGAAAAACATAAAAGATAAAAGAGCCTTTGCCAATTTGGAGCTCAAGTACTCAAAGTACTTGGCCAGCTTATACTTTCTGTACAAAATAGACGAACAGGATCTAAGAGATGAGTTTGAACCGCTGCAAGATTGCCTTCCCAACGGAACCGAAACGGTTGAAAAGCTTAAGGACATGCCAGATGATAAGCAGTTCGTCCAGCAACTGGTTCTGGCCATGCGGGCTTATCCCACGCTGTGGAACTCTCGACATGGGGATTACAGTGATGTGGCAGCCAGAGAGCGTCTATGGCCGGAGGTTGCTCGACGATTGCCTCGTTTTAAACGGGATGCAAAGGCCTGCAAGTTGCGCTGGCAGATGGCCAAGTTTGCCTACGAGTGCTATGGCAGAGAAATGGAGAGGCAAAGACCCAACGAGCGAAAGCTACAGAAATTGCGATCCAATTTCCCCCTGGAGGAGATGCGGTTTCTTAATATTTAAAAAAAACATTACTTTTGGAATTTTTAAGGATAAGGAATCTAGTTCTATTAAGAAATTATAAGTTAACTCGAAAAATAACGCCTTCAGCGTTTGATAAACATTTTAGGACTTTGTAGAAATAAGATTATTTATATTTCCACCAATCTCATTGTGACATTAAAATTATTCACATTTTCTATGTGAGGCAGCTTCAAAATTAAATTGTGTTTATTAATAGGAGGAGGTTTATTACTTAAGATTATAAATAAAAAATATTTATTTATTATTAACACATATATTAATATTTGTTACCCATACTTTTTCAGAAAAACAAGCCAGCGACGACGAGGATAATGAAATCGAAATTGTGGAACCCAAAACAGACACCATCACCATCGATTCGGACAACGAAGATAGCGACTCTACGTTGCCCAAAAAGGCATCAATGCAGTCATCCAATAAATCGCAGATGCTGGTTAAGTTGGCTCAGAAAATACAGGAGAGGAGGATCCAGCCACCGATTAAAAAACAGGATAAACATGAGAAGCCTATCATGACAATAACCTCGGTGACGTCAGCGGCTCCTAAGGCGGAGACAGTGGAGACATCGGAAAAACCGACGGACATTGATGTGGCTGCCTTAAGTTCCACAATCCTTGCCAGCTTGCTGGAGGTGGATATGGAGGTGCCAAACACCAAGTTCAAAACGGCAGCGACTCACAAAAAGCAGCCTCGCAAGAAGACAACGAACAAACCCAATCCAGCGTTACTCCAACTGGAACGGAAACGTATGGAAGAAATGAAGAGGTCCGATGTCAAGTTGAAAATGAAGGTGGTGGTGAAGTTGAGGAGAGCTGAGGATGAGTTCGAGGTTGCTCGCCGATGGGCGGAAGATAATAAGAAGCGTCAGCAAGAATATGTTGAAGATACGAACAAAACAACTGAACAAGTGGGTTCCGAGGACACTGCCTCTATTGAAAGTCCGCCAAGTAAAGACCTGTCTAAATCTCCACCTACAACCGAAGACGTAGAAGACACCTCCATGACAAACAATGAAGCTGAAATCACAAACAATGAGGTCCCCGAACCTGAAGAAGATCAGGCAACGTTACAGGAACCTGAAGATACAAGCAATTTGGAAAGCAACAAGCAAACCGAAAAACAGCCCGACACTTTGGAAACAATAGAAGAACTCACGGATGGTAAAGAACAAATATCTGAGAAGGATCAGGATGAAGACCCAAAAACAAACAAAGCGACTGTGACGGAAAATACTGAAGACAAAGAGAAGGAACACCCAGAAACTAAAGACACTGAAAGTGATCAAATAAAAGACACTGTTGCTGATTCTAATGACGAAAAGGTCCTTTCGGAGAAAGAAACGAATGTGGATGCGGAAAATAAGGATAAATGTGACGATGCGGAAGAAAGTCCAGGAATTGAAAAGGCTGTAGAAGAAAAGACAGCCGAGCCCATGGAAACTGGTAGTGAAAGTGGGGAACCCTCTACTGGACTCGTAGAAAGCATGGATACGGAATCGCTAGAAACTCCAAAGGAACTGATGGAATGCGGCTTGGACGACGACATAGGCATGGATGGCATAGAGCTGAGTGACGCCACAGAAGAGCTTATCAAAGCATTAAGCCGACCGAGCCCGGCTGCTTCCGAAACCCCAAAAGAAGACGAGACTGATCTGGATGGTAATGATCTAATTGATGAACTACCACTGGAGACGGCAGAGCCACCAGAAATTCTTTTAAGGGAGGATGACAACGACAAGGTAGACAGCTCATCCAAACAAGCCGGAGAAGCTGCTCTAACTAGTACGGATGGAAATGAGAAAAGTGCTGAGGAAGCACCTGGGACCGACTCAGTGGATGACGCACTTCCACAAACTGCGCCTATCAAGGGCTAGTGTGTGGTGATTAGGGTTCGGTCCAATAAATCCTAGGTTTGAATCGCAATTTTTTGTTTTCCATTTTTTTTTCCATGAACTTGCAACCTTTGAAAAATGAATTTTCAGCTTACATTCGTTTCCTAGCTTAAGGTCAGTGTATAAACAAAGTCGGATCAATACTAAAACATTTTTGAATTTCCCCCAATGCCATAGGATTAGTTGTTGCATTTAAGAATGCATTGTTATGTTTCCAAGAAGTTTGTAAAGCCTGCAATCCCAAGGAATGTTTGGAACAATTGAAAACGGAAACCGGATTCCATGGCTTCTTCATGTTTATTCAAAATTGAATATACGAGCGGAGGAATAAAGCCAGATGCACTTAATTATTCAATAAGTGATTAATGGATATTAATAAATGTGTGTAGTTCTAAGTTTATTATATTGGTAAATAAAATCTGAAGAGCTATTATACAACAAACTTGTCCTGTTTTCATGGAGGATGTTTCTCACCCTTTTTTAAAAAAAAAAGACAAACGATAATACTTATATTTATTTTGTTTAACGTTTTTATTTTTTAAAGAACACAAACACATATTGGCAATTTGATTCAGTAAGTATTTCTGCGTTCTTAACTATCACACGTTTACATAATGTCATGATTAGTTTTATTTTAGTTTAATATATCTACTAGCGGCAGATTAAGCGCCTAATTTTTTTTTAATCTTTGAATGAAAAATAAATTACTCTCCAATCTTATCAAATGGTATAAATACATTCAATGTCTTGTGAAAAATCTAATGGGAAGCCTAACGATTAGCATGGAAGCTATATCCATTTGTGCAATATATTTAACGTTGATATGAAGTTTTGGGGTGGCTTTTCTAAGCAAAAATATCAATACTTAATAAGAACTGAGTAGGTCGGCATAGCTTGTATTAAATATTTTAACTAAAATATAATGAGAACTTTTCTGTTACTGTCGGGGCGTTTAATATCACCATTTTTTCAATATTGGGAAACCAAAGCAAACCTGCAACTAGGAATGCAAATTTGGAAAAGAAAATAAATAAAAAGGAACGAGGATTAGCAAACGGGCCTCTTGCGTAGTCGAATCTGGCTAAAGAAGCGCTCTGGTGGAGGACATTTTATCGAGTAGTCGGACACAAAGTTCCAGGCCTCGGCCATACTGTCGTCCTTCACTTGGTGCTGTGCAATGGTGCCCTTGAAGGCGCACAGATGTTTCGAGTGCGAAAAACTGAACAGGGGATGGTGGTGTCGCGGGATCCCGGCTCGCTGGGCGCACAGTCCGGTGATGTAAACGTCTTCCAGGTAGACTAACGTAGTGTTTAGGGCAGCTTCGTACAATCGCTGAACCACATCGATGGAGAGCAGATATCCAGCCCCGGATAGGTACTTCGGATATGCGGTCGGAGCATACATGTAGGCGGGCATGTACCACTTGCTAGTTACGTCGCTTACAGGAGTCACCTTGCAAAACTGGTGACCGTACATAACCTCAGTGCTGGCGTTCAATCGGTTCGATGGCAACTTGGCCAGGTATGTAGTTCGATCGTGATAGTCAAGTGTATCGTTGTAGAGCGGAATTGTACCGCCGAGGAGGAAGTGCAGCAGATTTGGGATGTTCACAAATGTATCATCATCGCACTTGAGGAAGAAGGCCGTGGAGTTGAAGCAACTTCGAGCTACGTGCTTCAAAGCCATCACAGATTTCAGAGTCAAGTTATTGTAGCTGTCCACGAAATTCTCCTGGATAATGTCGTTGTACTGCTCGGCTTCATTATGGATCCGAGTCAGAGTCTCGTTTCCCACAAGTGACTCATCCTTATTGCGGCCCAGAATAAACACAATTCGTACTGTGGCGGTGAGGGTGGAGTCTGTTCCGTTGAAGTAGTCTGCATACATCTTTAGACGCGACGGCATCACGTCCAGATAGCTTCCTTTTAGGTGACCATGTAGTTTTACAAAGGCGGGGTAGTTAAACTCTGTGGTGTTGCCCCAGGTTTCTCGAATTGTCTGCCGCTGGACGAAGTTTCCCATTCCCGTGCAGACGGCAATTACCAGGAATGTCTTGTTCCGGCAAAAGTCCTTCGGCACAATGAGCGCTGGTCCTGCGTCTATGTAATCGGATACACTGCGGGAGGTCTCCAGCGTCCAGTCAGGCAAGCCAGCTAGAAAGAAGCATGAATTAGAAACAGATGTACAAAGTGCGCCTTGTTTTCTTACCACAACGCTTGCGGACGTCCATGAGTGGCAGGTAGACTAGAAGCATCAGAACCATAAAAAAGACGCTTAGGGTACAGCATCCGAGCCGTCGCAGATTCCTTGGCAAAGGCAGAGGCGCTCGAGATCCGCGCTGTAATTGCCGTAACTTAACTTTGGTTCGGATAGTTCCATTTGGTGTCTCTTCGTCGGATCCAGCTCCAGATCTGGTGGAGCTTACCGTCGGCAACAAGGTGCACTGCTCCTCGCCGGTCGCTACCACCCATGATGTGCTCATTGCATTCTTTATTCGCAGCTACTATTGTGCGCGGTGTACATTTCAGGAAGCCATCAACGGTACAAAAAGATATTTTTTGTCATGCGGTATTTTTGATAGTAAGGTAATCAGTCAATTGCGGTTCGAGAGGTTACCATCCCCTCACACTCCACACGTACACCGTTATAGTTGAGATTGTTTTTGATAAAAGCTGCACCCTCCAAGCATAGTCTTTCCAAATAAAGTGCCAGCTGATTTTTCCCAAATCATCGATGTTCGATTACAAACAAAAATGGCGCGAAATTTAAATATATTTGGTTTAAAATTTAAGCTTTTATTGCAAATTTAAACACATCTTGGAATGGCTGTGATTTATAGTTTATCATTTTGACGCTTGTAAAAATTGGTTAAAGCAAAGTTAATTAAAAAAATGTAATCAAGATAAGATAAGCAAAAAGGTTTGGCACAACTTTTAGGGGCCCAGACGGCCTACAGTGCTTATCGAATGGTCACCGAGTAAAATAGCTCCTGATTTATTTTGTCTATTAAATATTGCCGTTCAAATCTAAGGTATTCTGCTCAAGTGGATTGATAAAGAATTCTCAAGATTCAAAAGAAAGTTTTAAAATGGCCAGCTTAAAAGATAAAACACTTCGTCGATTGGTGCTTAATAGTCTACGTATAAATTTATTTAAGCGTGGTATATACAATGAATTTGAAAAAAAGGTACGCTCCTTGTCAAGTATTTGATAATTGCAAAATTCAATCATTGAAAGAGGTCCTAATGATGATTATTATAATATTTGAAAAGTCAGTGAGCCGTCTTAATCTAGATTAACTTAGTAAAAATATAGTATAGGAGGTCAGATACAATGTTAAGAAATAGAAAATAATGGGTAGTGCCCATACATCCGGGACCAGCCCTAGAAATCGGCGTCCAGGGTAAAGACATTGTCCAGTCGGTTGGTAGCCACGCCCATACGCTGGTACTCTCCCACCTTCTTTTCAAAGAAGTTGGTCTTCCCGTCCAGCGAGATCATCTCCATGAAATTGAAAGGATTCTTGGTGTTGTAGATTTTTCCGACGCCCAGCTCTACCAGTAGCCGGTCCGCAACAAATTCGATGTATTGTGACATCAAGTCGCAGTTCATGCCGATCAAATTCACGGGCAAGGCGTCTGTGAGGAACTCCTGTTCAATGTCCACAGCGTCGCGGATGATCTCGATGATGCGCTCCCGACGTGGCTTCTGGACGAGATGCTGGAACATTAGCACAGCAAAGTCGCAGTGAAGGCCTTCGTCCCTGGAGATCAGCTCGTTGGAGAAGGTCAGACCAGGCATCAGACCTCGCTTCTTCAGCCAGAAGATGGAGGCGAAGCTACCGCTGAAGAAAATTCCCTCTACGGCAGCAAAAGCGATGATGCGCTCTCCAAAGTTGGCAGACTTTGAGGAGATCCAGGCCAGAGCCCAATCTGCCTTGCGCTTCACCGCCGGCATCGTTTCAATAGCATTGAACAGGTACTCGCGCTGGTGGGGATCTCTAATGTAAGTGTCGATGAGCACACTGTACATCTCCGAGTGTACGTTTTCCATGGCAATTTGGAATCCATAGAAACAGCGAGCCTCCGTGACTTGAACCTCCTGACTGAAGCGCTCAACCAGATTCTCGTTTACAATTCCATCGGAAGCAGCAAAGAAGGCCAGCACGTGGGAGATGAAGTGGCGTTCATCGTCCTTAAGGCGGTGCCAATCGGTAAGATCCTTGGAAAGGTCCACCTCCTCGACTGTCCAGAAAGAAGCTTCAGCCTTTAAATAAAAAATAAAAATTGTTGTATTGCACTATTTGGTTTGAATGCCGAAGTGTTTCGAGATTAAATGGCTAAGATTTGCCGAAAAAGGACAGTTTCTTTTATGGTGAAATTCAGAAGAATTTAGTGTAGATAAAAACTGTTGATATAATTTAATTGAATATGTACACGGCTCAATAATGTGTGTATATGCACATATTTACTATATTACTCACTTTCCCGCCAAAACGATGTACATATGTATGTGGAACCATGAGGGTTCAGAGGGTGGGGATAGGGTCGGATTGGAGGAGGGGGAAGTAGTGAGTTAGCTATAATAAAGTTTGATTCATGTAATCATACACGTCGGCTACGTGACCGGCTTTTGGCGGGCTTTATCGCTGGCTGCCCGCCCTTCAACAGTTTTGCCGCCCAATTTTGTTTTTCCGGCTGCACGCTGATATACACACACAAAAAAGTAGTATATACATACCTTCTTGTACATCTGCCAGATGTCGTGGTACTGAATGGGAAAGATGACAAAGCGGCGTGGGTTCTCCTTCAGCAAAGGTTCCAGTGACGGATCAAAAGGAGTTACCGACTTTTCCATGATTGAAGCGGGGCCACCTGATTTTCCGGCATTGTTCTCAATTTCCTTGATCACTTGGCCATTTTCCTCGTTACCAAGGGACATTTTACGAACGTTGCTGGTGTTCTCCGTCAATATCTTCTTGCTGGGGCTCTGTTTACCAAAAGACAATAAAAGAAAGGCGTTCATATATGTATGTAGTTTTTGCTGCGTAGAAATATGTCGTTTTTAGACTCCCTCGGGAATACACATACAAACGCATTCGTAAAGAACTATAAGTATGTCTATGTATAGCCGTGAAATTTCGTTTAACAATTTACAATGTGGACTCGTATTGCATAAACACAAACGTGTCATTTTTAATTACCTTAAGGGAGAACTTCTCCATGTTGTCTGCAATGTTTTCCTTGGACGCCATTTGAGACATAGCTGTGTGATTAATTTTCCTTGACTTCAGCAGTGATTTTTCTGGTGAAATTAGATTAAGCGACGTGGAAAACCAGTAGTGTTTGATTCAAAAATTTTCTAGCAAATGACCTGCCGAGTTCAGTTTACGCGGCTTATATGCCGGGCGGCAAGCTGTTTCGATTTCCCGCCATTTTTCGAGATGGAACTCTTCCGGAAAATTCTGTGGTAATCGAACCAAGGCCACTATCGATAACTTTGGATGTTTTGTACAAATTTTATTATTACAAAATTATTTAGTAAAAAAAAGAAATTAGTTTTTTAGATTATTATTTTTTCTTTAAATATATTATAATGCCTGTTAGAAGAAGAGTATTAAAACTGAATAGTTTCAAACCTAGTGGTTTAAGATAAAATTTTCGAAAAGAGGCCAAACCTCAATTGGCCACACTGCAACCCGGCTAAACTAAACACAAACTCGACTCGAAAATAAAAATATTTTGATGGTAAACTATGGAAAACACAACTGTGGACCACCACAAACGTCTCGAATATTGTACCACGAGACTGCAATATCGACAGGGACGAGAATTAAAAGCTGTCAAAGTATAAAAATTATCATTTTCTTATAGTAAGAGTAAAGTTTTATAAACTGAGGCCTAACTTTATTTTCAGGTATACACTGTTGCTAGTGAGTCGCAACATTTGCTAATATTTGGCGTACCCAAAATAAACCTTTATAGTAATCTGAAGGCAAAGCTGCAGAGTTTTGGAAAACTTCAATCCTGTGTTTGCATAACTTCGGAAATGGCACCTAAAAGTAAGATTCGAAAGTGAACTTGTTGCTGGAATCCTGTGTGTAACTTTTAATCATTTTAGTGGAGCTAGAGGCCTTTACGGATGTGTTCGCCGTTAAATTTGAACGCTTAGATGTAGCTAGAAGAACTAAAAAAATGCTGGATGCCAGAAACTTTTATGGTGGAGTGCTGCACATATCCTACGCCCCGGAAAGGGAGTCCCTTCAGGAACTGCGGGAGAAGTTAGTTCAGCGCAGAGCAGATGTAGCACGCCGCATAAGACTTAATCAAAAGGAGGAAAAGCCGCAGCCGGCAAAGAAGCGAAATGTACACGACACGCTTTATTAAACATAACTCAATGAACCTCTAAGGCAGAAAAATGTCAGCACGATCTCCTCGGCAAAGCCTTAGTTCCACTGTCGCTCGTTCACTTGGTCATTTCCTAGAGGGCACGCTATTTCTGCTTCGTCCGTCGCAGCTCGTGATAGTAGTTGAGCAGACCGATGCGCTTTGCCCATATTTGCGCTCCGTATGTAGCCCAGAATCTGCAATATCCATTTAATAAATAGATAGAACAATACTGGGTAAATAGAAACTTACATGCCGAACATGGCTCCGCCCAAATGCGCTGCGTGGTCAAAGAATTTCCAGCCCATAACGCAGCCGGCAAAATCAATGCCCATGATAACTTTTATTCCAGCTCCAGCAGAGAACGTCAAGGCGGGCAGGAACAATATGCTCAGTTGCGTATCAGGATACTGAGCACACACGTAAGCTAGCACGCACATTATAGCGCCGGACTAAAATTTTATTAAATGTTTAACGTTCTTGTTGTTACAAGGATCAGGAATTCTTACCGCGCCTAAAGACATCCCCGCTTGACTCGTACCGGCCTTGTACAGCACGCTCATAAGACTGGAGAAGACACCGGCGCTGAGGTAGACTGCCAGGAACTGCTCCTTTCCCAGCGAGAGCACTGCTGCATTGGCGAAGCTGTGCAATACATACATATTGGCGAATATGTGCATAGCCGAATAGTGGCTAAAGGTGGACAGGAACATGGGCCAGCAGACGACTCCTGGAAAGGGCCATTCGATTAGTGATTGTCCGAAAAATATGTTGGAGCACCAACGCAGAAATGGTATAGTTACATTGTACAAACCTCGGAACACAAAATTCCTTAAATAAATAAAAACTCCCTATACCAAAACTGTTTAGTTTAAACTCTTTGCTGAAGGATACAATGACTCACTCGCTGCAGGGTTGGATGTGAAATAGGTCATCATTGTATTACGCAGGGCAGGCACACGCCACATAGCAAATGCCAGTGCGTTACAGACTAAGATCGGTGCAAACATCTTGTCCCCGGGCGTCAGGGAATCCCAGTAGCGGCGGATGTCATTCTTAAGCTGCGTCCAGTAGTCGCGATCGGCCAGGGATCGACTTTGCCACCAGCCAAATCTCGCCTGGCGTGCCTTTGCCAGGATAAGGCTGCGTGTGTTCTCATATTCCATAATGGTAGCTCCTGCAAAGCATCCCACAGTAAACTAAGAGAGGGAAAAAACATATATGTACATAATTCAGTCGCTTCTGGACATTTGATTCCTATCTTACTGCGCCTGTAAAAGCCACCGCCTTAATCACATTGTTCTTAGGTACGGATGAGTTTGTCTCGCCGGCCGACTCCCCGCCAGCTGGCTTTATGTTACTGCTCTGCCTCCGATTGCTGTGGAAGTGCCGGCACGACCCGGTCCCGGAGTTATGTCTGCTTCGCAGGACGGGCGCTTTTGCATTGGCATGGCATCTGTGGCTGCGGAATTTTCAAAGGAACGGGACTGTTATTTATCCGGACGTTGGAATTCTGGACTGTTGTCCGCTTACTTACGCCACCTGGGAGAGCCAGCTCCGGCATAGCGCGCGACTCATCAGCATAATAATACGGAAATTGACCAATTTAGCATAAAAATATATGTGAAATTTGTTTGATTGCTGACATTTCGCCTATCGTGTTAGGGATGTCAATAATACATGTGTAGGAGCCCTGGCCCCCCGAGTGATTCGATAGCGATTTTGTGAATGGGAACGGCTGGTTCGTTTTAGTCCAACTAAGAAGAAGAGCGAGTTGTTTACGCGGGCCGGGGAAACCGGCAATTTCACAATCAAATAGATTCTTTTACATTTTCCATTCTAAAGTTGCATGAATTGATTGATATACTAGGATTTCCTGGCAATGGCTGCCAAAGATTCGGAAATCGAAGGGGTTTACTCCGTTCGGTTGGTCATTGCGGACTTCTACATGGAAAAACCGCAGTTCGGCCTCGATCCCTGCTACTCAGAGCTGCGAGGAAAGGAGATCAAAAGAGTTCGATTTACTTTCCACTTTCTCTATAAACTTTTAATAAAAAAATCCATTTTTTTTATAAAAATAGGTCCCAGTCTTGCGCGTCTTTGGAGCCAATTCCAATGGACAGAAGACCTGTATGCATGTGCATGGAGTATTCCCATACTTTTACATTCCCTACGATAAGAAGGACTTCGAGTCCCTGGAACGGGGCATCCTGCAAATGGCTATGCACTTGGATAAAGCCATAAACATCTCACTGGGTCAGGGCAGTTCCAACGCCCAGCATGTTTTCAAAATACAATTGGTCAAGGGAATGTGAGTGTACTGAGATCATAAGATAGACTCCTATCAAAGTAATCCAACCAATTACAGACCATTTTATGGATACCACCGCGTGGAGCATCAATTTCTCAAGATTTACATGTTCAACCCACGGTTTGTGCGGCGGGCCGCCAATCTTCTACAAAGCGGAGCCATTCTCAGTAAGAACTTCAGCCCCCACGAGTCGCATGTGCCCTATATCCTGCAGTTTATGATTGACTACAATCTATACGGGATGAGCTACTTGCATGTTCCAATGGAGGTTCTCAAGTTTCGCCGCAACAACGAAGATGATGGCAAGTTTTCACAGAAACTGTGTGGCCTCTGAATTAATCCTCTATTTTAGTGGTTCCCTATGCCAATGTTAAGCCCGCTCAGCTGCTGGACGTCAGGAATGCTAAGAAAATGGCCTGCAGTGCGCTGGAGGTGGATGTCAGCTCTAACTTTATATTAAATCGCTTCCAATTGGTTTCCAAAGCCAAGGGCAATCACTCGAATCCGGGCATCGAGGCCATTTGGAATGATGAGAAAATTCGCCGCCAGAAACTGGTCGAAAAACACACTGCAGCTGGCGATGAGGACAAGGTTCTAGCGGTAATAATATAATTCCCTACAATTTGAACATTTACTTAACAAATATCTTATTTATTTTAGGTTCCAATCCTTCAGTTGCCACCAACACAGGAACGCACTGAAGTGGAAATCGCCGAGAGCGATGTCTTCTATCGCACCGCCTTGGAAAGCAAGCTTCTTACTATGGATCAGTCCACTATGTCTGATCAAACTCTTTCGGATCAGACCCATATCGGCAACGTTACAGCGCAGACCACATTACCAACCACCAAGGAACACCGTCGCACATTTAATCTACAGAAACTGCTGGCTAATGCTGTCTACCCTGAGGAATGCTCGCAGGATCAGCAGCAACAGTTGATAAATGCATCCTTCATACAAAACCATGTGGCCTGCAGCAACAATAGTAACATTAGTATTTTAACCACGCCGGATCCCGAACTAGATGAGTCTGAAAACATGGACGAAACCCTAGTGGATGAGGAGCTAATCCTGAGTCTCACCCAGCCATCTGGAGCAATGCCCCACGATGCTACCTGTAAGTAAAATATATACATTATATTATGTTTAAAAAAATTAATTTATTTTATTTTAGTGAGAGACGAGGACCTAGAACTACTAGATGTTCTACAGCAGCTTGAGGAGCAGAGTGGAAATGAACAGCGTATTGATTTGGACAGTTCGTTGGCGCCTTTATCACAACCACATAAGAAATGTACAACTTGTGATACATATTTTTTAAAACAAAATAATCCTTTATAATTCTTGTAGTTGAGTTTACTCCGGAGCTGTTGGACAAAGAGATGGCAGCTACTGCTATTGGCGCCCATGAATCCTCTGATGAGGATTGTGATTCTGATGGTGCGAATCAGGGAACAGGGCACGACTTTTCCATGGCACTCGATGATATTGATGAACTTCTGCTTAAACTTACACAAAGTCAACCATTGCCAAAAGTGTCGGATCCATCGGAAAAACTACCACAAATCGATGGAGCCGATGACCAGCTTCAGCGTACACCCAAAAAGAAGAGTAGTTTGAAGTCGAAGGCAAGTCCTCCAAAAACACCCACCACACCCAAAGGCCAGCCGAGTCTACTGAGGTCACCACGCACTCCAAAATCTAGTGCTGCCAAGAAATATGCACCATTGCCTTTATTTATTGGGAGCAGCTCAGCAAAGAGTGGGTATATTCTATATTAACTTTTTGGAACTTTTTGTATAATACTTTGAATTATTTTATAGAGAGCAATGCAGAAATCCCGGGAAAGATAGTAAATCCTCGTCTAAGCTTGCAACTCGATCAAGGTGCAAAAACTCCTGGGTAATTGTTAAAAGTTTTCCATTAGAATTGTTTAAAATTAAGTATTCTTTTTAAGGCCTGAGATGTCATTACGAAAGAAAATTTCCATGTCTGAGCTGCGAAGGAAAAGTGTGGAGGAATCGAATAGTTTTGTACGCTTACAGAATGAGTAAGATTTATTCAAAACCCATTTCATGATATATAGTACTATACAAATTCTATTTTCCCTCCAGATGTACTCCCCGCCGCAGTTCTCGACGCTCGACCCGAGACTTGGACAAGACCCACGTGATTTGTTCTTTGACACCGCGAGATAAGAACCCAACGTTTTCTGATATGTTTGAGACAGCGGATGGTCAAGAAATATCACCAGAGAAGGAGGAGGAAGTCGCAAAAAGGCCTCGACGAAGTACTCGACATCAAAATAGGGAAATCTTAGAAGATAAAAAAGCAAAGGAGTCAGAAACAAGTAAACCGAAACTCAGAAAATCCATAACAAATATAGATGGGAATGTCAAGGCACGACGCAGTGTTCGTGGTCAGGAGAATAAAACAAACCCTTCGACTGGTCTACCAAATAAGGAACAAGATTCTATAAAAAGTTTAGAAAGTAAAACTTCTAGATCGGGAACTGAAAGGTCTAAGAAAGAGACTGAACCAAGGATTATCGCCGAGATGGACAAGAAATCTAAAAGTGTACCTGAAAAATCAAAAGACTTGGAACCTGAAGATGATCGAAATTTAAAAAAGAGTTCAAATCCGGAGACTCCTCTCGGTGAAAAGGATGGTGCTGAATCTTTAAAAAGTATCATTATTGATGACCAGCCTGCTGATTTAGAAAATCCCATCGTAGACTTCCAACCACCAGTAAGCGACGATGAGATTATTGAATCCGACACCGAAAACGAGTCAATGGTAGCCAAACTGCGCAAGACCCCCAACCTAAAACGGTTGCGTAGAAGTTTCCGAACCGAAGTCCTAACCAAGACACTGACTCCTAAAACCAAAATAGTTTCATCGGAAAATCAGACCACTCCCCAGCTCAGTCCGCAAAGCAACGAAAGCCATACGCCCGAGTTAATGAGGAGCTTTTACGAAAACTCTCTGATTGTGAACAGTCCCTCGGTTTTCAGCGACATGACAGATAGTCCTCTTATGGTCAAGGATTCCCCTTCACCAGTTCCTGTCCAAGACGATTCATTCGTCATCGCTCCTTTGGAGTTGCCACCTTCTTACGACGAGGTTCTTCGGGGCTGTCAGAAGTTGGACATTCCGGAGTACGAGTTTCAGCAGCCGTTCTATAGCAATCCTGCCGATATAAGCAAGGTGACCGAAGTGGGGTTTCTGGTGCTCCACATACCAGGGAACAAGCTCAACGACTGCGAGCCTTTTCAGAGTGTCTTGGGCAACGATCGTGGACTGGGAGCGTGGAGGCGTCAGCAGCTCATTGCCATTGGAGGTCCTGCCATGTTGCAGCGTCATCGAGGCGAGCAGAGAATGCGGGAGTACTTTACAAGTGGCCACCGAGTTGCCATTGAACCTGCCAAGAGCGCTCCAACTCGACAGGAGGCCAAGTTGTGGCTTAAGGCCAAGGAGCTGCTCCGGCAGCGGGATGAGCCACCAAAAGGAGAGGATGTAGATAGTCCGATCAAGATCAAGCGTCAAAAAATCACAATGATGCTGCAAGCGGACGGCGGAGATGCAGGGAGTGGTGATGAGGAAGGTGGGGAGGATTTAAGCTGCAGCCTGAGTCTGACTCCTCTGACCCAAGGGGTAGGCAAGGCCAAGGCAACCCCTAGAACAGCTAGAAGTCGATTGAAAAAAGGCACAAAGCTTGACTTTACGGGATCCCAGGATCATGAAGCTCCCAGTTCGCAGTCCAGTGAGCGGAGCGTCTCCAGCAGTGCTGCCCAAGCGGAACTCGAGCGTAGCTCCTTTCTACGCCAATTGGAGGGCAATAGTCAGCCACTACCGCAGGATATAAGCTTTGGTCTTAGCCACGCTACCCTGGACAACACCTTTGGTTTTAAAGTCAACCTGGAGAACCTACAGGAAGCCAAAGCGGATGTGGAGTGCAACCACCTCACCATAATGACGCTGGAGGTGTTTGTGTGTACTAGAGGTGACCTCCAGCCAGACCCGATGTATGACGAGATTCGCTGCCTCTTCTACGCCATCGAGCACAGCTTGGACGACAGTCTGCCGAACAAAGCTTGCGGATATATAATGGTGAACGATGCCCAGGATTTCATCAAAGAAGGATTCGTTCACGGCCTAGATAAGGATATAGAGGTGCAAGTGGTTGGCAACGAGGCGGAGGCTTTCGAAGCTCTGCTGGCGCTTTGCGGGCGCTGGGATGCTGATATCTATGCCGGCTACGAGATCGAGATGGCCTCCTGGGGCTATGTGATCGACAGGGCTAAGCACATGTGCTTCAACATTGCTCCTCTGCTGTCGCGAGTTCCCACGCAGAAGGTTCGCGACTTTGTGGACGAGGACAGGGAGCAGTTCACCGACCTGGACGTGGAGATGAAACTCTGCGGCCGCATCCTGCTGGACGTGTGGCGATTGATGCGCTCGGAGATAGCTCTCACGTCCTATACCTTTGAGAACGTGATGTACCACATCTTGCACAGAAGATGTCCTTGGCATTCTTCAAAGTCGTTGAGCGAATGGTTTGCTTCGTCATGTACCCGCTGGATAGTAATGGAGTATTACCTAGAACGGGTACGGGGTACCCTCGCATTGCTGGATCAGCTAGATCTTCTGGGTCGCACAAGTGAGATGGCTAAGCTTATTGGGATCCAGTTCTACGAAGTTCTTTCACGCGGATCGCAGTTCCGAGTAGAGAGTATGATGCTGAGGTGAGTGAATAACGTCGTGATTCCGCTCCAGAAAATAATGTCTTTCTTCTAGGATTGCCAAACCAAAGAACCTGGTGCCACTCTCACCAAGCGTCCAGCAACGCGCCCACATGCGGGCTCCAGAATACCTTGCCCTCATAATGGAGCCCCAGTCTCGCTTTTATGCCGACCCGCTGATAGTGCTCGACTTTCAGAGTTTGTATCCCAGCATGATCATTGGATACAACTACTGTTTCTCCACCTGTCTGGGCAGAGTGGAGCATCTAGGCGGGAGTTCACCATTCGAATTCGGAGCTTCGCAGCTACGCGTTTCTCGCCAGATGCTCCAAAAACTTCTGGAGCACGACCTGGTCACTGTTTCACCCTGTGGCGTGGTGTTTGTGAAGCGAGAAGTTCGCGAGGGTATTCTACCCCGAATGTTAACCGAGATCCTGGACACCCGTCAAATGGTGAAGCAATCAATGAAGCTCCACAAGGACAACTCAGCCCTTCAGCGCATCCTGCACTCCCGGCAGCTGGGCTTGAAGCTGATGGCCAACGTAACCTATGGATACACAGCTGCCAACTTTAGTGGAAGAATGCCCGCGGTGGAGGTGGGTGACTCGGTGGTGTCCAAAGGACGAGAGACTTTGGAGCGAGCCATTAAGATGGTGGAGACAAACGAGGAGTGGAAAGTGCGCGTCGTCTATGGTGATACAGACTCGATGTTCGTTCTCGTCCCGGGTCGTAATCGAGCCGAGGCTTTTCGGATTGGCGAGGAGATTGCCCAAGCAGTGACCGACATGAACCCACAACCAGTGAAGCTAAAGCTGGAGAAGGTCTACCAACCTTGTATGTTGCAGACAAAGAAACGCTATGTGGGGTACATGTACGAGACCCCTGACCAGGCGCAACCCGTCTACGAGGCCAAAGGAATCGAGACTGTGCGAAGAGATGGCTGCCCGGCAGTAGCCAAGATGCTGGAGAAGGTGCTGCGATTGCTATTCGAGACCCAGGACGTCAGTCAGATCAAGCAGTACGTTTGCCGGCAGTTTACAAAGCTCCTTTCGGGACGCGCCAACCTGCAGGATCTCATTTTTGCCAAAGAGTTTCGTGGTCTTAACGGCTACAAGCCAACAGCCTGCGTTCCTGCACTGGCACTTACCCGGTAAGTTATATTTTAAAATATTTTAAAAATATTTAAAATAAAATTCCTTTTTTAGCAAATGGATGCAGAAGGATCCCCGGAAAGTTCCAAGGCGCGGAGAGCGTGTACCTTTCATTATCGTTAATGGCCCGCCGGGCATGCAACTTATCCGCCTGGTGCGCAGTCCTCACGACATCCTGGCCAATGAGGGCCACAAAATCAATGCCATCTACTACATAACCAAGGCCATCATCCCGCCCCTGAATCGCTGCCTGCTGTTAATTGGCGCCGATGTCCACGACTGGTTTGCCGGCCTGCCCCGCAAGCTGCTGATGACGCCGACAGTGGGAACGGCCAGTGAAGTGGCCGGCGGAAAAGGCACTAAATCCACCATCTCCCAATACTTCTCCACAACCAACTGTGTGGTGGAGTGCGGTCGTCAGGCTATGGCGGGAATATGCCCGGAGTGCCTCAAGGATGCGGCACGTTGTGTGGTTGTCCTGTCCGATAAGATGGCGCGATTGGAGAGAAGCTATCAGTTGACCCGCCAGATCTGCCAGTCCTGCTGCGGTCGCCTGGGAGAGCTGCAGTGCCAGTCTCTCGACTGTCCAGTTACGTATGTGGCTGAGGGAAAACGGCGGGATCTACAGCAAATCGGACACTTTCGGAAACTGCTCAATGACCACTTTTAAAATCAAGAACAAGCATCATTCACATAGGGGTGTATATATATTTCAACTTTTCGTTTTTTTACAAAAGTTAAAATTACATTCATAGCTTCGGCCGGTGTTTCTAAACATGTACATAGCTTACGAGAATACCTATGCGGTGATTCCGGTGATTCAGTTGTGTGTATAATACTAGAGGAATTGTTAACTATTGTTATTATTTAAGATTATTCTGTTGCGATTGTGATTGTTATGTGAGCCATGGGCCATGAGCATGCCGATAATAAATGAATACAATGTGTGTGCTTAAAACTTATAGTTTTCGACTTCAAAGACATCTACGGGATTTCGCATACGAATGAGTATGAATATATGTATAATTATATTATAGGGAGTTCAGTTCAGCGTATGATTTAATCGTTCCTTTTAACAATTTCAATGAATAACCGAATTATATAACAATTAGTAGATGAAGTAGTGATCATTTTGATTTATGTTTTAGCCCTGATTTGCGTTGCCTAAATACAAATTTTGTGTATATACTTCCAATTGAGCAATTCGCCTGATTACAAACCCAATTGCGGTATAAATATTAAGAAAAAAACACTATAATTTTTAGCAATAACTAATGTATAGGTAGGTCTTTAAAATCTTGAAAACTTGCCTCTAAAACACTCAAAAAAAATATCAATATATTTATGGTTTTACATAACATCATCTTCATCCATTTCAAACATCATGGCGTTCTTCCCATCCACATCGCTGTGGGCAGCTGCTGTTCCGGTCAGATCCAGCCCGCTGTCGTGAAGTTTGTTGCCCTTGTTGGACCCTTTTCCTTGTGGCTGTTTAAGAAATAAAAAAAATTATATTATCTGTTGCGCAAATTCAAAAATATTCCACTTCCATCTCAAACTAAACTGCATATCAATTAACGTACTTGAATCAATTTTCACAACATTCTAATATTATCGGATCTATTTAAAGTTAAGATGTGAAATGCACCCTCCACAAACAATGAGTTGGTCAATATTTGTGTCTGGAATGATGCGAATCAAGCCCAACTGTTGAATTTCGCTGAAGGCCACTAATTCAATTAAAAAGCTAACAGAATTAGAACCTCCCCAACAAGGCGGATTATTCGCTCAATTACAAAATCAGCACCGCGATCTGCCCAATCAAGACCAACTCACCTTGAGGGCATCGCCACGGCTCTCCTCGTAATCCACGGAATCGCCTTCGCTGAGACGACGCTGCTGGGCCCGCAGCTTGAGATCGCGCCGCTTCTGGTTCTTTTTGCGTTGGCCCAGGATGCTCGAGTCGAGTCTGCAAATCATCCAAATTTTTCAATTACCCTTCATAAAGGGGTCTTATTTTAGGCACTTACCGGAACACTTGCTTCATGATGTGATCATTAAATCTAACAGTCTTCTTGCAGCTTTCCGACAGTCCAGCATCGGATCGATCTTCCTCGGGAATGCCTCCGAACGATTGCGAGAACAGCGAGGCCCCAGAGGCGTCCACAGAGCAAGAGTACGATGACGAACAGTCGTCGATGGAGGAGCAGCTGTCCGACATCGAGGGCCTTGGGCCGTAGCGACTGAATCGCTTTAGGATCCCCCGATGGGAACCTCCGCTTCCTACGCTGCTGTCATTGCATTCCGAGTAGCTGCGCTGCTTACGCTGTGGCAGCTTCAAGAAGCTCTTAGCCGGCGGTGCCGGGTTCTCGATGTGCTGCGCCTGTACGATGTCCTCGCAAGCCGACTCGGATAGGGAGCGCTCCTTCTTGTTTCGCTTGCGCTGCTTTTTGCTTGGCTTTTTGTTCTGAGCATGTGGCTGATGCTCCTCGTGGCTTTCCTCGTGCTGCTCCTCCACTTCGTCTTCCTCCGTGGCACTGGGCACTGGGCGAATGGTAACCTTCAAAGATTCCTTGTTGTGATCAAACTTCACGTCCAACGGAGCACTCTCAGCGGTCTGTCCATCCTTGCGTTTGCTTTTCACGGTATACTGACCGTGCACTGGGTACTCGTTGAGATCCGTGGCGTCCAGGCCGGCCAGATAGCGGATCGGGCTCTTGCTCTGGGAGCTGAGACACAGTTTCAGCACCACGTTGTTGTCCCAGGCCTCTGCCTCTACGTTCTCGATGGCCGAGCCGCCGTCCTCGTCGGCAGGCAACTCCACGTAGAAAGCATAGTGGGTGGGGTAGTAACCACTGCCGATGGTTGCGAACTGTATGTGGAGGCTTCGTTGGTCTCTCAGCTGTTCGATGGAATCGGGCTGCACGTTGGGCACATGCAGTACAAAGGCCATCACGTTGTCCAGGACGTTGCAGTCGAACTTTCCGGGCAACAGGTATTTCACGGAATTCTTAAGGAACGGTGTAGGGGCAGTATGCACTGGCGTGGCAGTTGGCGTTACTGGAAGAGATGACATTAATGCCTCTGAACCGAAAATGATATTCTCCCGGCACTCACCAGTTTCAGAAGTATCAGCTTTGGAGTCGCTGAGGTCGGCATCGGCCTCCTCCTCCTCAACGGGAGACTCGCTATTGGAATGCAGTTCCACGCCGCTGTCCTCACGGGTGAAATGGCGCAGGGTGTCGTGCATCTCGCGCTGCTGCGGGACGCTGGTTCGGACCACGGGCAGCGTAATGCTCAGCCGGCGAAGATCGGTATCGAATCGGGCGCTACCGGCCTTGTCGTCCACGGTGAAGGGCAGGTCTGTCTTTAGGCGATATTTGGCACCAGGCTTCTCGCTTAACAAATACACTGACTTGGAGGTGACGTCCAGCTGACACTCGGCCGTGGAGCGGAGAAGTGGCAGCTCGATTTCCACAACCAAGTTACGCGGCACCGTCACGTGCAGCTTGGCGTCCAGCTCGTCCGTATACTCCGACAGATCCACGTCATGACTGTGTTTGATCGAGTACCTGGGGATCGTGAATTCCGGCACTGGGGCTGATTTCGTTTTCATGGGAAGGACTCGAGGTTCCGGATTGGAGGTGGGCGGCGCTGTGGGATAAATGTTCTGCAGGGGGTGCGGCTCCAGCTGCTCTGCCGTTGGATTCTCGGCAAGCTTGCGTATCACAGTGGGACGGGCGATGCCCTTGTAGTCCAGCTTGGGGAACTTAAGATTGGCGCGGTCTAGGCTAACCTGGTACTCGCGTTCGACTGCGTCCAGCGCCGTGTCGATGAGGCACTTGCGGAACTGTGAATTCCGCTTGGCCAGGTGCAGGGCGTCCGGATGGAAGACCACGTCGAACACCTTGCAGTGGTTGTTCTTGGCATCGGCATCGTCCCTGGAGGCCGTTTGGGCCATGGGAATGTACCAGCTGAGTCCGCGATTGCCATTCTCTGGATTGATGGCCACCTCGTTGTGCGGCGCCTCGACCTCCGGCGAGCTGGCGATGTTAATGAAGCATTTTAGCTCCCCATCCAACGAAGTCTTCACCACGAATCCGGGCTGCGGATGAATGAAGCGCACCTCGACGCCGCGCTCCTTTTCCAGTTGAGTGATCTCCTCCTCGTAGATCTTTCGGTTGGCTGGGTCCTGGATCTCCTCCACGTATTCGAAGAAGAGCTTGCGGAACTCCTCCTGGCCAAGGGCCTCCTTGATCCGGCCGAATTCTTCCTTGCTTATATCGAGTTGGTCATCGTTACGGAACTTTGAGTGTTTATTACGCGAACCGGCGGACATAGCGCAATCAAAGGGTCACTTCACTCACTTGGCAGGAGCTCTTTTTTTTCTGCTCTGCTCTGCTCGATTTATTTTCTTATCACTTTTTGAATATTTTTGTGTTTTTGGTTGATTGGTTGTTTGGGGTTGTTTGTTTGTTTGTTTGGTTTGTAATTGAACACGTTTCCTTGACAAATGCTTTGGGTTTCTGGAAAAGAAAAGTAGGTAGAAATGGTTAAACAAATGCTGATGCAACTGTCAAATGGAACGTTCCAGACATCGATAGGAAAATTCCACAAATAGGTATATTTTCTTTAAAAAAAATATAGATATTTTCCTGTGGCCTACTGGGTTCTCAAGGTTGTCGTAGGTCTCTGCTCTAATTCGTAACCAAACACTTCTATCACGAAATTCTAATCGGCTGATAAGCAAATAAGTTAAGGCGCCGGCGACGCAGTAAGGTCGTTGCCAAAATTTGCCGGCTATATGCCGGACTATTGGAATATATTGGCCTATTAATAGAATTATGTAAGTTGGTAAACACGCTGACCACGCGCTATTCGAAGTGTCTGGGATTAAATAAACGAACTGCGTAGTTTTTTTGAAATTCTAGGGGACTACACCTTCGCCCGCTCACCTCGCCTGTGCTTTATTATTGTTATTTTCGGTGCGATGTTTTCGGGACGAGAGCGTTTTCAAGAATGAGAGCGATGTGCCCGAAACGCCGGCAAATAAAAGAGCTGGGACGGGTGTGATAGAGGGAGCTGCGCAGAGAGGGGCTTTTGATAAGCGCGAAAAGAACCACTTGCCCCCAATTGTTTTTTTCTGGGGGAGGCGCCCCTCCCTTTCATGTCACCAGTCTGATTGCCATTTCTGGCACAGACTAACTAATTGTACAATAAACTTTATCTGCACAGCTATATACCATATAGTATAGTAATTGTAATGTTTACAAACTGCGATATCCATATATTTACTTGGTAGGAGGTATATAGGGGACCACATGAGACATATATACAGATGCATTCCCTACTGCGTGTGTATCTCCCTATGGGCCAGAGAAAATCGAGGAAAATTATAACAGTTACGTGACCAAAAACACATGTTTGCAGTGGGGGTGGGGGGAAAACTCTTGCTTGATCGATACGGGGTAAATTAAATTGATTTTCCTGCAAATCGAAGGAACCGGTCGGTCTGGGCCTGAAGACCTTTAACCACGACATACATAGTTGCTCCAATGGTAATATAAATGGAAGAGAGTAGCCATGGTAGATCTCTGTCCAATTGTATTGTAGGTTCCAGGTCAGTCTTACAACAGAGTCATTTAAGACTGGCTTTCAAAGCTGATTCTTCGCTCACCTGTACTTTATATATTTATATATTTTATTAAACTGTTGTATTTGTTTGTTTTATTTTTTAACCGCTGTATTGCCTAGTTTGACGTTCTAGAAACTTTTCCGCTGGACCGGCTGCTCTCTGGTTGTTTGTGTGAGTGGCTCACTAGAGGTGCGAAACATCGATAGAAACGATGTGTTTTTAATTTTCTTAATTATCGATAGTTATTTTTGACTATACGGTCACACTTTATCACCATTTAATTCCCGCGAAACTTTAAATGGTTTTGCATTCAAAATAATATTTTTGATTTTATTAGTCTAAAAAAAAAAACTCAATTTATGATTTTTTTGAATAAATGAACAGAAAAAGTATATCACAGTTGAGAAATTTATTATTATTGCAATCATATTGGTAATTTTGTAGACAATCCTTAGTTCGATTCTGTTTTCGAAATTATCCGTGGATTTGGAGAGTCATCAAACCAGGACAAAATATTTGAGCATACCGCTATGACCTCCATCTTAGGATTCGATGGATATATTTGACCAAGAAATTCCAGTAATCTAGGCTGCCGCGTCACCACATCGTAGTATTCCTCGGCCTGTATAAAAGTGTCCTTATCCAGATCAAATTTTTGCATTATTAACACCTTCATGTCCTACAAAAAATTCTTTATAATTTTAAAACTAAAATAGAATGAAATAAATATAAAACCAATCGGAGCTCCTGGGCCTCTTCTTCGTCGACGTTATCAAAATATTTTGAAACAAAATGTCCGACTTCTTCGCTATTCAGCTGGCCCTTATCTCCGCGATCATAAACCTAAAGATATTAAAATTGTGTATGTAAGAGCTAAATACATTTATTTTATACCAACCGAAAAAGCAAACTCCATCTTTAGCTGTAGATCTCTACTGAAGTATACCTTGAAAAGGTGCAAAAATGATTCCACATTACAATACTTTTCGGGTGTATAATCGGGATATGGAGAGCTTTCAGAATGACAAATCCGGTCTACAATAACAGAGACAATTTCCATGTCATCGAGTTCAAAAATGAATCCCAACATATTCGCCAGCTGCAGCTTCGTCATGAATTTGGCACGGGGTCCATTAGCAAGGACGAATTTGTGAAAAACCATTATGATGCTCGTTAGCTCATAGTCCTTGAAGATCAGCTTGTGATCCTTTAGCATCCGACTAATAAGTGGAGAATAGATATATGTAAAACGAGCATTTTCCACTGTATCCAAAGTAGTATCGAAACCCATTCTAAAATTTTGGCCAATAGTTTCTCCAAAGAAAAACGGTCAAAACTATTTTTTAATTAAAATCGTTTCTATAAAAAAAGTGTTCTTTTTGTACGTTACGAATGTGTAAAACGCCTAAAAATACTGACAAAACGTAAAATTTTCATTACGACTTGAATTTAAGAGTGTAGCTCGCTGTGATCATTTAAAAATAATATAAAGTTCCATTTCTAATATCAAACACACTAACCACCAACTGTTTACACGCTATGTATATTTGTATTTAATTATCTAATGGTTTAATTTTACCTTGCTCTCGGCAGAATTATACCATTTAATAAGCTGAAGCAAGTGACAGGATATTACAGCGCTTTACAACACGACGTACAGTAACTTATGATTACAAGAATTACAAAAGATTCTCGTTAATGTATGAAAAAACATACAATGATTTACATTTATGGCATATATATGTATGCACCCTATGTATAAATGGTAAGTATGTGTAAAAAAAAGCCTTAAACTAAAAATAATCAATATATATATATCAAAATAATACAGTGGCCATTGAGAATACTGACTGAGGAGTAGATTTGCAATTTTGCAAAATGGGGAACTTATTCAGAGTCTGTGCTTGAGTATTGTATTTTGTTTGTTCGTTTTTGTTTGACGACACAACCGCGGTTTAAATTGATTTTTCTCTTTTCGTCCGTAGTTCGAGTTTAGATTTCTTCTTAAAATATATAGATACAAATATATAATACTAATTTCTTGAAAAATGCAATGTCTGTGAGTTCGTGGTGTGGTGCAGAAATGCACAAAAAACAACAGTCCATTTCTTGTGGCAAGCGGAATCGGTACGCCGCCTGCCACTTGTGGCAACTTGAGTCTGTCTATGAGTATTCGTATTCGTATTTGCCTTCACATCCTTGGGCTTCGGATGGTCTACATTTCGCTAAACGTATTTCAAGCTAAATTTTAAAGTACTGTTGATGATTCCTCTACATGCTCTTACACCCTAATTTCTGGCAATTCGTATTGTGTTCTTGCTTTATTAGCATTTGCATCTGCATCCTAATTGCAGGCGGCCAGCGCCCCTTCTGCATTAGTCGACGGTGGTGTCCCCAAAGGCGCCTGTCCGATTTCATGAACATTGTTGTAGTCCACTTTGGCATTGCACTTCGACGAGGAGCCCTGCTCCTGTATGCTCCCGTTGCCGTTTTCATTCAGTCCACTTCCCTTCGAGGCGTAGACACCCAGACGCGCTTCATGCTCCCGACGTTGCTGCCGCAGCCGAATGTCATGCTCCTCCCGCATGTGCCTCAGCTTCAGGTCCTGCTCTTGTCGGTAGTAGGCCAGTTTGATATCCTGCTCCATCTGCTCAAAACGCAGTTTCTGCTCGTGCTCCCTCCGGGCATAGTCGATCTCGGCCAGGCGGGCTTGCTTGAGCAGCTTAAACAATTCCTGTCTGTACTTTTGCTCGAGTTCTGCAGTGCTGACGAGCTCCACAGACTGGTTACTGGCCTCCACCGCTGTTGTGGCAGCTAGGGAAAACGTGTTGGATGGGGCAACGCTATTGGAAGCTTCGTTTTCGTCGGAGAGCAGTGACTGGGCCTGGGAAAGCTATAAAATGAGGGATTATAGTTATATACTGGTGTGGTAAGCTATTTAAATCCCAAAACTTACATTTCTTTGCCGTCGTTTTCGCTGTGGAGGTGATACCTTTTCGTTCTCTTCACCCGTTTCGGCGGAGGCTTCGGTTTTAAGACCCAACGGTGATGGCTTGGCCTTGGCCCGTTTTCGACGCTGTGCGGGCTGCTGGGCGGCGGGAGCACCTTCCTGTTGAGAGTCTCCATCTCCTCCAGCAGTCGACGGTGGGGGCGACGGTATGGCAATAGTGGAGGTCTGCAACGTATCCTCGCTGGCATTTGTGGAGTTGGGCAATGCGGCCAAGGGCATATCCTCGTCCTCGTCAATATCGAGAAGCTCCTTTTTAATCGCACCATTCGTGTTGGCTCGAGTCTGGCTGCGGGAGCTGACCGGATCCTTCTGCATCTCCTCCATGAACTCGATCATGCGCATGCCCTCCAGCGCATCCGATTTTGGGTGCTTCTGTTGATGCTCCCGCTTTGCAGAATTTTTCATGCTGCGCCACTGCACTTGAATCTGCTCAAGGAGCCTGTGCCGGAAGTTCAGGGCATTAAACCTGCAGAGATGGAATAAATTATCTATACCCTTGTTTCGATGCGTAGGCATTGCGCAACTTACTGCTTGGTGATCTGGGACCAAGCCAGGCGCTTAGCTTTTATGCTCTTGGCGTCCACACTGCGGTTCTCCACGAAGGCCACCTTCGACTTGATGACCTCCAGCAGCAGCCCCCGCTCAGCCTCCTCCCAGTTTAGGGAGCGTTTTTTTCGGGTGCCTTTCTTTTTTCCTCCCGCGCCTTCCTTTTCACCAGCATCCTCGTTAGCATCCTCGGCGTTCTCTGCCCCCTCCCCTTCGCTGCTGGTCTTTTGGGGCTTCGGCTCCACCTTCTCGTCCTCGTCGTCGTCCTCCGGCGGCGAGGACGATCCTTTTGTTAGCAGCTCTTCCAGCTTCATTGTTTTTGTTTACGCCTCCGTTTCACAGTTGGCAGCGATTCCAATTTGAACAGGACGATTGCGAAAATCCTATTAGATTTCTGTATATACTTTCTGTTGTATATTTCAAACACTGTTTTCCGATCTTTGCAACACTTAAAACTGGCGAAATTGTGGCAACGCCCGCGGATTTAACAGAATTTAACAAGAATTAACAGAATTTAACAGAAGTAAAAGTTCCGCACGTTTTTGTGTTTATTTTCTGGTCCCACTAAACATTCCTGTTAAAAGCTACCAATTGGGATAAACAATCCGATCCAATCATAATTTCTGAAAATGGCCACGGAAGAGCATCAACGTCTGGCTAATATTATAAAAAGCTGCCATGAAAGTTTACGGCAGCTGACGAAGGAACATGGAGCTGCAGCGGCGTGGCAGGAGCACACAAGTCCTCAGAACGGCAGCCGATTGGCGGAGTACGCCAAGGCCATGCGGCAACTGGCGGCCATATGGGAGACCAACAACGAGAACGTGGAGCTGCAGGCGCGCAGTCGCATAAAGTGGGCCATTGACTATATCACGAAATACTTCTTCACCGAGGGAATTTATCTACAGAAGCGACAACGCGAGCAACGTTTACTCGAATCCTACAGGACAGAAGGACAGTTGGGCGACGTGGAGTGCCAATGGATGGAGGAGCCGCCGGACAGACTACGTGTGCTGGACGTGGGCAGCTGTTTCAACCCCTTCGCTAGCACCCCGCATCTGGAGGTCACAGCCCTGGATCTTTGTCCGGCCACAGCGGATGTCCTCCAAGCGGATTTTTTAAAAGTAGAAATAGAGCCCGGACTAGAAGAGCCTGAACTGGTAGAGGGGAGTGTCAGGAGGCTGCCTGCGAAGCACTACGAGTGCGTAATTTTCAGTCTTTTGTTGGAATACATGCCCAGTGCCGAACAACGGCTGGAATGCTGTCGAAAGGCCTACGACCTCCTCCTGCCCGAAGGCATACTTGTTATTGTGCATCCAGACTCCCAGCATGTGGGTAAAAACGCCCACCTAATGAAAAACTGGCGCTATGCGTTGGCCAAGCTGGGCCTGCTAAGAGTGCGTTTTGAGAAACTTCCGCACATCTCTTGCATGGTTTTCCGGAAAGCCATCAGCCGGGATCTCGCCCAGCACTGGGCAAGCATCCACCGGGAAGAGGGCATGTGCGAAGCCATACGGATACCGCAGGACGACAATTAGATAGCTAGATAAGATACCAGAAGCCCAAATCGATGTAAATATTTTCATGTCTAGTTATTTATGGCCTAACTTATCTGCGTTAAGTGCGAGTTAATAATAATGGTTGACAATGATTTATCTACTAGATGTTGTAAATGGGGAAATGCTATTGCTTCTGTTCCGACTGTGGGAACACGCCGCTGCTGGTCTGGCGCTTCTTCATCGCTGTGGTAGCGCCCTGTGAAATTTTCATTATGTTCGGCGGCAGCGGTTTCTTTCGGTCCGCCTCCCATTCGGCACGGTGGAGCCGTTGGCGATGTTTGTACATGTTAGCGTTGGAAAAGAAGGTCATGGGGCAGTTGGGACAGGTATAAAGCACCTCACCGGTGTGCGTGGAAGTGTGTTCCTTTGGGATGATTATGTTTAAATGTCTGATGTTAGGATTAGTTTCTTGTCTGACTTACCCTTAAATCCTGTGGGCGCTTGAAGGCCTTGTCACACATACCGCACTTGAACTTGCGCTCGCAGAGGTGGTTGTGGTAGATGTGCCTCTTGAGGGCTCTGGAGTTAGTGGAGGTCTTGTTGCATATGTGACAACGGTGCTCGCCACCCGGCGGCTCGTGGACCGTGTTCATATGCTGTTTCAGTCCAGAGAGATGCCGCAGCCAGGTGCCACAAATCTCGCATTGCACGGGATCGGGTTTACGTCGCGGTACGTCGGAATGTTCCAATTCGTGATGTTTCTTGAGAGTCGTTTGGGAACGCAGTGTCTTGCCGCACTTATCGCAGATGATAGCCGATTCGGGGTCGTGCATGTACCGCATGTGCTCCTTTAATTTTCGCTCAGTGGGTATTCTGAAAAGGGATCGGTTTAGTTGGAAAATTATTAGAACAAAGGTGTGGTTTAGTTACTTCTTATTGCACTCTGGACAGGAATACTTGAACTCGGACTTGGGCACATGTTTGGAGATTCTGTGGTACTCGATGGCCGCCTTGGTGATAAAACTCTTTGGGCACTTATCGCACTGGTAAATGGGTTTGTCCTTGGGTTCCGTTTTCACCTCGGGATTTATGTGCGTCTGCTCGTGTACTTCCAAAGCTCGCGAGTCTGGGAACACCCGCCCGCACTGCGAGCACATAAAGTGATCTGGGTTCCTGTGTACCATCACATGTTCCGCCAGCCCTTTGCGTAAGTGGAACTTCCTTCCGCAGCACATGATATATCCCGACTCAATGTTGTGGGACATGCGCAGATGTCGTCGCATGTCGCCAAAATTCTGCACAAGAAGATTGCAAATGGAACAGGGAAGCTTCTTGAAAAATCCCAGAATAACCTCATCATATTCGTCCTGTTGCTGCTTTCGTCGCTCGATCTCCGCACGACTCATTCGTACAGGCGGAACAAGCGGCTTTTCACGTTTTCTATACTTCTTGGGTTTGACTACAACCCGCTTGGGAATCTCAGCATACCGTTCCTCTGGCTCAATGTCTGGCAGGCTGTTATCCGAATCTTCGCCACTGCTGTCGCTGCTGGAAGGGCTACTGTCATCGGTACCCAAAACAGCTTCCGGCGGCTCAAATTCTGTGTCATTCATATCGTTTTCAGGCTCTTCTTCTGAAAGGCACTCCTTTTTGGGCGAAGAAGGGGGTGGTTCTGGTTTGGCCTTGGGTGGCCGTCCACGCCTAGTGCTTCTTCTGAGCGGAGCTGTCTCCAGATACACCGATAATGGAACATCCGATTCACTGTCCACGGGCTGTTCGTTTTTAATGCGACGCTTTGGTTGTGAGGGGCACTCCGCTTGAGATCTGGTCCGCTTGTTGCCTGACTTGGATTCTGTATCAACGGGGTCTTCGAGGAGTTCCAGTTTTGGGAGGGGTTCCAATTCGTTCACCTCCACTTTCACTTCGTTGGGAGCGAAAAATCCCTCGGCTAGGGCATCCACTTCCAGGGTGAACAGTGGATTGATAGGCTCCGATTCCCCACAAAACACGATGGGAACGCTTTTCGCGTCACCGCCCATCTGATGCAGCTTAAATACCTTTTGGTACAGTTCGTCGAAGCTGGTGACGCATGTCCAGCACGGCCGACAAATAGCCTCCACATCGCTGCCTGTACTAGGCAACTAAAAAAAGGATAGTGAATCTCTTACTATGAAGTATTTACGAATATGTCGTGCAACTTACTTCAAAAAATGAAAAGTGCTTGGATATGATGTCCCTTATGTTAAGCCGGACGCCCTCTTCGGAACATAGGTTGAAGATGGCGTCGGTGCTATCCTGGCATAAAACGCAAGCTGTCATGATTGACCCAGGGACTTTAAGCGTCCTTCAAAGCGTATCCATTTAAGCGTAGCCTTATTGTTTATGAATTCGGCAATAATTTGTTGTCGTCCGATGCAAATCAGGGATGAGTTTTGGAAGATATCGCTTGCATTCGATAGTCAGTGCAACTAGTCTTGTACAGTTTTTAATTTAAAAAAATTATAGTATTTAAATTTTTAAAACATGTTAGAAAGTAATAGGTGTTGGTTTATAACTATTATTTAAGCAATGAATAAACTTAACTAAATTGTAAAGTTATCGAGATTCCCGCGTTTTGCGTTCTACCATCTCTATTCATAAGAAAACATTGTGCACGCGACTGATCAGCTGTTGCTATTTGGAATTCGAATGCAAAATTAAAGCAAGTTTCGAGAGGGTCGAATGCAAGAAACAAGACCGACAACATGAAAAACAAAAAAAGTAGAGCTGAGAAGAAGAAAAATAATAAAAAGAAGCTCTGGCACAAGAAGGGAAAAGCTTCTGAAGCAGCTACAAAGATTCTGCGCCTGTTGACTGAAAAAGACGATGCTTCCAACCCACCTACGGAGGTAAGTGTCTAACAATGAACCATAAAAAATAGGCAAAAAGTGTTTTCTTTCGGTTCCGCGTTTTTTACGGCGCAGTTTCGTCTCTCCACCGCGCAAATCGGGGTTTTGGTGGCTTGGGGCAACTGTTGCAGTGCGCAAACGCCAGAGCCCAGCGCCTAATACCCGTCATCCAACATTTTCAGCAGACAGTGAAAAGTGAAAAGTTCCAGAAAAAACCTATTAGTGCACTTATCCCAGTGGCCAAATTAGTGAAAAGAACCCACCCAGGATGGAGACGATCTGGCAGAAGGCTTGCGCCCACCACGATGTTCCGGAGCAGGTTGCAAAGGAATGGTATTCCCGCATTCAGGAGCACCTAAGTGCCAAAAGCCCATCGCGCGCCTACCACAATTGGCAGGAGATGATGCAGCGCAAGGTGACACACCTGGCTAGCGTCAAGAATCCAAACATCGTACTGGCCGCCTTTTTCCAGTACTACCATTTCGATGGGAATCGCAGCTGCGCGGAGCAGAACTGTGAGGTGTTTGAGGAATTCTGTAACGATGCCGTCATCGAAGACGTGAGTAGAAGTGACATAAATATTTTTGGTGGCGCCTAATCCTTTTTGAAACAGGACCACGCCAAAAGTCTCGTGTGCAATCTGCTGGGACGAAAATCCCCCGACAACGAACTGACCTGGGATCACGACGAGGAAGCAAATTTATTGCAAGATGTGGATCTTGTGGTGCTAGCGTGAGTATTTTCAAATCAAGCTGAGTCTTACCTCATATGTTTGACATCCATTATAGGGCCCCGCCGGAGGAGTATAAAAACTACACAACTCTATTGCGCTCCGAGTATGCTAATCTCGATGATGCCAACTACAAGGCCATGCGAATCAAGGTGCTGGAGACGTTGCTACTGATACCCTGTATCTATGCTACGGACGAGTATCGGGATAAGTACGAGGAGTTGGCACGTGCCAATATTCGCACCGAGATCAGCGAACTAAAGCAGCAAAAGTAGGTTGCAGTGGCGGCCAGGGGTTGGATGGATCGGGATGCGAAGGGCTGCTTTGTTCACTGCTGTTGAGTTGTACATTTGCTGGCCGTTATACCTCGTTTGCCGCGCTCTAGCGAAATCAATATATTTTTACATTTAAGTCGGATGTAATCAAAATCACTTTCCTAGTTAGTGTGTACGCCTAGATATATACGTAAGCCCTGTAAACACTCCAGCTCATAATAAATTCGATGTAAATCATTTAAAACCCTGTATGTTTTACTAACAAATAAGAAAACTTAAAGAAGGACGAAAAGCAACCACTGGCTTGCTTTTCAGTACACTTATTATTTAATTTTTTGTACACTAATTGTTTATTTTATTTCGTTTAGGGACCATCAACCTCTACACAACCAACAATGCCGGCGCAGTCTAATAAGGTTAAAAGACGAAAAAATAGGGTAAGATACAAAGAAATTGCACATTAAAAGCTATGATTCACATTTTTTTATTTCATACTTACAGAAAAAAACAAAAAGGCTTCAAAAGAATCAAAATGGAAAAAACGATATTAATCGTGAACTGATTTCGAAGCTATTGAGCTCAATAAAAAAGAAGTACCAAGTACAAAACTCTCGCACTCGTAAGAAATTAAACTTTCAAAAAAAGTCGCCGGCAAAACAAACATCATTGCCCCTACCAACATTTTACCAACAGAAAAAGGTAATTGAATCCCTTTAGATTTGAATCTTACTAATGTTTACTCCTCAATTTTTAGGGAAGTCAAAATCTATTAGGAAATGTGAATAACACTTTAGAAGATGAGGAGAGTATAGAGGAAATACTGAGCAGTGATGATGACTGTGTATTGATAGACGATTCAAACGCTTCAATAAACATAGAGGATGAACAACCAAGTACAAGCGAACAAATCTTCAAAGATTTGAAGTATGTCGAAGATAAGTGCCGTGAAGCCACTCTGCGTCTAAAGGCAAAAACAGACAACAAAGTTATCTATTCTCCCAGAAGCGATGGGGACCCTCAGGAAGAAGTAAACTCCTCTTGTATTGTTTTGGATGACAGTAGTGACACCTTAACAGATCCTAAAACAATAGTCAAAGATGCTAACCAAGCTGTGATTGTTGTGGATGACTCTATTGTGGTTGAAGATTTCATTCCATTGTCGTCCGGGAACCAAAGCGAGAAGAGAATCGGAAGGAAGAGGAGAAGTTCTACCAATAAAACGCCGCCCAAGAAAGTCAGAACTCGTATGAATGATAGTCTTTTTACAAAGTCCGAGAAGAAAAAACTAGGTGATTATAATAGCAACACTTACAATCCCGCGGCTCATGAAAGTCAAACTGCTGACGCCCCAAAGTCCAATAAACGAGCCGTCATAATTGATGGAAGCAATGTGGCCTTTGCGTAAGTTTTATTCAAAGTTTTTATTTCAATATAATAACCTTAATATTGTACCACATAGCCATGGCAGATCGAGCATATTCTCGAGCGAGGGTATCAAAATCTGTATCGATTACTTTGACAAAATGGGGCACAATGTCAAGGCTGTAATGCCATTGTTTCGGAGAAACGCCAGTAAATCCTCAAATCCAGAGTTACTTGATCAGCTGCACAAGGAGGGCAAGATTGTTTTTACTCCGTGCAAAAACATACATGGCCAGATGTCCATCAGTTACGATGATCGGTGAGCTAACCATACTTTTAATTTGTTCTATTTGAATCTAATAACTTTTAAACTCCATTCCCTAGCTTTATATTGCAGCTGGCATATGAGATGGATGCGGCAGTCGTATCCAATGACAACTACAGAGACTTAATGGGGGAAAATCCAGCGTTTAAAAAGATTGTGGAATCTCGGGTCTTGGGATATTCGTGGTGCGACAATATTTTTATTCTGCCTAAGGATCCATACGGGCGCTGGGGACCTACCCTATCTGAAATTTTGAAATGTTAGTTTATGTTCAGTTTAGTTTTTCGTTTAAAGTTATAAAAGTCGAAGCATTTAAGTATTTACTTTATATTATTTCACATCTGTACATATTTATACATAAGAAATCAATACATGTAAAACATTAAAATTGAAAACTGAGTTACAGCACTGGAGGCTGTCCATTCACCAAGAAAGTGGTGGTAGTCGTGGTTGTTACATTTGCCTCGTAGACCGGAGGAGGTTCGTTGGTGCCTCCTGCAGCCAGATTCGGGTTACTGGCCTCCAGACAGGTGGCAATGGTCAAGGTGCTGTCCTGCTTTCGGTCACTAAAGGCTGCTTCATCATAACTGGGCGGCAGATCCAGGGTCTTGGGTAGAACTGTGATATCCTGGGCATTTCCGCAAGCAGGATCGGCTCCGCCAGAACTTCCGGAGCTGCCGTTGCAGTTGTTGTTTGTGACTTGAATTTCCATTTGGCGACGGGCTGAGCAGGAAATTAACGTATGATATATCAATTTTTAATTGAAAGCTAAAATTATGGTTATTTAATTTTTATTTTAAGCCAATATCAGTTATTTGAACTAACCGCGTTATTTTAAACCTCTTTACATAACATCTGTTAACGCATGTCTGTTAACAGTTAACATGACTGTTAGAACAGCTGACTACGGTTGTGACGTCATTCTTGAATTTAATCACAAACGTTGGTTATTATAACACCTACGCTGTCGTTGAAGCACAGCACCGCCTGAAGCGCACAGAACCGAGTAAGTGAAACTATTGGTAGTGATTGCCACCTGCCGCAGTCTCACCTTCATTCATGTTTACATAATGGCGATAGCCAAATCGTCGAGGTGAAAGTTAAGGTGCACTGTTCAAGCAATATGTAAATAAATTGTTTGGCTGCTGCCTAAACGAAGATGCAACAGGTTTTAGTCGGTGGAAAACCGTTTAAGTAGCCACTTAAATCGCACAGGGCCAAAGACAAGCGTGAATTAGAAGATCCCCTTGAACTAAACCACAAAGTGCGCGCTAAGCGAAGGTGAAAGTCCGTGCTCAGTCAAGGTTAATTAGCGACGATGGCTCGATGTGCTTTACACACTTCACCGAGCTGGCTGCCGGAGCGATTAATCAACTGCTGCCCAGAAGTCTCACCACTCCATTTCTTTTCGTTTTGCAGAGGAGATGCTGTTGCGGCGCTTTCTGGGCTACGGCGTACTCGGCGCTGGCTTGGCCTCTGCCGGCTGGAGTCTGCATACCAATGACTACGATCCCAACTCGCTGGGCATCGTGCGGCTTTCCCGATCCGCCGCCGCCGTCGTAGACGTGGCGCTCACCTACAAGCGGGAACTTTACTACAGGGAATGGGACAAGACAACACCGGAGTACAAGGCGGAAAAGAGTCGTGTTCACAAAATTGCGGCTGAAAAGTTACTGGAGCTGATCTGCACCAACAAAGGCGTCTACATTAAAGTGGGTCAACACATCGGTGCTCTGGAATACCTTTTACCCAAGGAGTTCGTTCAGACAATGAAGGTTCTGCACTCGAATGCACCACAAAATCCTATTGAAGATCTGTACAAGGTAATTCGGCAGGATCTGCGCTGCAATCCGGAGGACATCTTTGACAGCTTCGAGCAGGAGCCGCTGGGAACCGCCTCTCTAGCTCAAGTGCACAAGGCGCGTCTGAAGACCGGAGAGGTGGTGGCCGTAAAAGTGCAACATCCGTACGTGAAAGGAAACTCTCGGGTAGACATGAAAACCATGGAGATGGCGGTCAATGTTCTGGCGCGAATATTCCCCGACTTCAAGATCCACTGGTTGGTGGAGGAGTCCAAGAAGAATCTACCCATTGAGCTTGACTTTCTGAACGAAGGACGCAATGCCGAGAAAGTGGCCAAGCAGTTCGAGAAATTCTCATGGTTGCGGGTGCCTAAGATCTATTGGAAACTAAGCTCTTCTCGCGTCTTGGTTATGGAGTATCTGGAAGGTGGCCATGTGACGGACTTGGACTATATTCGGAAAAATAAGATCGATACCTTTGCGGTGGCGAATCGAATTGGACAGCTGTACTCCGAGATGATTTTCAGAACTGGATTTGTGCACAGCGACCCGCATCCGGGAAACATTTTGGTGCGTCGGACGCCGCAGGACGGTATGGAGATAGTCCTGCTAGACCATGGACTGTATGCCAATCTGACAGACAAGTTTCGATATGATTATTCTAAGCTCTGGCTGAGTATCCTCAACGTGGACCGCAAGGCCATGCGACTGCATAGCGAGCAACTGGGAATCAAGGTGGGTTCTTTGGAGTACGCCTATTGAAATCCTTTTTAATTTCTAACTCATCCGTTCAGGGAGATCTGTATGGTCTGTTTGCCTGCATGGTGACGGGGCGGCCTTGGGAAACGGTCATGCAAGGACTCACCAAAGTCAAGTATTCCAAAGATGAGGTATGTCATATCCTGTTCAAGCTCTAACCTATTTCGAAATAACGTACTTCCTTATTTTGTAGAAAAACACACTGCAAAACAATACCTCGCTAGTGCTGCCACACATATCCGATGTGCTGGAGCAAGTAGACCGACAGATGCTGCTCATCCTCAAGACAAACGACCTGATCCGTGGCATTGAGTCCACACTACGCACCCAGAACCGGATGACCGCCTTCTGGGTAATGTCCAAGTGTTGTGTTCAATCGTCATATGCCGAACAGCGAGCCCAGAAAACTGCATCCGGCTCGTCGGGTATATTTTGGCTGAGGCTCCGTGAACGATGGGAGCTGCTCAAACTGAACTGTTACTACCTCTACCTGGGACTGATTAATTTGGGTTTCCTCGAAGCACTTAAACAGGTTATTTAGTTTCTACATGTGGGTCCCCGAAATAAAAAGTACAAAACCATTGACAAGTCACAAAGTCCACTTTACCTCGTTGTCTTTGCTGGGCAAGATTTCTGGCAGCTGCTTCACGCTTGCGCTTTGCCGAGCTCTTCAGGAGAATATACGGGAACCGTTAGCAGGATAAGGAACAACCAGTTGTCTGGATCAGCTTACCATGATCACGGCCAGGGGAAAGGCGATGACAAACATGAAGACCAGCACAATGTAGAGGATGTAACTGGGATACCAGTAGTAGTACACTCCACTCCATCCGTAACCGCCATTGTTCCACGTTCCGGAGGAGATGGTTGGAACAATTGGAGAAGGGATCAATGTAGTATTAAGTACCTCCCGGGTGGTATTGTAGTGAGCTGTTGTATTCAACAACGGAGCAAGTGTACTCGAAATAGTGCTGGCCGTGCCGTTGATGACAGGTGCCATATTTTTAATGACTATTTGTTCTGATTAAGGTGGGGGCTTTAGCGGTTTTCGATTTCGATACTCGATTTTTGAGGAATGGAGGAACACTCCTGCTCGACAGTACCGACTGACGAACCAAACTAACAAGAAGTACTGGCTACCGAATCGACGGCCCAGGCAGACATGGGACAGATACCATAATAAAATCGAAAAAAACACACATATTTGCTTTGTAATCATTAGCTGATAAGGTGAGCCTAGCCAGGGCTTTGTTTTCTGTTTCATTCTCGCAATTTATCTAATGAGCAATATGATAAATGTGCATAAATAGATTTATATCTATAGGTACACCCAACACACATAAATATATATTAATGTCGGCCATGATTTATGGCAGCCAAGAACTTGGGACTCTCCTTTTGTGTGTCATCTCGAGAATGGGTTCAGTGGCCCTAACTAACGCAAATATTTATGTTTGCTCTCATCGGATTCCCAGATTCCCGAAGCCCCGCTGGATTCACTTACCGTTCTCCCCTTTGAGGCGCTGCGACATGGTGTAGGAGCGACAGGTAATCAGCAGCACCTGTAATTGGATACTTGATGGTTCAACTGTATTTCGTGGGCAACCGCCTCGCCAGGAGTGTCTCTACTCACGCGCAACAGAAATAGCAGAAAGCTGAGGACGAACAAAATCAGAAGGATGGCGCCCAGGCTATCCATTCTGGGGTTAAATGACCCAGCACTTGACCGGATGAGTTGTTTTGCCCAAAAACGTTGACCGTGATTCACTCTCAAAGCCTTGGGCGCATGTCAAAGTGATAAGATATGGGTTGGGGGTGTACGAGTGTATCTATTTCGTGGCCGAAACTCTGATTACATTTTAAGCAGTTGATGGTCTTTTCAGCACCTTTTATCGAAGGCCCTCCGGGGATTCCTTGCAGCTTGTAATTTGCGGCAACGTAATGGAGCGAACTTGGCCAACTGGGAGCCACTTGCCGAATGGCCATCACACAGATTGTGCAGGCCCAGTTATCTTCTGCCAGATTGCATTTTATGTTTGTACCGGCTGTTATCTTCAGAATCTGTCTGTCAGTCTGTTACTCAGTTAACGCTTAATTGAAGCTAATGGTTGTTACCATTGTGTGCTCTCCAGCATTCCGGCTCATGACCGACCTCCGGCCCATGACCCTGTGCACCCCCGCCCAGAGCCAGACAAAAAGACACACAATGCCCATGTTTCGGTCTTCATTTTTCCAACACAAATATATGTATATTTCCAATGTTTCTCTTTGATTTTAAATCAATTAAACGAATGAAAAGCATCACACGAAAATTCTTAAGTACTTAAGCACTACCAAACATTAAACCTTTACATAGATTTCGAGATAAATATTTTATTGAATTTTCAAATACTAGTTCGTTTGTCCGATTGCAGGCCAAGTAATCCTTTTGTTATTTGGCATTATTTTTGCTTTGTTTTGTAATTCATTCCAATTCGGAAAACATTGGCATATGAATATTAAATTGGCACAATTGTTATATCCTTGCAGGGTATTTATAATTTTTAGTTGCCTCCACACAGGGTAGTGAGGTTTTGATTTCATGAATCCATATGATTGGAAGATGGATCTCTCTATGGAAACATTACTTTTATCTGAAAACTCTTTCTGCAAGGGTATACAAGTTTCGGCTATGTCCGAATTCCTTTTTTTGATATTATTTGCTGGTTTTAATGCCATTTTATATATATTTACTGATAATAATCACTGAATTTCAAATTTCCGCTGCCAGCCATTCTGTTGTTCGCTGAAATTGAATTTACGCTCTCTCAATTGAAATTCGAAATTCGCAATTAATTTATTTGCGTTTTGTTTGTTTACCAACTCGATGCGCAATCAAAATTAAATTTTGCAGCAAGTCCACTATATACACTAGTATATATAATCATATTTTGGGTCTAGGATTCATACATATGTACGTTGTAGCATATGGCAGCGAAATCTATCTATTTAACCAGCAAATCGTGTAGTTCATTCGATATCTATCTTTATTTACCTTCTAGCGTTTGGGAACTTAATTTAAATCAATTTAAATAAGAAAATAAATTAAATGCAAACAGCTCGGGGCGCGTGTGTCAGAACACACACAGGGATGGCAGCCACTGTTAAAGGTGTCAGTTGCAATTAATGAGCCTTGGCGGGCGTTAATCTTTAATTAGCTGCAGTGTCCGATTTCTGAATCTCTTTCCCCCGGAACACACACGGATTCGATACCTGTAGGAAAAGGAAAAGGCAAGCATTCATTAAATCAAAGTGGAAACAGAGAAAGAATTTATAAAACTTCTCCTTGTGTCTTGTATTTATTTTAATAATAAAAGTAATGTTTCTCAGCTTTAAGGATTTATGCATATTTAAGCTCAAGCTTGTATCTGTCCATCTCATAAAATAATTTAGACATGTTTTCGTCTCTTTGTGGCTTTGAAATTATGTCCTGCTTGGCCTCAAAGATCCTGGAGTGTCCTTTCCCATCCTCACCCAAAGGAAGTAACTTTTGAAATTGGTTTCAGCAAACATGGCAAAAGCGAAAGATAAATTCACGTTGACATTTTAATTAATTTATCCCCCGACTATGTCTTGTTAATAGTTCTGTGTTTTCTTCCAGTTTACAATGTAAACTCAAAATGCCAGGCCGTGCCGAGACCTTAATCAAATAAATACATATGAATACAAGTATAAGGAACGCCCACACGTCCGCATACCGCATACCGCACACCGAAGGTAAAATTGTAGCCGAAACACACACGACACAAATCAATTTGCATAAGGATAGAACTTTCCAACTTTTGAGCATCGAAAGGAAACTGTGCTTTGCGGAAAATGCTCTGGAAGTGGAAAAATCGAGACGGGCATGCTCATCTTCTTGATCGCCACGACTGTCAGCAACAGGCTGACTTCTAAAGGATATCACTTTCCATCTGTCAGCCTGTCGTGCGAAGATAACAGCTAGCTAACTGATGTACGCCAGGATACTCCAGGACTGCCACTGCCAGGTAAGGCTCTTTCGGAAATTTAAAATTTAGGTATCAGTGGGTCGTATCTAAGGCACTTTAGGCTTCCTTCTATGCGTGTGTGTATTAAATTTGAAATTCAAATTTATGAAACTGCAGTGAAGGAGCGCCAGAGCCTGATTTTCATCTGCCAGGCCAGAGGAGACAGGACGGCCCAGGTCCGGGATAGACAAGAGACCGAAATATTCGTTCCTTGGCTCGCAAATTTGTGGCATTTTTTTTTTGGCATGATGCTTTAACAATTAGATAGCATACTTTTTGGGGCCGCCCAGAACTCGCACACACCCGAAACTTTCCTTTTTTTCTGGTTTGGGGCGGTGTGTGTGTGGCACTTTTATGTGGTGTGGTAGGCTATTTTTGAGACCGACTGCTGAGCACAGAAAGTTGCTCAGCTGGAATCAAGTTGTTAGCACAATTAGTAGGAGGCGTGAGCCGTCTGAATGGAGGAGGCGTGGCCGTTTGCGGCTTTCATTATCGAAACGTGCCTCACTTTGTCCATGAATGTTGAGCGAAATTAATTGCCGTCGGGCAGGAGTACAGGTCCCAAAAAGCACCGCCTCGACCCGCCCCAGCGATTGCAGAAAACTTTTGTTTGAATAATTTCATTAAGATTAATTTTGGCAACAAAGGATCTGGAAAATTATAATTTATAATTAGCAGGCAGGCAGAAGCGGTTGTGTTTGCTTTTCGGGGGACCCTCTCAGCCAACAGAGATTTTATTGAAAATTTTAATTATGATTTTGTGTGCGTTTCTGTGTTTTATTTCTCTCAGATTTTGTATTTTTTTTATTATTTTGTTTGCCAAAAAGTTTCGTTTCGCGTACATGGGCCATAAATGAGGTTTTCCGGTCTCAAAAACAAATTAAACTGAAGTCGAACTCTCAACGGCGAGGTCAACGAGAAAACGAGAACGCTGGACAATAAAGTTTAATGAATTACAATTTTCGCTGGAAACGGACGAAGGACTACGGCGGAGCGGAAGGAGTGCCAGCTGCTGGTAATCCTTGGACAAACAGACACGGTAAAATGGAGCAAAAAGTCGAAAGGAAATGAAAATATGTCGACGGAAATGAGCATTGACGCCGTCCGATTGCTCTGACCCAAGCTACCAGACATCCAGGACAAGACAACTGTGTCCTGTGTGTCCTGCTACTGTGTTGGTCAAGTCACATGCGCTGATTTCCCTGACTGGGCGGATCCGGCTGCGTCCCAGACCCAGACCCCGACTCTGGCCATTTCATCATTGTCAACGGCCGCAGAACATCGAACAAACAATAAATATTGTAAACAATTTGTTTGGTCTGGCTGGGGAAATAGAAAGCCATTGCAAATATTTGCCCACGCTTTGGGCCAGCCCGAAACGGAAATCGTTTCCTCCAAGGAGTCCACGGCCAGGGCCGAGCAGGGCCGGGCCGGAGAGGCTAAGTGGGTGGAGCAGGCAACTTTGTAAGCCCTTCGGGGCAATAAATTATCATCATCAGCAAATGGCAATGTGGTTCATCCTGCCCCATCCAGCCCTTTTCCCTTATCCTTACCCATAGCATTCATTTCGTTTCCTTTCCCCATAACAGCCGCTCACAATTTCCAATTGCCATCCGGCCCGGTAGCATTCCCCATCGGAGACTCCAACTGGGCCAAGTCGGGGGCCCGTACTACGTAGGTAATGCGGCATTAATTAAATCAAGCATCATTAAGCGGAGGCGTGGCCGTTGTGGGCGCTGTGCGGTTGAGTTCCTAATGGCAATTGCATTCGGATTCGGATTCCAATACGGATTTGCAATTGCACCGTGGTTAGGAGCACTTAAGCTTACCCCCACGACTGTCAGTCCCAGGGACCTCACTTAACTGCCAAAGTTTGACTTGGCGGGTTCATTAATTTGATAGATGACTTTTGGCTAAATACACAGTCAAAAAAACGTCTATAGAGGTTATATAAATTATTTCTGTGTGCCAATGACCACTGTCCATGTGGAAAATTGAAAATAAAAACCTTCACAAACACAAAATGTTTCAACTTCTGTGGCCGTTGCGTAAAATTTCATTTTCCCGAGAAAGGTTTTATGGCCGACGCTTTTGGTCTAAATGTGGGCTTTTCACATGTGTGTAAGGATGTAAGTATGTATGTGTTGGTAAAGGTAATGTGCTCAATTGGCCATGGCGGAGAATCTAAGGTAGAGTGATTTTTCAATAAAGCACACCCCCTGGTGGCAGAAATTGCATAAGTAGCTGCCACATGCTAGGCATCGCAGGCGAAGAAAAAAGAAAGTTTTTTTTTTGGGAAAAAGGATCTCTTTTTAGTGCATTGTCTTTCAACGAGGCAGGAAGGAATTTGCTGGCAGGCTGGCAACTGGCCAACAGATGGCGGAGCACGACCGAAGGTTAAACAACAGCCAATGCACTTGGCCGACACCCACATATTGGGCCACGAGAGGAGCGCAGAGCTGGGAGCACGCAAAGCATTGTAGACATTAAGCCCCCAAGGGCTTAGACAGTAGGCTTTGGATGCTTCGGCTTTTGGCTGCCAGCGTGCAGTGGAGCTTGGCCAAGAGGGTGGCTGGAAGAGGATGAGGTAGCACATCCTATTTATTGCCAACGCTTGTAACAGTCATTATTCACTCGGCGGGTCTTTTGGAGGCTCTTCGGGCCTCTTCGCTGGCTCTTTAAATTTCATTTGGCAAATGTAATTCGATTTAAGTTCCGTTCCCGGTTCTTTGCTTATTTTTTGTTAGCCATTTTTGCCGCTTGCCATTTTGATGGCAATGAATTTTTCATAGCTCGGGAATGGCTTGTTTTTTTGTGCTCTTTGTTGGACTGCATTTCAATTGAATAAGGCGAGCAAACCAAAAAGAAAAAAAAATCCTCACAAACAAAACGAGAGCAGCTTGAAAAAGTTTTAAAATAAAAGGGAGAAGGACTCTTAGTTTCGGTTCAGAAAAATAAAAACGGAAATGCATGTTTTGCATATTGCTTTGAGCCCTCAACAAATATGGAGAATTTCAACTGTATAGACTGTGTGTGTATGGGTGTGTGTGTGAAAATCAAATTTGCTGACCCTCAGCTTCTGTTTCCGGTTTCCAGCTTTTTTTTCTAGTCACTACCCTGACCTATGCACCCCCCTCTGTATCCGCTCTGTAGAAACACCGCATTTCATTTGTTGGCAACAATCGTCCATGCAAACAACAAAACTTGACTAAATGCAATAAACTGACCAAGTGCCTGGCCATTTTGCCACTGTTGCGGTTCCGCCTGCTCTCCACCCACCACCCACTTCCGCCGTCCATTCAATCCCTCCCAGAATTTCGTTAGCCAAGCTTTTGGGTTAAGCTCTGCCAACTCAGCGGCATTTTTAGATCCTTTTGACTGTCTTTTTTTTTGTTTTGGTTGTTTTTTGTTCGCATGGAATAAAATGCAATTTGCTCATTTTTGCATAAACCCCAATTTTATTCTCACGGCCAGGAAACGAGTGAGAAATTGTTATTGTACACTCGAAAAATAAAATATACGAAGTATCCCATTGAAATTCAATTTAACTAAAAGCTTTTGATCCAGATTCTAAGAATTTGATTGAAATAGTTTTCTCTATACCGTGTACGCACTGTATTTTGGCAAAAATCCTTGCCTCAAAGCATCAAGTGAAAACAAATCCCTCGCTAGAGAGTCATGGGATATGCTTGTCATACAATCGTCAGAGTTACTCAATGGTAGTTCCCAAAATCGCCCCAAAAAAACAGCCAAATACCGGACACCTACCTTGATTTACGTAAATGGACGCTCTACTCCGGCGGCTGTGGCGGCATCCAGCAAACTCAAATCGTTGAATGTTTCACAATTTTCCAGCACTTGGCTGCAAGTGGCGTTAATTAAATCAAAATCAATGGCCACCCGATGTCCGACATGCCCCAACTCCGTCCCTGGCTCTGTCTCTGGCTCCTGTTCTGTGTGCTGCTGTGTGTTTACGGCATGGGAATCACCTTTGTCCGACGGTAGTTGCAGGTGGGTGTCCAGTTGGCAGCATGGGTTGCTGGTCGGGGAATTCCAATTCCAATTCTGTCCCACGACGCTCCCGCTGCTGCCCCCGCCTCCAGCTGTCAGCATCGCCTGAAGCTCCTCCACACTGCAGTCGTACTCGTACTCATCGTACTCGAACTCATCGTCCATCAGCGACTGCTCCGAGTAGCTCTCGTCGTCGTCGTCACAGTCAAAGTAACCACTCTGCGAATGAATCCGTAGATTGATGATTGTGTTGAGATTGCGATTGAGCACTTGATTGCCCTGGTGGGTCTAAGTGGGGTGTTTTATAGAGGCCTGCTATCTCTTATAGGATGTATGTATGTATGTATATAGGGGTTTACTGGCATAAAACTATGCTATAAGGTGTTACTATTCTTCTATCCATCATAAAACATCATATTCTATCAGGTTCATAATTAACTTCATTTAAAATTATTTAAAACAAGAGAGGAAAGCTTATTTGGGGCTGAGCCAAAGTGGATAAAACCTTTCAGTAAGTATTATCGGATGGGCAACAATAATATATATCGAATGTAATAGTCAACTACAAAATAACACAAAAAAAAAAATTTTTTTTAATTATATTTTTTATTTTTGTGCCTGCTTAAGTGCAACCTATGAGAATCGAGGAGGAGGGCGTTTTTTTTAAATTAATAATTTTTAAAAATCTTAAGCAAATTAAAGCATCATCTGGAATGTTTTTATACGCAAAAAAACGGTAAAATTTTACTCTTTATACTACAACTTTTAGGTAGGTTCTAGGCGCCCTCCAAAGTAGAAAATAATTTCAGATTTAAAATTTATATGGAAAAAAATATTTTGAATAATATTTATGAATATGTATGAATAGTTATTTAACATGTAAGCCGTGGTTAATCACATGAAACACACTACAACTTATCAAAAATTCAAACCCTATAGGTGTAGCTGCTGAAAAATCATTTAAAATTCATGAAAACTCTTTAAAGAAGGAAAAGCCCGCTGATTCTCACAGGCTTATTGGAAATAAACTTGTTGTCCCACCTGGTAAGGCCCCACCTCGTGATACCATAAATTCAATTCAACTCACCTGGCAGTCCAGGCATCGGCAATTATCACAGAGGCTGCAGCTTAGACCCAAAATATCGGCTGCCTCCTGGTAGAGCTGTTGTTGCTGGGAGGTGGTCAGTGCGTTGTTGTCCTCATTATGCATGCTCCAGTTGTTCAATTTATTCAGCTGCCGTTGCTCACTTCCACTGCCACTGGCACTGCCCAAGCTCATGCCCCTGCCACTGCCAATGGCACATCCATTTCCATTTGCAGTCCCTGCTCCTCCGGCCTGTTCGCGACTGATGCTCTGATTTTTCAAGTTCCCGCCATTGTTGTTCCGGCTGGGTGGAGGCTCCGCCCAATTGCTGTCGAGCATGTTAAATGAAAGTTTATTTAGCTTCTGGTTGACTAAACTAAACGCGTATCAAATGGTTGCAAGTGGCGCGGAAGGGCTCTGCCGATTAGGGGTAAGGATATTAAGGTTCCCATGCAAATTGAAATTTAAGTGGGGTGTATGTATTATAGGCTAGTTAACTGGGGATTAAACTAAAATAAAGCCTCTGGTTAATATATTTTTATAAAGCCATAAGCCTCTTTAACTTCCTCTTTCAGCAATTAAACCTGATGAATAGGAAACCCCACAAACTTATTTAATTTGTATCGTTTCAAAGGACTTTTCAACTCTTAGTTCAGAATAAATACAATTAAGACACTTTTTTTCTGTATTGGCTTTAAATACCTGCAGGATAACTTGCTTTTACAAAAAACTGCAGTCATCAGACTGCAAAAAGGCCACCAGGATGAAAAAATATGTGCAAAGTAAGTAACTTTGCACAACAAATTTCCGCAGTTATTTTGCAACAAACACACACTCTGTGAGCTGAGGGTGCGGGTGTGTCATTCTTGTCAGTTCTGCTGGTGTTGCCATCCGGCTCCAGAAAGTTGATGAATGTGCTCCGGAGAATTTCCACCGTTCCGCCGTATTCCGACGTGTATAATGAAAATGCCTAAGAAAGCAGGAGCTGGAGGAGTACCTGGCTGACTAAAAAAGTAAGAGGGCTGCACTCTCTTTTTTGCCGGCTGACGTTTACTAATTAAATGCGCACTGGGTACTAATAAATCAAAGCAGTGCCGAGACCCACCACCTGCCCTCCAGCCCAGGCTTCCTCTCCCTTTCATGATGCAATTAATGAAATTTTCCCAGCCGCCTTTGCTGCGAAATTTTCAGTGAACGAACTTTGACATCATTATTGCCAAAGGGGATAAGGGATAGGACCCAAAGTGCCGGGGTGTGCCGGTTCTGTGGCCGGAAACTCGAAAACTTTACGCCCTCGAAAGTCGTGTGAGTGATGTCTGGGGCCTTTGGGAGGATCTTATGGTATGAGTAGAACTTTTCTTTTCGGGTGCAGGCCCCAAAATATGATTATTGCACTTCAATATGCACTTTTTCTTTTTTTTTTGGGGGAATTTATACGATTTGCAGTAAAACCTGAATGCTCCCGTTTAAGTGCTACTTGCAGTCTCAAATTATTGCACTTCAATATGAACATTTATGACCAGCCATCCATTCAGAAGGCTGGGCTTGCATTTTAATCAACTTTTTCGACCCGCCCCCCTTTTAAGTAGCGTTAAGCTTGACTGCTTTCAGCGTTACTCGCCTTACTTTATGTTTATGCCGAGCGCGTTAATTTTTCAATTTCGCAAATGACTGGCTGGCTTGCTGGATGGGTGGCTGGGTGGGTTGCCTTCGTCACTGGCAACTAAATGGGGCGAGCAACAACTTTGCTAAGCGATGATGATCAAAACTTATGACTTCATGAACAATGCAGCAAAGTTTCGCGGCTGAAACAAAGTGTCCGCTGACAGATAATTGAATGCGCTTAAAAGCCGCAACAACTGAGAAAGCCAGGGCGAAGGATAAGGCATTTCATCCTGGAATTAAGTTTCAGTCAGGCATGAGAAATGGCTATAGGATAGTACTATTTATTCAGGAGGTATAAGACGGAAGGTAGCACTCCATTTTGTCGCTAGGACAGTTCAATAATTAATTAAGCAATAATCGAATGCCTCAAAGGTGGAATGCAATTCGCACGGCTCTCCGTCAACTTAATGAGAAAGCACTTTGGCATGGCAACTAAGCCTGGTCGGGAGCCTGAAGCCGCGGCGCCACGATTGCCGTCATAAAAAGTTGCCACATTTTGCAGCTCACTGCTGCACGATGCCTTATAACATTTATGGGAATTTATAAGTTTTTGTGGCGGCACGAAGATTGTTAGCTATGATGGCTACACTTGGCTACATGAGGCTATACTTTAAAAAATATGTTAACTAAGAAGCTTTTAATATAAATATAAATCTTAAAAGAAAAAATTAAGTTAAGGTATTCTTATGTAATATTTAATTAACATTTTAAGCCAAAATATTTCTCAGTGGAAGGACACTAACATACCTGACGGTACCAGCATCTTCCGGCGCTGCTGCTGCGTTGCTGCGCCATTTTTCTTCTTCGAGATATTTGAGAAACTTTGTCTTCTTGGCAATAAGCGCTGATTTGACATTGGTGCATTTCTTCTTGGCCAAGAGTGGGGGGAGGCCGCCCGCCGTTGTGGCTCCGGCTCCTCCGCTAGCTCCTGCTCCTGCTCCTGCCGAACCTGAGGATGGCCCACTTGCTGTGCCCTCCAGCGACTCCCCGCAACGGCTCCGGATCTGATGTTGATTCCGGCTATTCTGTCCACCTCCTCCTCCTATGCCTGCCGCTGACAGGCAGCTATTGTTGTTGCCCCCATTGTTGTTGCTGTTGCTGATGCTGCTGTGGTTGTTGTTGTGGCTGCCCAGGGCTTGAGTGTGGGTGACATTTTGGCAGGCTCCGCCGACGCTGCAATTGAACAATTTTTGCAGGGCCGCCGTTGCCGGTGAACACATTGCGGTTGACATTGATGTAGCGACAGGATTTACGTAGTTTGATGCGCTTTCCGCTGCTGTTCCTGCTGCTCCTGCTCCTGCTCCTGCTCCAGTTCCTGTTGTTGATGTTGTTGTGGTTGCTGCTGATGCGGATGCGGATGCTGCTGCTACTGCCGTTGCTTTGGAATTGCCAAAAGTTTTGAATTTATGTTGCACAACGCCACTCGAGCAAGTTGCCTCGATTGGATTCGCCACTCTGCTCCGGCTGCCATTTATTTCACGCGTTGTTGCCGCATATGTGCTAAAGTCCTGCCAAGATGGTCGACAGAGATAGGACGCCATCGAGAGAGAGAGAGGAAAAAAAGATGGGAAGTAAAGTTCAGATAGTTGGTCGGACAGAGAGCAGTATCCTCATGGCAAAGGACTTACCCCATATGCACTATAGCTGGCATTAAGGACATAAATCGAATTTTGATTGTTGCACTGAAAGACCATGTCGTCCATTGTTTGGGCTAAGCAGGCAGAAAAAATGTCCTTTAAAAACTTTAAATTTAAATGGTAGTGTACTGTCATATATCAAATATTTGCCCGTCTTTTTATTGTTATATAAAAAGTGTTTCAACTTTAAAGTCAGCAAATAGTTTTGAGAAGATAAGTTACATGATATATGTGTCAGAGATAAAAGCCAATCAAATATTGAAAAGTGTGAGTATTTGCCGATAGGTTCCATGTATTTTACTTTCAGGACCCGAGCGGAAAATGTTTCCTAACAAAATTATGCAAATTTAACATTGAAATCAAACAGCAGACGGCGTTCTCTGTTTCAACTTTTCGCATTCGCAATCGAAACTGGGAAAAATCCAAGGGAAAATGCTCAGTAAGGGGGGATACGCCGAAAAAAAGCGAAAATTTAATTTAAATTCTTATTGCTGCCTGGTGATTGTGATTGTTTCGGTGGGCTTAGGGGTGTTGATATTGGTACTGGGATGATGGGATGGTGGGATGATGGGCTGGTTGCCTTACCCATTGAACTTTCAATAAATTTGGTTTCGTAAATTTGTTCGGCTGCTGGGTTGGTGCTGCTGTCACAGCTCTTACGCAGCTGGCGTCGATTTTTGGTTGGGAAAAGTGTTGATTCCTGTCGTGCTCCTGCTGTTGCCACTGCCGTGCCGGGCTGGTGGATCCTGTCCAGCTCCTGGCGGCTACAATTACCGCCACCGTACACGTCCAATTGAAGCGGAAATTTATGCGGCTGCTGGAGCGTGTAAACGTTGACTGGGCGCTTCTCCTGGCCACCGATTTCAAATCCACCACCTCCGCCAATACGCCTCTTAGTCCTCCCGCTCCCGCCACCGGAGCTGAGCCAGCTCGTTAGCCACAGGGATTGGATATCTTGAAGTAGAGCAGAAAAACAGAAAAAGGCACAAACATAAGTAAGCAAATTTCCACCCATTTTCAGATTTCTTCAGTTCACGCACCGACTGGCCTTCGTTTTATTGTTGCTGTTCAAGGGAAATGGTTAACTTGGCCTGGCCAAGCATGATAAAATGTTCGTTTGAAAAGCAAGTTCATTGAAATGAACGGCCTCCAGCCTCCCACACTTTCGGGAGGAATGGACACGTAGCAAACACGCAAAATAATCAAAATAATCCTTTTTTTGTTGGCCCAGCTACGGGCTTAGTTACGCAGGATGGAATCCGGATGCAGACCCTTCCATTGTTGGCTTAGAGGGATTGTTGGGCTCAGTGTCGCGTTTCTGACAATTACGCTGCGTATACGCAATATAATCGCTTTGGCCAGAACAATTGGCACAAGTGGAGTCCTTGAATCATGAAATCCTAAGCCATATGAGTCTTCCATTAATATTTTAATTACCAAAGTAAGCTTTATTTATTATTCATAATCATAAATATGGCTTTACAAGCTGATATTGTAATTAAGTATTCCATTTAATAATGAATCATATTAATATTTTATAATTCATTTAATATGCGGAGGATAATAAGTGTTAGCTTTAAGCTGACAATTATTTAAGAGCTTGATTTCAGGTTAATTCTGTGACCTGAATTGACTAGCAAATTGCCTCTGTGTGTCATTTGTTTGAGTTATTATTTCAAAGTTATTTTTCCAACATGCATTTTTGCAGCTAAACTTGAACAAGTGAAGCGTTTAACATTTGTATCCCTCTGTGCCATGGCGCTCTCTCGTAAATCCTGGAAGCCACAACTTGGTGACCCCATTCATCAAAGTGTCGGACCAGCTGGCGGGCAGAAATCTTTTGTCATTTGCTGTCAAATCGCAGTCAAGCGGGCCAAAAAGGGAATCGGGGCCACATGACTAAAGGAAAAAACTAATACGTGATGGAAGTCAACAGAGCAACATGTAAAACATCAGGCAGGATTATAGGGAGGATGGAAAGGGTTCTTTCCCTTCTCGTTCTGATGCTCTCGTCGAGCATCTCTAATGAGCGGCAATAAAGCAAATGTGGCAGGTGACACAAGGACACAATCCCACACACTCGCACACAGGCACACGTATCAAACAATTTGCACATTATAATTGTTGACATATTCCCCCGCATATATCCTACTATATACGATTATATATATATCTACGTACATATAGAAGTGGGTGGTTGGTGTGCGTGTCTGTCATTAGTGGCCTTCAGAATGGAACCAGAAATCCTGCTTTGATTCCATTTTATTTTGTGCTATTTGCTGGGGCTTTGACTCCAGCTTTCCCGCTTCCCAGTTCTCTCCATCAGGCTAATAATAAAACTTTTATTTATTTTGGGATTTTCGTCAACTGACCGAAAGCCAACAAACAGAAACGCACAAACAGGCCTACAGAAATAATAATCCTGCCAGGAAAAAGGGGGTCCTGTGCCTCGGGGGTGGGGCAAATATGCCTGTCCAGTGGAGCGTAGCATATTTGTCATAATCAGCGTTTAGGCATAAGCATAAATTTGAATGAGTGCGCACAGGGGCGCCGAAAGGGGGCGGTCAGGGCCCATATTGTATGGACATCCTTATCATATATATTAGGCAGAGCCACTCCTTCTATACACAACAATTCACCCACTTTATTCTCCATAGAGGATAACAGAAAGGCTCTACGGCAAAGCCAATGGTTATAAACAAAGAGCCATTAATGGGTTTGTTCACAGAATTATATAGGTATATGGTCTTGGAAAATGTGGAGCCTTGAAATAATGGAACACTAAGTATTGAAACACTATTGAACACACTACGTATTATTTTGAAAATTGTACAAAAAATCTAAAAAAAAAATGTTGCTCAAGGATTTAAGTGCAGATTGACGAAGAAGCGGCCCACAAACATTTTAAGGTATTCCGCTCAAGAATCGGAAACATATTGGCCAAGATATGTGTATCGCAGTATAGGTCATATAGTCGTCCCCATGAAAATTTGTCAAAAAATCTAAAAAATATTCCGTTTCTAGATTTGGATGCAACTAAATGGAGAATAGTTCCACAAATCTTTGAAGGGAATCAGAGAATCAGACCGCTAGAAAATCAGATGAATATTGGCAAAGATATGGCTTTCTATTGAGGTCATGACTTTCCATGGCACCTCTATTCAGGGATAGTATTTTTCTCCCTATCCATTTTTAAATTTATGTGTTTTGGTAGAAATTTAAACAAATACAAATTGCAGCCAGCCATGGTTGGCTGAAAAACAAACCCTTTATCGAGAGACAAGCTCCCGCATAAACTGATAGGAACCTACACAAGGACAACAAACAGAGTAGAGCTCATCTATGCTGTGACATGACTGACCCGCGCCCCCGGAGCCCGACGGTCGATTGACAGGACTCGCGTTGCCAGCGGGCGGAATCTGTGAGTAAATATTTGACAGAAAATTTTCGGGCACTGCAGGACCCCGCGAAACTTGAAATAAAGGGAGCGGTTGGAGTGGGTGCGGTGGGTGGTGTATGGTAGCTATCTGGCCAAGAGCACAGGCCTTGTTTGGCCATAAATTTGATGCGTGCATAAAAAATGCTTTTCGATTTCCTTCGACACACATAAATTCTTTGGCCGGGTCACGTACGAGCAGGTGTTGGCCACCAACTTTGTGGAGGGTTCTGTCTTTTGGCATTGGTCCTTGGCCATTTGCCCGAGATCCTGAGTCGGGGTGGGGGTGAATCGAAATGGAATCAATAAGTGGGCCAAGCCATTGTTTTCGCGATCTGCCCCCAAAAAAATATTTATTGCATTTTGTTGATTTTGCAGAGACCAGAAAAGCAGAAAAATCTACCCAAAACGTTTTCCGTTTGTCATAAATTCGTAGGCCACATTCGGCCATAGAAATACATTTAAACTGAAATTTAGCCGATTTGTGTTGTAGATTTTTTTTTTGTATCATTTTTCCGGGCTTGTTTATCCTAAGCCCCCTTCCCAGCCATTGCATAATAACATCGTTTGTGGAATGGCCCACATTGGCAATAAATTAACATTTTATATGGAATGTTGTTTTGGGCGTGTGTCAGGACCTCCACTATGCAGTTGTTGGCATAGCCCTTTATGGCGCGATTATCAAGGCGAAACATTTTTGGCATTTCAATAAGCAGTTATTCAAACCGGATTTTGAGAATCCTTGCATGAATTGGAAACATCCGGATGTTGTACATTTTGTGAGCCAAAAACTAAAAGGACTCTCCGGAGATGCCTCCATTTTCGGTTGCATACTTTCGGGGGCCTTTCAATCTCTCAGACAAATTGAAGAAACCCAATATTTATGAGGTTTTGCAGGCTCTGATTTATTTATTTTAATTACAAACTCATGCAATCAGCATGAGAGCTGGAAAATTGAAATTCTGCATGGCAGGATAACCAGGATAAAAATGAAAAAGGAAACCAAACTTGAAAACAAACAGCAACAGTGACCGAGTGCTGCCTTATGGAATGCCAAAGAAATTTTATACAAAAATATATAGTCCTTTACCCTGGATGAAGATAATTGAATTTAACGAAATACATGAGAGTTTTAATATCCTTTAAAGAGCATTTTATAATTTATAAGCTATAAGGATAATAAAGAAGTTAATATTAAGCCATAAGTACAGTACAGGGTATCCTTAGTATGGATCTCGGATTCTCCTGGTTCTGTTTGCTTTCTTCATCACTTTCTTTGCAGACTGCTGGCCACTTGAGTGGGTGGTAGAGTGCCGCCCGGAATGCGAGCGAGTGGGATGGATGCGCATATGGAAGGAAAAGTGGACTGGAATGCAAGAAATATGCCAAGTGTGTGCTCCATCTCCCTCTCGCTAAAACACAATGCCATCGGCACTCTAAATCACACACACACACTCTCACGGGGAGAGTAAATATTTGCGCTTGGGCGCACGGCCGCGAGAGTTTGCTTCCGTTATTATCCGTTTGATTAGAGAAAACACAACATTTTGGCCTAATTAGAGTCAGAATGTCAAAACATTGACTTTGGCCATTTTGGCTGGACATCAAAGTGGAGAAATGTAAGTCCTGGGAGCGAGAAAAGTGAGAGGGCGGGATGGGGGAGGAAAGTTCACTTGCGGCACTTGAATTCTAATGGCAATGGCAATGCAAAGAATGGAAATGGAAGCGAAAACAGACTCGAGAATAACAGCAAAAGCAACAAAGCCGAGGACAAGGACGCAAACGAATACAAGGACATACAAATGGTCAAAAACCCAAACCAAATTACAGGACAATGCACTACTAGAAGTTTTCAATTGCTTTAAAATATTGTATATTTTTGTAATAAAAATTATTAAAATTTTAGAAATATAACAAGAATATAAATTATAATATTTTTTGAAAATATGTTTTTGTATAATATCCTTCAGGGATAAAATCCTGCCATTGTCAATGGCCATTGTCAGCCATTGTGTAGGTCACAGACCAAGAAAAAACGACTCGAAGTACTTGGCCATTTTGGTTTTTTCATCTTCGTCCTCCCTCCTCCTCAAAGGACTCTCGAAACTTACGCCAATGTAAACACATTTGATATCCAGCCAGAAAAAACAAAGAAGACGAAACAAGATAAAAGTCAGAGGGAGCACAAGATTTAATTCCTTGGCGTTTGAGCAAAAACAACAATCCGAAGTGGATGAGCACTCGGGCTCAAGTGAACGAGAGCGGTATTCGAGATTGATTTAGCCATCCTTCGATATCCTTGGGTCCAGTGCTGACCGCAATTTGCAAAAGGACATGACAGAAATTCCGGGACTGGCAACGGATTTGCCTGCTGGCCGATTTCATGCTCCACCTCCCTCTATGAGTTAATGTCCTCCATTTCTCCCCTCGGTGCAATAATTTCTCGTTAGCCGTTCGCTAAATGCAAGCAAATTCTGTCATTTGCACAGAACGTGAGCTGCTTTCCTAAGGATCTGAAGTTCGTCTTGGACCTCTCCAGCCGATGGAAATCACACACACTTGCACCCGAAACTTTTCCGACCCGCAAACTCCTGGCAATTTCATTATGCTTACACCACTCCAAAGCACACCATCACATAAGTCTATAAAGAGTTTTTTTTGGGGAAACACTTTGAGAAAAAAAGGGGTAAAAATATTAAACCCAAAATATAGGTATTTTTTTTTGTACTTAAATATTTTTTGTGGAATAATTTAACTGAGGTTCTGAGTATTTAATTCTTAATATTTCTCCACGTGTAAGATGCAGCAACTGACAGAAGTTTCATTTGAGTCTCAGCTTTGAGGTCGCCGCTGTGGAAAGATCCCAGGCACGTAGCCCCACTCCGCTCTATGGACCCACTCTGGGACCCTCCTCTCCACCTTTCCGGCCTCAACTGTCGTCGCTAAGTCCTTTATAATAAATAGTTGACTCACTTAAGGGGATTAATGTTGAAATTAGTTTATGCCAATGAGATTAGGAATGACATGCCGAATGCCAACTTCATCTCAGATGAGATCTGAATCTACTCCCAGACACCACACTCGTTGAATAATGAATTTTTGTGTGTGAAAATCACTAAATAGGTAAAATCATTGCATTATTTCATCATAAATACGCAAAGTAATCAAATGAATTTGTTATCTATTTGGAGTTAATCGACTTTGAACAAGAAATATGCATTATACATAACAAATATTTTTCGATTATCTTCTAAAAGTAATTCCTGACGTCAGTCTGGATGATTTTTGCACTTCGTAAACAGATGAAATTGTCGAAAAAGCTAAACTAGTATAATTTTAATAAAGAGTATATGTAATATTCTTCATAAGACTGTTGAAAATTGAGTAACAAACACACGTGACTGTTAATGTTAATTGTTAAGTAAACAAGCTCTTTAATTTTCGATTTTTTACTCTCCATATAGGTGGCTCTCACGCATACTGCTGCACCATTTGCCGGTTCTTTGTTAGCTCTCTGGCTGGCTATATCTCCTATCACCCCGCATATATAGCCAAGAGAGAGCTCTTTGTTTATTTCAGTGGGGCTCCAGCCGTCGTCTGGCGAAGACGCTCTCTTTCAGAATTCAGAAGGCTACCCCACGCGGCGTGGCTCGATTAACTCCCCCACCAGCCCCTCGCAGTTCATAACGCCGGAATGGTTTTCGTGGAGCTGTTGATTTTTGTGGCCTTTATCGGCTTGCTACTGTACAAATGGTCGGTCTACACTTTTGGCTACTTTTCGAAGCGGGGCGTGGCCCACGAGAGGCCGGTTCCAGTGCTGGGGAATATTCCTTGGTCGGTGATGATGGGCGCCGATTCTTATATAAAGTTTAGGTAAGAGCCTGAATGCTATACTATCCAAGAATCTTAATGAACTCCTCTTCCTCCGTAGCATTGATCAGCACTTGCGTTTGAAGCAGAACAAGGTATACGGAGTCTATAACCTGCGCGATCCCCTCTACTACCTCGCTGATCCGGAGCTCATCCGCCAGGTGGGCATCAAGAGCTTCGATACCTTTGCCAATCACCGGCAGGGCATCAGCGATGGCCCCAACGAGACCAGTGTCATGTCCAAGAGCTTGCTCACCTTGCGGGATCAGCGCTGGAAACAAATGCGAAGCACACTGACTCCAACCTTCACCAGCCTCAAGATTCGGCAAATATTCGAGCTAGTCCACGCCTGCAACGTCGAGGCAGTGGGCTACATTGAGCGGCAACTGGAAGCTGGCAACAGTGAGCTGGAGCTGAAGGAGTTCTTCACGCGGTATACCAACGATGTGATTGCCACGGCTGCCTTTGGCATTCAAGTGAACTCGTTCAAGGATCCCAATAACGAGTTTTTCACCCTCGGCCAGCGTCTCTCAGAGTTCACCTTGTGGGGTGGATTCAAGGTACTTTTGTACATTCTAGTGCCCAAGTTGATGAAGGTAAGACGCCACCATAATCATAATTTATTGTTTGTTTTAACATAACTATTTAAAGGCACTGCGAGTTCCTGTGATGGACTTGAATAATGTGGATTACTTTAAGAAACTGGTATTCGGCGCCATGAATTATCGCAAGGAGCACAATATAGTGCGCCCCGACATGATCCACCTCCTGATGGAGGCCCAAAACCAGTTTAAAAAGGATCAGGAAACTGCAACCGATAAGGACTCTAAGGAGGATAGGGTCGAGTTCAATGATGATGATCTGCTGGCCCAGTGTCTTCTCTTCTTTACGGCGGGATTTGAAACCGTCTCGACCTGCCTCAGCTTCACCTGCTATGAGCTAATGGTTAATTCTGAGGTGCAGGATAAGCTTTATGAGGAGATCTCTTCAGTGGAGGAGAGCTTGCAGGGCAAGCCACTGGATTTTGATACCCTCAAGGGCATGAAGTACCTGGACTGCGTGGTATCTGAATCTCTAAGAAAGTGGCCACCGGCAATCGTCCTCGATCGCATGTGTGCCTCGGACTTCCAGCTGCGCGATGCGGAGGACAACTTAGTGGTGACTCTTCGCAAAGACGAGCTTGTTCATATTCCGGTGATTGCACTGCATCACGATCCGGATAACTTCCCGGAGCCGGAGGAGTTCCGACCAGAGCGCTTCGATGACGACCACAAGCACGAAATCCGCCAGTTCACCTATCTGCCCTTCGGTGTTGGCCAGAGGAGCTGCATTGGCAACCGAATGGCCCTCATGGAGGTGAAGTCGCTCCTGTATCAACTGGTCCGTCATTTCAGGCTGAAGCCCACCGACAGCACCCCGCGAGACATGATGGGCAGTATTGCCGGGTTTCGGTTAATGCCGCGGGAATTGTTCTGGTGCAAGCTGGAGGCCCGATAGGGGAGGACCCAAAAAATTAATTAATATTTAAGTCCCTGAGGATGACGCTGCAAGAACACATACACATACACATAAATATAAATAATAATAAATATGAAAGGAAAAACGAACAAAAACCTGGTCATTTATTACTTGTGGTCCCTTGCGTTGACAAAGTTGACAAATTTGTCGCGGCAATGTTTCACTTTTATGCGGCGGGGTTCCGTTCGCTTTGTTTTTTTTAGCGCAGAGCTTGCTTTCCGCTTTAAAGCCGATGTCAGGGGCAGAGATTCAGCATTTGGAGGAGGCGACAAGCCACGTCATAACACTGCCAGGACATGATGGCCGCATCAGCAGTAGAAACAACAGGCACGTGAGGTTGTATGTGATGCGGTTAGACCGCAGAAAGCAGAAAACAACAAAAAAGAGCAACAACATAAAGTCATATGAGGGCCACGCCTTGTTTATGGTAGGACAACATAAGCTACCTCAACACCCACACCACCCATCTCACGCCCACACACGCGGAAATCTACCCGCCCACTTTCGCACAAACAGGACATTAAGGATTATTTATTGGGAGTTATTTTTCAGGCGGCATTAAAATTTTTTGGTACAATATGAATTATATTACACTCGCGCCATAAACTCACTGTCGCAGGGCGCTAAAATTGAAGGCTGGGAATCTTGGGAGCTGGGTCCTCCGCTCCTGCAATCATGGCCTTTGATTAACTGCCCAAAAAAGTATGCCATGACAAACAAAGCAAAGGCAGATAATTAACATCAATCTCTGCTTCAATGCCTCAATCGACACTGATGGACTCGGGAACTGAAAGCGAATTGGAAAACGGAAAAATATGCAGTTTGTCTTCGGGTCATGGAAATACAAGAATGGCTTGTTTTGATTGTTCTATTCTGTTTTCAGTTTTCCTTCTAATGGAGATGTTTTCCCCAGGATTCTCCACAAAATTGAATTGAAATTTAAGATTTTCCATTGAGATTTCGCATTTCATTCAAGTGGGGAATTATAAAGGATTCATAAACGCCATAGAACAGTAACACTTCCTTTTTATGATCCCACTTAAAAATGAAAACTATAAGCTTCTTGTTCTGAAACCATAAAAATAAAGTTTTAATTGTTGTCTAACCTTTAAACTGGGTTTTATACTGCTTTTGGCCAACATTTTTGTGACCCAACTTGCAAATCACATGCCACATAAAGTTCATTTGTTTGAAGATCTCGACATTAACTTTCCGTTTTGCTCCACCGAGTTTCCTCATCAGTTGATGACCGTGGCGGTCAAATCCGGAGCACGCCTATGGTCATTAAGCTGGCACCCAAAGCAATAAAAAAGCAAAGCAATTACCAGATATGGCCATACATACACATACACACTCTAGGACGCATTACGCACACACGCAGCTATTATTCACACAATGTAACACACGTAATTAGTTGCATATAACTTGGGGCAGGGTGCTTCGTGAAACTTTCATCGCGCTTCAAATTAGTTGAATGTTTTTTTATTGGTTGCCTTGTTGTCGCTGCAATGTTCTTGGCTGTGCAAACTAGTTTCCACTTGGAGAAAATATATGGAATTTCTTGTCTTACCTGAAAGTGTTATGCTATATTGTTTAAGAAGAATTTCCAAGGTTTTTGCTCTGTGTTTTAGATTGAGTCACATGTGGAGACGCAAATAAGCCGGCAGCAATCCTATAGCATAGAAAAGAGGGGCGTGGGTGGGGGCTATTGCTACAGTCTGCCACAATATTTGCTTAAAAATGAGGCAAAGGCAAAGGCAAGGCAAAGGCAGCGACAAAGTGGAATTAAAGCGAAAAGTTTGCTAGATGCTGGCGGGGATAACTAAGCAAACGCTTTGCGGTTGTTCCCGCTCGTTTTATGGCCAAAGTTTTGGAGTCGAGCTTGCCTTGAGGCAGTCTCAAGTTACGCTCGCTCTGGTCCTCGACATTGCACAGTGTAATTCGTATTTAAATTTCTGGTCTATCTTGTCAACGCTGCGTATGCGTAATCTTGGAAATGCCAGCGCTGCGTATGCATAATCTAGAGATGGCAGCGTAAATGTCATAAACTGTGGCGACACCAACGCTCTGGCATTTCTATTTCTATTCCTGGTTAACTTTAACTTTGTTCTGTTTTGTTTTGTTCGCAGAAACCTTATCAATCAATTCACCCACACAAAAGTGTGGGATATCCTCTATACGTGGGTAACATACATACATACATATGCGGTATATAGTATTGTATCTGGGATACAGGGCAGAGGTCATAAAGAAACTTTGGCGCCGCGACCGCCAGACGCCACCAGAAGCATTAAATTTTCTCTCCCAGTCGCCTGTCGGCAGACACCGACAAAAAAAAACACAAGAAGAAAATAACAACGAAAAAGCGAATAAAATAAAAATGTAGGGATGTAGAATGTGGGAGTGGAACTCCGGGGGGAAAAGGCGGCATCTAAGAAAGTAGGAGAATAGCTGCGATGACGACGATACAATGATAATGCCAAGAACAATAATAGAAAGGAGGCAGCCCAAGACGGAGCGGCGGGCTAAAGGAGATGGCAACCAGAGAATGCTGAGCATTAACAATTTGGCACAATGGCAGACTGTCGCACACGAGCTTTCTGCTCCTTCCAGCTCCTTCCAGCTCCTGCACCCTTGCCCTTGGGCTTCCTCTCCTGCTGCGATGCGTTTTGCGATAAGCACGAAGCGATAACATTTGGAGCCAGTATTTCGATGGATATACGTACGTACGTATGTACAGTTGCGGCAAAAATAATAGCACTGAGATGCACAATTTTCTATAATGCATTACAAATTATGTTTTTCTTTGAAATTGTTTTGATTATTTTATTTTACAATGTAGGCTTACATGTTATCTCTATGATAGAAGTGAATTAAATCTCAGTTAGCTAAAGGTTTGTTATATTTTGGGCATTTTATCAAGTTAGATGCAAAAGAGAGCGGCAACAAAAATAGCACTAATAATGGTTTTGATCAAAGATTCAAATTTTTCGAAGTTTTTTGATATTTTTAGTTACTGATTACATTAGAGAGCATTGCAGTAACAGAGTTCTTACGAATTAGATCGGAAAAAAAATAAATATGGGTCACAAAAGGCACTGTAGTGACGACCAAAGGATAATCTTTTAAAAACTTATTAAAGAAGGCAATACGTATGCTCAGGTGAAGAGAATTGTCGGTTTCTCAAATAAAATGATTAGCAACGCATTAAAATATGTTTCTAAGGCAGAAAGCCGCGGTAGAAAGGTCGCCATGTCGAAATTGGAGGTCAACCGGCTGGTTTGTCAGAGAAAGGAGTCGCCCTTTAATCCGGCTACTGAGCTAAAAATGGAGCTAAATATTTCGGATTCAAATAGAACTGTTCGAAATTGCTTTAAAAAAAATGATTTAAGTCCCCACAGCCCCGGAAAAGTTTCCCTTTGGAGTGTGAAGCATGGGGCAAGTTGGATTTCGTTTGCCAAAGAACATCCGAATTGGCCGGTAGAAAAATGGAGAAATATTTTTTGGTCCGATCAAAGCAAAATCGCTCAATTTTGAGGAAAAGGATCTCGTTCATATGTAAGGCGACCCCAAAATTCGAAATACCGTCCCAGCTTTACGTACAATACCATTAAACCCGGTGGAACCAGTATTATGGTTTGGGCATGCTTCTCGTATTACGGAGTTGGTCCCAATATGGTATAATGGATCGACTCGTATACTCCGAAATCTTGAAAAACGTCATGCTGCCTTACGCTGAGGATGAAATGCAATTGTTATGGGTCTTCCCACAGGATAATGACCCAAAGCATACCAGCAATAAAGCTCCAAAGTGGTAAGAAGACAGATCTCTCCATGTAATGGATTGGTCAGCTCAGTCTCCAGACCTAAATCTTATAGAAAATTTGTGGTCTAATGTGAAAAAATTAGTTTCCAATACAAAACTAAAAAATAATAAGCAGCTTTGGGCTTTCTTTCAAGGAGTCTTGGAGCAATATCCCCCTGGAAAGGTGCCAAAGATTGGTAAATTCAATGGCCAGACATTGTGAAGCTTACATTTCTGCCAAAGCCTTTAAAACAAATTATTAATGCATTTTTTAGATAAAGATTACAATATAAAATAATAATTTAAATAATTTCTGGTTGATTCCAAGTTTTTTTTAAGTTTTTTATGTTTTCAAAAAAATAGTGCTATTTTTGTTGCCGCGTCAAATGCTCAAATTTATCATTCTTACTTAAAAATTTTCTAAAGTTTGTTAAAATCGAGGTCGAATTCGCTCTATATTGTTTAATTATACCCTAATGTTTATAAAAACTCCATTAAGAAGCCAAAAAAACAAAAAGTTTTCAAAAAATATTTCAAAAAAGAAAATTGTGCATCTCAGTGCTATTTTTTTTGCCGCAGCTGTATGTGTGACAAGTGTTTTCCCTAGCGAGTGTGACTGTGTGGGTGGGGGGTATGAATGGCGGACGTGAAACAGGGATGAAAGCGGGACAAGTCTAAAAGTTCATTCATCAATTCCATGGCCTAGACAAATGGGTAATTATAAGCCTTTCTTTGTTCTTCGAGTTTCTAAGGAATGAGCTCTAAGATTAACTCTATTCTCGCAGTCGGATATAAATATTAAGAATTGGAATGTTTTTTCATCTAATTATCGAATAATGATAGTTTGCGAGGCTTTATGATTTTTAATTTCTAGAGCTTGATATCTGAATATCCTTAGGATATTTAATCAAAACTATCGTTGCCATTAGCATTTCTTTTCACAATACTTTGTAGGGAATACGTTGAAAATAATGAGCTAAAAATTCGCATGTTCCAAAACTATGTAATTGAATCGCATGACATTGTTGGTGCCTCCTTGTTGTTAAACATCCATGTCCTTCCCGACTCCGCTCTCGTCTTGTGTATAAATAAGAACAACCAGCTTTTTCAGCTTTCGGCTGTACCATCGCTCCCTATGCCCTTCGTCCTTCGTCCCCGTGAGGATGTTGTTAACGTCTCTTGAATTCGGTGTAAGCAAGTTTTCCCCATAAGGAAAACAAGAAGGAAAAGCATAATTTGGAGAGTGCTTGAAGGGAAAGTTTCTTGTGTCGTTGGCAAGTTTTTGAAGACCTCCTCCAGAAGCCATACTCCCCATACACGCGCATACACAAGAGCCTTGGAGTAGTCGTTGTAGGGGATGGGAAAAATAAACATAATTTTATTTTCGGTTTTTATTTAATGTTCCCCCACATTATAGCAATTTCTGCAACATTTTTGTCCACTGGTGAGGGGCTGGGACGTGGGGCAGGATGTGGGTTTAATATGCGATGCGATGCCATCGAGTGCAGCACTTGTTCTGGCTGTTCTCGGTGTTCTTGGCCTGGTCGGTGCGGTTTCACCAGCTGCGCATATTACGACTATTGTGTCTAATGCACATTGGACCTGGCCAGGCGTGAATTTGCAGTGCTGTCATTGTCATAACAGAGTTGGTGCACATAAATCGCTTTAGTCCTTGCTGCCGGCGGCACATATTTGTGTGACATTTTTCGGTTTTTACCCCTCGTCCATTCCTCTATACCACAGGACGGATGTGGCATGTGGCAGCCGGCAGCTGGCAGGAAGCTGGAGGTAAAAACTTTTAATATTCCACTACTCAGCCAGCTGTTGCCTTTCCGCCCGGAGCCTAGCTCTAATACCTCATGCCACATGCCACTGCCAGATGCATCCGGCAGATGCAATTGCCTGCGAACACAAACAAAAATATAAATACAAAATAAAATAGAAAATAAAATCAACATGAAGCGTCCTCGGTTTAGGCCACATTTCAAAAGAATCGCTTTCACTTATTTACGGTTTCATGCTGTGAAATTTAATTAGCGCCCCGCTACGACGATTGTAAATATTCAGGCCAAAAGTTGCGGAAGGAAACGGCTCGGAATGCTAGAGCTTAGGCAGTGGCGAATGCCGAATACCGAATTCCGAATCCTTTCCCCCCCGGAAGAAACTGCTGACTCCGGCCTTACATCCGCCACATCCGCTTTATCCACACTTCAGTTGAAACAATGCCAACTGGCCGAAAAGTTCCAGAGCTGTCTTTGACTTTTTCTTTGCTCATTTTGGGCGCTCCTTAACCCACTGACACTGAGGCACAGTGGAAAATGTAATGGCTATTGTAAGAGTGATGTCCTTGCTCATTTCTTACAGGATAGATGTTCTCTGGTATCGGGGAAAGTATTCAAAAGAGTGCCAAATATTTCAAATGGTCAAGTTCAGTTGGGAAACATGGCTGAAAGTTCATAAATTAACTCAAAATTGTAGTTTAAGGTAGTTGCTTTGGATGCTAAGTATCTTAATTTGATTTGAAAGGCTTAAGCTTAGAAGCTGAGCTCCCTAATAAGCTTGGAAACTATATTAGATTTCTCTTGGTGTACTTTGCGCTTTTTTCTTTTCAAGGAAAGCTAAACTTGCCTTTGGCGGCTTTAATGAGCAGCGGCAGCAGGTGAAGGAATGCTGAAAACGGATGCAGGAGCCAAAGGATGCTGGTGTCCGGGACAAGAGGAGTGACAGGTGGGCTGGTGGGGGGGACTGGGTGGCAGGATGGTGGATTGGTGAGTTGCTGAGCTGGTGGCATAGGCTTAACTTACTTTTTAGGAAATCCGCCAGTGTCGTGAAGTCGTTTATTTCAACTGCGTTTCAGACGTAAATGAAGTTGGCGTTGGACCGCCCGCTGGCGGTGTCTGTTACTCGCTCTTCAACTTTGCTTAATTCTCCTTCGGATTCAGTATCTTTTTTCGCCTTTCTTGCCTCACGTCCCGGTTGTTGTTGTTTTCGTCCTGCAGCAGGAAAATACAGGAATTAAAATTAAAAAGGCAACGGAACAGGCAACGCCAAGCAAAGGAATCTTGACCAAGGCGAAGGGCTTTTCCCTGGAATTTCTTTGTTGTTGGTTTCGTTTCGAATGGCTGTTGGACTGGTAGGGGTAATGGTTGAAAGATGTGGCATTTGAGATAACATAATGCAGATTTCAGACTCAATTCGTGGGCGACATTTTTTGCGGCCCACTCTTTTGCGGACCCCTGGGACAGTCAAATCTCAATTTCTGGGGCTAATTTAGATTGAGCTGGATCTTTTGGCCAGGCCAGCAGATTGTATTTGTTTTTGTTGGAGGTGCAGGTGTGATAATAAGTACGTCTAATGGCTTTTACGGCCAACACAGCTGAGTGGCAGTACTCGACTTTTTGCTGTCTCTTAATTTCTGTGGCGCCATGGACCCTGCAGTCGTGGCCAAAATGCAAATACAGATAATGTGGCTAACTGACATGGCCATATTAAATCTAATATCCGCTTGGCCTTGGTGGTGGTGCTTAGATAGCAGATAACAGTAAATAAGGAACAGGCGGGAGCCGGGAGCATGGGGAGCACTTAATAGTTGCCTTGCGTATCCATTAAGTAAACATGACTCGCTAAGCCCGTTTTGGGTGGCACGATAGCTGGATAGCTGGGATGGAGTTTGTTAAGAGCTTCGACCGCCACACTGTCAATGTACATTAGGATTGTTTACCCAAGCAGCTCGAGGCGAGAAGAAAAGAATCAGAAAGACCTAAAAGGGGAAAAATGAGAGCAACGGCTTTAGCGTTTTTTTTTTTTTTGTTGGCGTTGTTTGGCGCACGAATGCGTATAAACGCTGAATATTTAATAAATGCAAAAAGCGCTGCTATACGATATATATACCTATATACACGCACATGAGTGAAAGCACCCCAAACACCCGGGAAAATCAACTTAAGCATCGCCACACCAGAGAATTGCTTTTGCTCATTCGCTGATGATAACGAAGCGACCTGAGGCGCTGGTTACTGTGCACTGGAAACTTTGTATTTGTGCCCCAAAATGCTTTTGATATTTTATTCATGCCGTGCTCCAGTCGCCCATCGTTCCCATCGCTGTCAATTGGTATTAGGACATTATAATTTATTGATGGGCTCAAAGGGAGAGCCTGAGCCGGAGACGAAGCCTCAGCTTCAGCCGCAGCCAAAGCATCAACAGCCGGCGGACATTGTAAGCGGTTTATAATTCGCCCAGTCAAAAGCCCAAGCCAAAACGTCAAGCGCACAATTAACAGCAGGACCCACTCTCCTCATTTCTAACCAGTCCAATTGAACACTCACACACAAAATCGTTTTACGGCCGAACTCTCGAAGCCTGAACACTCGAGCCGCACACACGACGTATACGCAATATTCGCGTTGCTCATCCGCCAGCGCGTCCGCTCGCCTCGAACAAACAATTTGGACTGACTGTGCCATTTGGGATGCTGGCTGGCTTCGCTTTCGGATTGCTATTTCGGAATCTGGTTTCGGAGTGGCATGCAACTCGTGGCACTGGGCCACTAGCACAGGCCCACAGCGCGCAGGCGCCAAACCAAGCGTGCGGAGAGTGTCAAAGTGGCCCAGAATTAATATGCAAAAGCGTCGCCGATGATGGAACAGTCATTGATAGATTGTCGTAATGAAATGCAAATTACTTGTCAATAATTGCATGACAACTTGCACTCGCTGTGACGGCAAGAAAGGGCCTATTTAGGGTGCAATTGGATCAAAGGGATTCAAGGATAACAATTGATGGGCAATGATCTGTAAACTCGCGTCGCTGATATGAGAATTGTAATTAAGCCCAGTTACTGTAATAGATTATTACATATTCATAAAGACCATGTATCCTTAAATATTCCATCATCTTTCTTATGTCCTTTAATTAATTCATGAGCAGCAAAGTATGCTTTTTGCCGTCGTCATCTGTTGGGGGGTGCAATAATTGCCTGCCAGATATCGGGATTAATAATTTGGACCATGGTGGCTGTCCTCACTGCCCAGACAGCGGAAATGCGATACGGAAAAAATATTTATTTATGCGAATTCCATTCGGAGGGCTCGTAAATCTCATGGCGTCGCCGCCATCCTGCCCGGACCAGTCGCCACCCTCGCGACTGGTGTCGTATGGCCGAGAGTATTTATGGCAGCGACTATTACATACTTTATTATTATTATTAATATCGCGCTCAATTGAGTGGGGCCAGCGACATAAATTGTCCGTTTGGAATGACATTGCATTTGCTAAAGTGGCGTACTGACAGAATTTAATTGAATTGCTGGCACAAAAGTGAGTGCTATAATAAATTAATTAGTGGATCGTTTGTATTCCGCCCGAAAATATGTTACTACGAATGGCTAAATCCATGGTTTATTGATATCCGAATCGGTTCCACTGCATTCCATGCAAAATGGCATTCTCCCCAGCTCGGTCTCATAAACAAAACAAGTAATCGTTTTCGCATTAAAGAGTCAACATGTTGGTTGTATTTTTGGTGATTGTCCTGACCATATTCCCACCCACAGCCCACTCGTGGGATTACTGTGAGGAGCACTGGTGCTCGAGACCCAGCGATCATGTGGCCTGCAACAATAATGGAGTAAGCTGAAGGAGTTGCATTCTGACAACTCTTGAGAGAAAAATCCAATTTCTTTCAGAGCTTTGGACCTCATTGCCAGCAGGATGCCAGGTTAATGCCTTTGAGCAGCCAACTGCAACAGTTCATCGTGCACGAGGTCAACTTCTACCGAAATCAAGTGGCTTCTGGCAGATTTTCAGATTTCGGCCCGGCCCATCGCATGGCCACCGTGCGCTGGGATCCGGAGCTGGCCCATCTGGCCGAATTGGCGGCCAAGAGATGCAGCTTGTCGGCCGACATCTGTCGCAATACCAAACGCTTTAAGCACGTCGGCCAGCTCACAGGCCACGTTATCTTCAGTGTGGGCCGTCACAACGATATGAAACTGCTGCGCCACAAGATTGGCATGTGGTTCGCCCAGTACAAGAGGGCCACATCCCAGCTAGGAGCTGCCGACCCTATCAGGTGCGCGGGATATACGTAAACAACTCTTTAAATAGAATATGTTTTCATTTCATTTGCAGCGACATTACCAGCTTCCGGCAATTAATGCAGGAACGAGCCACGTACATGGGCTGTGGCGTCCTGCGCCAGAGGCGCCTCCTACGGTGGCACCAGCAGTTTATAGTCTGCAACTTTGCTCGGGAGGACGTGGCTCATGAGCCAGCCTACGAGGTGTCACACAGAGCCGCAGCAGGATGTAAATCAGGACCCAATCCCAAGTACCCCCATCTATGCGCCCTGGAGGAGCACTATGATGTGAATGCCTTGGATCGTTATCATAAGAAGCTGTATTCGGATATCAAATCGCATTCCAAGAAGTCTCCAATTAAGTTCAGGATTCTGTATAATGAACCCAAAAGGATCAAGGTTCTTAAAGTTTTGAAAAGTCTTTAGATGAAGTTTTAAAGTAATATTTTTAAAGTAATATTTTTTTCATTAAGTTTCTGAATCTGAAACCATTTAAAGGGAAGGCCTATATATTTTTACTGAAAGTAGAAACTGTACAATATGCAATAAATAAAATTGATAATAAAAATAAACAAAGTAAACTAAGCTTGTTCCTTCTTTTTTAAAATTTAGAATCATATTTAGGTTAAAAGTTGATAATTTGTAGTTTAAAAGTTATATTCCAAATTCCAAATTATTTGTTTCGATTACACTTAGATTTATTTAGATTTTGACTTATCGCATTGATAATGCACACAATTGATTCACTTAAACATTGATCCCTTGTTTCAGCCACGTATGGTTAACAGCTTAGAAGGTAAGAGTTTCAGGAGCAGAGTTTCTAGTGCGGATTCTCCTGGCGATTGGGCTCGATGGTGATCCGGGCATAGGGGCTCCCGGCACCTACCTTGCGGCGCATGGTGACGCCCCTGTGTGGACGCAGTCCCATCACGATCAGGTAGATGCCCACGGCGCTGAGGGCGATCAGGGAGAGGACTATCAGGCCGTAGGCCCACCGCGGCCAGGTGTCGCAGCTGAAGGCATCGGCGCGGGCGGCGGTCACGAGCATGCCCCGGATTCGAGTGGGACGGTAGCACCGTCCGTTGGTCTGAATCGGAAGATTCTTCAGCCAGACTAGCTCGCAGTCACACTGCAGCGGCAGACCGTTGAGATCCAGCTCGGCAAGTTGTCCAAAAACCGGCGATAGCGTGGAATTAAAGGAGCGCAGCATAGTGCCGCGAAAGCTCAGCGTCTGGAGGGCGCGACGCTTGTTCTTGGGATCCATGGAGGATCCGAAGGCATCGCCATCGAAGTGCGTCAAGTGGCGACTGTTTTGGAAGCTCAGCGTCTCCAGCATTTCGGTGGTGATGAGGGCATGAGCAGCCACGCTTTCGAGAACGGGCATGTCCTCCAGGAAGAGCTGACGCACCTGGGTTAAGTTCTTGGTGTCCTCTGGCAACAGGTGCTCCAGAAGATTGTCGCTGATGTCCAGTCTCAGGAGCGTCGCTGGCAGCTGGCTGGGCATCCGCGGAAGGAGATTCCGGCGGAGCGACAGTTCCCGGAGTGGAGCATCTGCGGGCAGCAGGATCTCGGTCAGACTGCACGCATCCAGACGCAGAGTGGCCAGCTTCCAGTTGACACCCAATCCCTTGTAGAGGTCCACTCCCGTTTCGTTGAAGCGACGATTCCAGGAGATATCCAGCGTGCTGAGGACCACAAGCTGAACGAACAACTGTCCCGGCAGGGAGTGAATGTTGTTGTGGGCCAAGTCGAGGGTCTGCAGGTGAGGCAGACCGTCGAAGGCTCCTGCATCCACCTGGGTTATGCTGTTCCATCCCAAATAGAGCTCCCGCAGGCTGGTCAGCTGCTTGAAGTTTCCGCTCGTCAGGTGAGTAATGTTGTTGTGCATCAGGTTGAGTTGGTGCAGACTATCGCTGGCGAAGACCGGAGCCTTGTCCAGGGCATTCCACGAGAGATCCAGGGTGTCTGTGTACAGAGGCAACTGCTCGGAGATGTCTGTGATCTTGTAGTCCTTGTAGCTGCAGTCTATCCTCAAGGCTCGCGTGCCCCAGGGCGAGGCACTCACATTGCTGCACTCGCAGGACCGACGCGAGTTCCGGGCAGATTCCGGATAGCAGAAGCGGTCCGTCTCATCGGCGTCGATGTTCTCCGCCCGGGAACCTCCCATACTGGCCAACAAGCACAGCAAGAGGGCAAAGGTCGCCCACAATCCAAGTTTATTTGTGAAAACAGCACTGCTCGTCATCTTGAAGTTCCGGAACACACTAAATGGGATCGGTAACTATTTCAGAGCTTCGACTGCCATATCTTATCAGGTGTGGAGGAAAAGCTCCTGGCCAGAACCGTGAGTAAGTTCAATTTTCCAATAAAATCGTATCAGCTAGAATACTTTGGTCTTGCACCTCTTCTGGCCGTGTGTTAGTCACTTTGTTAAGGCCATTTGACTATCATTTTGTACCAAAACAAAAAGAAATACCTACATAGAGCGGAGAGGGAATAAGCTGGCGTGCCATTTGAATTGTCGGTTGATAAGATAGCGAAAGCTTTTGGGTCTCTCGATAAATATATAGAGGAATACCTCCAACCAATTCCCCGCCTGATATCACATTCGCTTGCTGCTTTCTGTTATCTTGGGGTATCTGTTTCATTAATCATTTCCCACCGAACGTAGTCGCCAGCGGGTTAAGTCTGTGACATGGATTCACAATATTGATGGATTTATAAAACCTCAATTTCACACTCCGAGAAAGTCGGCGGAGAAAGCACATTGCTCTGAACAAAAGTCATGTCTAATCCCCAGTTAGACGTCGGGGGATTTATCTAGCTCATTGCATTTGAAAGTCAAGTCTTAAGTTCAAATTGTAATTACGCTTAATGCGTTTGGCTGGGGGATTTCCTACGATTCCAGGATAAGTTCAACGGATGTATACAGATCTAGACATCTTATTCCAAGGATATTCTTTAAAGAGGTTGGAGGTTTTGTGGCTAAAAGTGGCAATAAAGCTAGAAGTTCTTCAGAAGTGTTTAGTAATTTGGTCTATCTATTTTTTTTATTTAGCGTGAAGTATCTCCAAGTCGAGTCTTCTGGGGAATATGGAATTTTATTGTGCTCTTTTACATTCGCAATTGCTTTGACTTTTCGCGGCGCCTGCGGGGTGATAGAACTCTTCTTTGTGTCAATGGAAAATTGATGAGGCTTACATAAGTGCACAGAAACGCACACTGGCAGACTCCCCACACTCGTACACTCGTAGCACACAAATGCCCGTTCTGGCATAGGCATTTGCATAAATTAAGGACTTTCAAAAACTTCCTCTCCCACACTCTGTGTGGGTGTGTATGTGTGACTTTTCTACAATCAAGTCGGGAGGAGTGCTGGGATGGGGGAAGCCAACACATGTAAAGCATTTAATGAGCTGCGGAGACTCGAAGCGCTTGCTTAAATTTATTGAAAATGCCTGCCACGTGGTGGCACGCTCATGTGCCGCCCCTCAAGTCATTATTACATGCAAAAATGTATTTTTAACTAAAAACTCATTAATTACATCGAAAAGTGGCTCAGGTGTGGTGTGGGGTGTGTGTGTGTGTGTGCGGAATAATTAAAGCATTACAAGCAATTTAATTAAAGCCCAATTTTCGCACATCTGCAATAATGGAATCCTTAATTAATAGGCCAAATCAAACTCCTGATGAAGGCCATCAATCGAGGCAGTTATGGCTGCTGCAGCAGTTCGGTTTTGGTTATGGTTCGGTTTTGGCCAGAAATTGAAAAATAAAATCCGGCCTAAACGTGCCGAGCAAGTCGACGGGTTCACGGGTCAGTCGGCCATCCGCTGACTGAATATTTATGAAAATTTTAATATTAAATGGTTTTCTGATGTTGCACGGTACGAGAGGCAGCCCAAGAGGAGGAGGTGGCGGCAGAGTCGGAGGAGCACCGTGTTGTGGCAATCAATGACAGAAATGCAATTTCCCTCGCGCAGGATGTGCAATCATTAAAAGCGCTTGATTATCCGCCGGCGCGAGGCATTGTCCCTTGTCGATGCCATCATCCTGCAATTGACTTTAATGATGGCCCAACACTGTCAGCCAACTGTCAGTATCCTGGGTATGCTCGTATGCGTCAGTATCTGTGTGTGGGTGACAGTTTATGGTTCCCTAATTGAATCGCTTGTCATGCATTTGTCTAATAATGGCGCATTAATTTACCATAATGCGACATCCAGGCTACAGCTTCCGTTGGCCGGAAGTCATCAGGGCCAGAGGTGTTTTCTAACCGCTTTTTGCCGCTTTGGACCAAAGGATTCCATGCCTGTTCCAGGCCAGCTATGCTAAATATTTCAGTCATGGCCTTTTAACTTTTAACAAGTATGCTGCAGCCAGCCCATGGCACTTCACACACATTTAATTGCCTTTGAAAGCGTTTCTGTCACGCAATTTAAAGCCCATAAATGTAAGGACGAGGCTAAATTCATTAGACGGGCTTTAAGAGCTGGCATTAACCCAAACACACGCACACATCCTGGCAATCCTCGGCTGCGGTTGCCATTGGGATATCATTCTCTTTCGCTGCGCTCAATTTAATCGACAAATTTAAAGAAAATTATTGTCTCTAATGGGCAGACGTGCCCACAGAATGCGACCTTTAACCGCACGCTTCGTAGAGTGGGTGGCATGGGGCAATGGGCCGTATATATTGGCTTTGGCTTAGATCCAACTGATAACAGTTGAATAATGAACAAATAATGGCTGGCAACCTTCTTGTCTGCTCAAATATTAAGTATACGCCCGGGAATCCAACAGTACGATACTGCAAATGGCAAATTGAGGAAGAGACAGTCAGAGAGTGAGAGTAGAGGGGAAACCCCTTCCAAAATAATGGATGAGGAATGAATGTAATGCCATGAGTGTACAAATCTAATAGTCGGTGGCATAAATAATCCCAAAGACCAAAATCCCGCTCAGTCGGACAGATGATAAGGTTAATTAACAAAAGATGTGCTCGGTCTGTGTCCTTTTGTGTTTAGGATTTTGGCATTAAGTATACGACATGTTGTCCATGGTTCCAGAAAAATTTTGTTTTCACTCATCATTTTCTACTTTATTTTTTAATCCTGGAAAAGCTGCTCTTCGTTAAGGATGAATGATTCTCTGTAAAGCAAGTTGAGTTTTGAAGAGGAATTTACATTTTTGTGTTTTTTTTTCCTGAAAGTGTTGGCTTTTGTAGTTTTAGGAGGATAGGAGAAGGGAAAGTCTGGGATAGTCTGTCAACAATGATGCTGCCTTGCACCCGTTCTGCTGTAATTTGATTTGTTTTGGCCGATTGCTGTTGCTGCTTCTACTGCGGCTGGCTACATTGTTTGGAATCTGGGTACAGAGGGCTAGCTGGTTGGCCGTTTACTTGGCCTCGACTAATTAATTTTTCCTCGAAAAACAAAAGACCCCGATGCCCTGGGAGAGATACCATTGCATTGTGTTCTCGGCCTTGTTTTGGGCCGGCCAAGGGGCGGCCATAAATGTCAGCTGAGGCTGCATTTCCCAATTCAATCCAGCTGTCAATTTCAGTTTGCCACACTATATACTGATACTTGGTAGTAGCTGCGCCGAGGCAAAGCCAAAGATTTATTGCCTGTTGCCAAAAGCCCACAAAATTAATGTACTTCACAGTTGAGTTTAGCAGCTGCCCGGGGTTCGAAGTAGTCCTTTCCCCGACCTCTGACCCCCAAAGCCTCTGGCCCGCTCCGTTTCAGTATCTTTTGTGTTTGTAAGCATGTGTGTTTGTCTGTGTTTTTGGCCCTAATGAAGTTGTTAATGCGAGTGCTGTCCTGCCATTTCTCCATTGCCGTGGTTACTTCGGTACTTGGCGTCCTGCACTTGTGTCCTTAAGGTTCCTCTCGGTTTCCATCCTCCGTCTTCCGTTTTCCAGCCCCCTCTGCCCGAGTTCCACCAAAAGTACATACGAAAATCTAATAAGACGCTTACGTCTGTTGCTGTTTGGGTTTTGGGTGGTTTTCGGGTCTGTTCTGTGCTGTGTGCGTTTGTCCGAGAGGCTTTCACACCCTTTCGATAGCTCCCGCTGTCTACTACATACAAACATACATAGTCCTTACATAAGCCATTAGCCAGAGGGGTAAGGCGAACCAAATTGGAGGAAAATGGCAGCTCGTGACAGTCATCTGCTCTGGCTTGTTTCTTTCAAATTTTATTGCTTAGCTTTTTACGGTCAGCGAGTATCTCGAATATATATGAGGTATATATATATATTGGAAGTCTTAGTAGTTCTTCATCTTTAGCCTGGTCAGCATTTATTTTTATGTGAGTGTGCCCACTTGATTGGATCGTAAACTTAAGTTTCAGTGCGCGAATTGTCCTTGGCAATAATGAGCCAGCGAAAAAGTAAAGAGTTACTGTCCTTTCTCGGATTCCGAGTCGGATCTCGGCCAAATTAAATTACTCTCGGGGAAGTCAGCTCCTGTTGATGCAGTGCCCCATCATGGTCGGACTGGCAGACGAACAAACTGCAGCATTTCGGGGCAAATAAATTAATTTTTCATTGCGGATGAGGAGCGGGACTGTGTCGCGCATTGAGGACTCGCTTAATTAGATGAAGTGAAAGTGGGCGACCCGAGACAATTGCAACTGTCGTCCCCGGTCCCTGGGAACTGGGTCAATTGCCTCCCAGCCATGCTCGGGCATATTTTAAACTGCGAGAGACGTAGAGAGACAATGCCTATCCTGGCAACTGGCATCCTGGCATAGTGGCTTCCTGGCAGCTATAAGTGCAGTATAATTTAATTACAAGGCTTCGAGCCTTCTCTGAAGCCCTCCAGATAACAAAAGATGCAGCCTAAAAACCTCTGCCGTCTAAGTCAGGCCAATCAGGCACCTGTCCCAGGACACCTTCTCCTTCTCGGCAAGAAGCTGGATGTTCGAAGGGTGCGTGAGTGTGTGTGTATGTAATTGACAGCGCCAAAGCACACTTGACAGCTGCTCTGGCACACTCCTGAATCCACACACACTCGCACACTTCACACACTCACCCTGACACCCCGCCCAGACACCCCACATGGCCATGGAAAGTTGATGTTTGAAGCTGGCAGAAATGAATATTAAGCGTGGCTCGTATGAAATGATTTTCGTAATTTAATTGAAACGTCAACATTCAGTGCACTCCGGCATTAATTATATTATGAGAGGCCAGACTTTGGCGGGCTGGGGCTGGGGCTGGGGCTGGGGCGTGGCCTCGGAGGACGAATATCCCGAGGCAATTTTCGATAATTGAAATTTTATGGGACGGCCTCCCTTCTTGCTCAGATTCACTTTTGCTTTGTCACGCCACCCGAAACACATGAAATTGCGCATAAAGCGCCAAAAACTGT